ATAGTTTAAATTTATCTTTATCTTGTTATGCATTCCCATTCTAATACGCTTTTTGAAGAGATATGATCGTGTTAATTAAGCCCATCATTCAAGTTCAAGATTTCATAGTCTGTTGAGTTTTAATCAACTTAATATACGTGCATGAAAAGCATACATACAAAAGTTTTGAACGAAAATTCTATAAGCATCAAATTTTTGTTTTTGATGCCAAATGTCTAATGTTTATATAATTTTTATATAACCATGATAAAAATTGCCTATAAATTAAATTTAAGAAAATATAAATTTAAATGTTATATAATTTTTATAGAGTAACTTGGGAAAGTGCCGATAGAGGTGCATATATTTTTAATTATAGCAACTATTTCCAGGTTGAGCTTAAATATTTAATAATAATGAAATTTTATCAAAAATATTTATTATATTTTTAATATAATAAATACTGAAAACTTAAATTTAATAACCGTGCAAGTGGTTTATTAATGAATGCGTTAAAAGTTTTGAAAAATCATAGATATTTTTATTTATAAAATCATTTTAATAACAGTAGACATTACATTTCTTATAAAAACCTTTTATTATAACATAATTTATTATTGTAATCATTTGAGAACTAATTAAACACTTAATCATTCATCAAGACGATTCAATCATTTATCACAAACATTTATATAATTTCTTGCAAAGAATAAATAAACCCAAAAATGAATCACCACCAACACTTTCGAAAAGGTAGGTTAGAATCCCCTTTTTTCACCAATTTCGACTTTACATGTGAAATTGCATTCCTGAATGTTGAGGGCATGATATGTTCCAACTTTCCATCTACCATCTACCATCTACCTCCCACGTAAACAGACACAGAATTTGGATGGGAAAAGGGGTGAGTTTATTTGCCAGCAATTTTTGGAGATTCTTCCTTTGTCTTGTCCACTTTTATTTTCTTTCTTTGGCAATAAATAAATATTGTCTTCTTTACTTTTCTCACCAATGGTTTCCTTCTTCCCTTTTGGATTCTGAGCCAAAAACAAAATAAATTCAATGAGTGATGCCAGGCTAAAAGGAAATGGTATTTGGAGTGTTGTACACCTTTTGTATTACAGCAGGTAATGGTGACCATCTATACAAGTAAAGCTTTTACACTCTTCCTTTTTAAGATACCATCACTTCTCTTTTATGCTTTTCATGTGTTCTTCACCCCATTTTTAAAGACCCTTCAATACCCCTTACTACTTCAATGGTTCCCATACTACCTTTTTCCACTGTTGCTCTTTTGTCCTATCTCAAATCGAATAAACTCTGTCGAACCTTCCAAGTATATCACAATAATTATGTCAGGGACAAGAATGAAATTGCACAAATATTATTATTAATATATAACTTGGTCCTTACAAAAACAATCAGACAAGATAATGACTAATGATGTCGTGATGAAAATGTTTATATTTTAAAAAAATTTGTTACATAAATCTTAAAAATAAAGGTTACGTTATTATAATTAAAATAAACATAAAAAATGTTTTCTCAAAATAACTAACGTATTTAAGTTTTTTGGACAAACTGCTCTCAAAAGTTATCTGGCCAAGGGAGTTTTTTCCTTTTTTCTGCCTTGGAATTAAAATCTCTTATGTACGTACATAAGCCACAATTTCAATACATTGTTTTAGGCTTATATCTATGCCAACTTAGTTATAATAAAGCAGAGTTTATTTTGTATCAACTAAAATAAGAGTAGCTAGGATTTACTCAAGGCATTTCAAGTTATACTTTAACATTATATACTTAATAATAAACTTAAAGAATTGCAGAAAAAAAAAGGGTATGCTAGTAGCCCATAGATGGGTATTGGCTGTTGTTAAAATTCAGCACATAGATGGGTGAAGATTTGCAGGTAAGGAAGCAACTTAATTTGGATAAAAAAAAATTGATTCTAGTACTTATGTACAATTATTCATAAGCAAAACCTTTTGAATCCGATGACAGTGTTCATCAACGAGACAAAAATTAAAAATTTTCAGATAATTTTTACAATCATGAATTCAAAAGAAGAAAACTTATCATTAAAATTACTCATAATTTTAGATATCATTCAAGTATGATTTTACAAACCTTAAAGAAAAATGCTTTCACCTTTGTAGAAAAGAATCTAAACTAAAGTTATGATTAACTACCTCATTAAAAAAATAATGATTCACTGGTAAAATTATGAAAACAAACATAAAATTCATAACTAATTGATAATAAATCCTAAACTATTACAAAATTAATTTCCCTAAATAACTAATAAAAGCATTATCAAAATACATTATAAGCTCAAATTAGGCCTTACTGACCTGGTAAGACTCAATAATTAATTCCATCTCGTTAAACTTTTCAATTGTCTAAATTCAACCAAGCACATCCAAGTTGTTTCATTACTATATATACAAAATTAGATTCATATGAATATCAACAATAAATTACTCTTATATTTAGCATTAAACAACCTCCTTGTAATTTTCCATTCAGTATAAGTAACGGTTGTTCATAGATTGAACAGCAAGCAGTCAACATGCTGAAAGAATAATCAACTAGTTGAATCTTACAGAATTATAGCCTGTCCTGTGCTGTGGAAGGCAAGAACATGACCATCTTTTACAAGCATCATCCTATGTTCAAAATGGTAAAGGCCGGGTTTACCATATAAACAAAAGTACATCATACTTGATATTTGTAGTCAAAAGTAAGGAACATTCTCTTTTGATTCATTCAAATAATTACTTTACCACAAGTAAGAAAATAATTGGCTTTCACTTTTTCCTTCAACTCTTTTTCACTACTTCGCACTAAGAATCATATTCGACTGTGATCCCATGCTAGCTCCTATCTTTGGCATTATATTAAAGCCTCCCAAAAAGACTTCAATTTTTTATGTAAGCAGCATCTAATCAATTTGCTTTTGAGTTTGAGTTGCCAGAACCCTTCATTGCGGGCAATTTGCATGGCATCTATCCGTAATGCACTTCAAATTTAAAGTAGAAGCTATTGTGTTGGGATATATAGATAACATATAAAAACAAGATTCATATAATATGGATAGTAAAATACAAAATTGTGACTTGTCTCTTGGTGTAATTTGAACTCAAATTCGCAACATTGATTCGTCCCTTGATCTATCTTTTTATTTTGGGTGTGCCTATTGTCTTTACTCCTAATTTGGGTAAGTGGTATTTAGGAGGATGTTTAAACTTTGGGCTTAGAAATCAATTTAGCTAAACGTTTTTTATCTTAAAATATAAAGCGAAAAATGAAAACAATCAGTGGGTGACCCCTTTTGTTTTTTTCTGTTTTGTCAAAGGAGAATATATTGCTAACAGCCCACAAATGGCCCGGAACAAACAAAAACAAAGCGTTTTTGGTCCACTAATATCAACAACTTAGAATAGAAGTCTTAAAACATGGACTAATTGTGGAGTTCAACCACTTGGCCCAATATAGAGTTCCAAATAGTGATGGATTGACAAAAACAAAGTAATAATTTAGGGATGAAAAGTTGAAAAAAAAGGGATGAACAAATCATATAATTTAAATTGGTACTACATCGTACGCATTTATGAATGAATACAGAGAGTTAGATAGACGAAAAATATATATAAACAACACTAATTAACAGTTTTAATGCAGTGAATAAAAAAAGTTTATGCAAGTTTATTTTGTCAACATATATTTAAAATGAATAAAAAAATTTCTACAAATATTTCACACAGTTGTACTTACTGTATTAGAATAATTTCACATCAATTAATCAATATGTTCAATAATGCTTTTTAAAGATTTAATCTGTTATTGTTGACAAAAAAAAACCTGTTATTCAATCAATCTTTTGAAAATTTAAAATATCATTGTATTTTTTAAAAAATAAAATAAGAAAATAGTAATTTATGTAATTTTATTTTAGATAATAAAATCATTATTATTTTTATATGAGAATAATGTAAACAAAAATAAAATTAAAAAAGTGAGAAAATTTGATACGTATCTCTGAACTTTTTCTTTTTTCTTTTTAGGGAAATGCTTAATAGGACGAATGAGTTGTATATGAAAAGTGATAATATATATATACATATATATACACCGTGATTTTTGTCTATGTTCATTTTTATTTAATTTTTTAGAGGCATAATTTGTTAAAAATCTGTAATGAAATGGTTGGTATACTGTTATATAGCGTAACTCTATTTTTAATAATAAATAGATAAAATGTGAATTCTAGTTTGATACGCAATTACCTAAAGTCCTCCCCAGCCAACGAAAAGCACATATTTCGTATTATATTAATTATTAATCGTACAATTTTTTCCATGCTGACCTTTGTTCAGCTATTTGTACTCGAGTAGGCTTTATATTCAAATTATGAATGCTACTTGCTCATATTATAAAGCTACCTTCTTCTTTTTTTAAGAAATTCGATTAGTTGGCCTAATTTATTCTTTTTAGGAAAAAGAGAAGTTAAAAATAAACTAAACCAAACCTTACTTAAATCTCATTTGCCCCTTTTTGTTTAGCCTGCTTAGCGTCTGCAACTAGTCAACTTAGTGACTAATGCTTTTATATCATTAATGGTTTATCATATATAAAATATTAATTAGCATATTTATACATGATATAAGACCTCTTAATTAATATAGTTTACACTAAGCATAATCGATTGAAATCCTTTGTTTTTAACATTTGCGTGGTCCCACTAACGCCACTTATTAATTGTATCAGCGAATATTTTTAGCAACTAATAAAGGCAAGAAAAAATCCATGGGAAGATTACATGCAAAAACCTCTTTTATTGCTTAACAAAAACGCTCTCAAAAATAAAAAGGGATATAAAAAGAACATGGTAGCACATTTATCAGCAACAATTGATATATTAAATTCTAAGAAACTATGAACAAAATAATTGATACCGATCAAATAGTATATTTCAATTCAATTCAATTCAATTACAAATAACTAGAAACTGGAGGCCACTGCAATGCCCATACCTCATCCCACATAAGACATAATACAGTAGAGTTTACACGACAATAAAAAGCAACATTGACACTGAGGGAGAAAAAAAAAAGTATCACTTTTGTCTACAGAGATCAAACGGTTATACACGAACACCAATAACAAGGCTGAGCGATCGACATGAACACGCCCTTAACAACTGTTCATTGTCCACCTGTCAACAAAAAAGATTGATTTTCACTAGTAATAAGTAGAAGGTCCACATCCTTGGCACAAAACAAAAAGGAAGGTCCACTTCCTTATTATTGAAGAAATTCAACAACACAAAAAGCAAGGTAAAGCAAAGTAATTAAGTATACCACCTAATCACAATTATTTAGCAAGAAGAAGACATCAATTTTGTACGAATGAAAACTTATCTCTTCTTCCTTTCATATTCCTTTTTTGTTCTAATAATGAAGGTTGTAGAAAATCACATATATTCCTCACCATAACATCATGCTTTACAGACCTTGAGATAAAACCAAGAGGAAACACCTTCCAAACTCCCAGCCTCTCCCATATAAAAAATATTTACATATAAAAGCAAAACTAATTCGTGTGTAAAATGAAATTTATATAAACTGATTAACGAATAAAAATATAAAAAGATAGTTTAGTGCATCTTGTACATGCATGGCATGAATAACACTGTAGTTTGATTTTAAGGTGAAATTAGAAAGGGAAATCCAACAAGTAGATCGAAAATAAATAAACAGGAGAAAAAAATGATACTTACAAAAAGCTGAATTATAAGGGTAGAATCACTTGGTAATAGCATAGACAGCATAGATAATTCCAGGAATATATCCAAAAATGGTAAGCACCAAACAGATCCAGAACTCTACCTGCACACCACACACCACAAACAACAATGAATTACACGTACATACAGAAGCAACCAAATCAAACAAACAAACAAACAAACAAAAACAAAAAAGAAAGAGGAAGAGAGGTTCATTTCATTGAAAATTAATACCTTGCAACCATACTTAAGGAAGACACCAAGAGGTGGGAGAATGATGGCAAGGAGGATGTCGAGGCAGGTAGCTGTGTTCCCATCAGCCATTTTCTCTTTCCTTGTTTCTTTCTTCGTTCAAAATCGCAATTTAAAAGCTTGATTTTGCGAAAAATGAACCAAGAATTTCCTACTGTTAAGTCTGCCGAAAGACTGTGTGAAAAGATAATGACGAGTTAGGCGGTGGGCAGAGTGGTTATTTATAGACATGGAATTACGAAGATGTCAGGAAACATATATATCCACTCTATGGACCACGTGGCATCTATTTATTAGAAAAATTACGAGATTAAAACTATAAAACTACGTTTTCGATTAATCTTTCTATAATGTTCTTTTATAAATTATAGTCATCCCCTTCTTATAATGCCACGTATATTGTAGTACAAGCACGCGATTCCCTTACCGCGTAAAACCGTAAACTGCGACTGCGACTGTGATCTTCTTTCTTTAGGATGTGTGGGACAATCTTTATATTTTTCTTATATAAAACTCAAAATGGAACATTTGCAATTCTAGAATAGAATCAAGCGACAGCTCACGATTGAGACGTGATAGAGAAACTCATGCTGGCACGTGGGATGGGAGCTATGGGTTAGGTATGGGTAGGGTACTACAGTACCCATTCTCGTACCCGCGTTTTAAAAAAATATCCGTATCCAGCCCCATACCTGTATGGGTATGAACATTAATCCTCGTACTCGTACCCGTACCCTCTGGGTACCCGCATACCCGTCTTGTATCTATTACCCGCGCTTGTTTGAGAAAAAAATATTTATAAAGAAAAATATGTTTATATAATTTTACATAAGTAGCATAATAATACAAAAATTCAATATGTAGTTGTCGAACAAGGTACAAATATAGATAAAAAAACAAATATTCAAAGATCATAAATGTTAAATGTATCTTAATATAATAATTTTCTAAATTAAAATTCTTAGAAATAATAAGCAAAACTAAACACACAAGTTATTGTCAGTGATAATCCTATCTTGTGTGAGATTTGATTGATTAGTAATGTCAGAATGATAACGAAATAGATCTGTACAATGGTTGTCTCTTTGTGTGGGATCACTTAGTAACCTCTTGTGACGGCATTAACAACAAACTCTAATGAATAACATTTCATAGTTATTAAGTTTTAGTAAGACAAACATTCAAAATGAGAATAGAGTTAGAGTAGAGAAGTTCAATACTAACAATAGAAAATTGATACATAAAATATTTTTTTTAACTTTTGAATTTCAAATTGTGAGAAAAATAATAGATTTAATTAAAATAATATAATATAATTAATATATATATATATATATATATATATATATTAATACTATTATTTTTTAACTCATATACTATACGAAAGTATTTTATCAAAAATATAAATTTTTGAAAAATTATTTTAGTGAATTAAATATTTCTAATGTATATAAATTTAAAAAAAAAAGAATTTGAATAAAAGATAAATAGTTACAATAAAATTTTATAATAAAGAAATATACGTGTATATTAAAAAAATTAACAAATAAAAATTAACAATAATTTTTTATATTTATATCTTTTCAAAAACTTCTTTGAATGTGAATAAATAGTAAGAATAATATTATTTAGATTCAATAAATTATAGTTGTACTTGTAATACATATGTTGCATAGAAAAATATTATTTTAAATTAAAATATAAAAATAAAATTTAAATATTATTAATAAATAATAAGTTTACGGTAATAGTAGGTGATTGTAAAATTTATAAAATATTTATAAAATATTTATTATTTATCATTCACTTTATGATTAAAACATCAATATGATTTTATTAACAAAAATATTTGTGTAAAAAATATTTTATGTGTGTCATATATAAATAATATTTTAAAAAAAGTCAATCTCATATTAACTATGTAATAATTAAATTGTGTTAGCCAAATTAAATGATATAAAATAGTAAATAAATTTTTCTATTAAAAATATAAACCAAAATAAATTTTTTGATTTACTTTATTATTAAATATATTTTTATATTAATCTTATATAACTTCACATAAGTAATATAATAATACAAAAATTCAATTCATAATTGTATAATAAAGTTCAAGCATATATATATATATGCGGGTATGGGGCGGGGTGGGTACTTAGATACCCATACCCGCACCCATCCCCATTAAAATTTGCGGGTTTTTACCCATACCCATACCCGTACCCATATAGCGGGTAAATACCCTACCCATTGTGGGTAAATTTTGCGGGTACCCATCGGGTACTTTACCCATTGCCATTCCTATACAGAGGTTCCATTTTAAGCTTAAAATAAGAAATAAAATATATTAAATAAGTGCTTGCATTATTTAAAATCAAATTAAATAATTTAAAATATTTTACATATATTCATAAATTAATACGTATTATATAATTTTATTAGAATAAACCTTTATTGAGAAGTATATGAAGTATTTTTTTTCAACTATAAAATAATCATCAAACCTTATTTTTATTTGTATCATGCCGCACAAATTACATAAAGGGCATGTATTTGCCACACAGGGTCAATATTATTTATTTTTTCCTATAATTACATTCGTCATCTGTGAAGCAGATGTGTTCATTTTTTTCTTTGACGTATGGGTAGAAGTAGGGATTTCATTTTGCAAGGGCCAAAATTACGATAAACAAGTTATAAAATAAGCTAAATAAATTTGGAAGAAAGTGGGTAATTTGAATTTGAATGCAATTAATTAAATCGAAACACTGATTAACTATTTCCGAAAAACAAAGTTCATGTTTATCTTAAAAGTTTTGATTTATTTTTTTAATATTTTTGTTTCATCCATTTTTTTCATTTTATTTGAATTTCTTTTACATGTGACAAATTTTTATTTTTAAAAACTGTGTTATGTTCATTAATTGTGAAAGGTTTTTACTATCACTAAAATCAATAATTTGACAGACGACCATAAAATGGAAATAAATAATAAAAAATATTCGCACAGTGGACTTTTTTATTTGTAATTTTATAGGCAATGCATAATGATGATTTGGGTCATTTCCTATGGCTCATCTTCATCGACTGATTGTTTGCACAGGGAAAGAATATATTAGTTGTACTGGAAACGTGGACTGGTCCAATGATGTCATATAATGCTTCGGGAGTTTATAAAAGTCATATCTTCTGATATTGTTAACAATAATTAAATTTTAAAAAATACTGACAATGAACATTTATCTTACTTTAAGAAAACAATTGAGGGATTAAATCTACAATTTATTATATCGAAGACCTATTATTCTCCAGTCAATTAACTTTGCTGATTTGCATATTCTTTTATTGATTACATCTTAAAATTTTACTCGAATTGATCATATTATATATGTATACACACACTATAGACACTCAACTGTCTACGATGTTGAGCTTTCTTCGTTTTATTGTTTGAAGTTATAAAATAAATTTCATATAATATAAAAATTTAAAATGTATTAATTTAACTTCTTATAATTTATATAAATAAAAATATTTTTTTTATCTTTTATTTTTCTTATTCTTCAAATAACATATTTTTCACTGTATTTTAATTTTAAATTTTTATATTTCCTTTTTCTCTATTTTTTTTCTTCTTGATTAAGCATGTTATTTCAAATAAGTTTTTAAAATAGCAAAATAGGTTTCAGGTTAGCTGAAAATGTAAGTTTTATATTGATGGTATATTAAAATTAGTCTTATATATACATAGCAATGTTTATTTTCTTGACAATTATTATTATTTTTTTAAAAAAGAAGCAATACATGTAAAAAAATATTTGTCACTCTGTTCTTATTTTTAAAATATATTAAAAATAAAATAATGGCTTTGTGATTTAAAAAAAAAAAAAAGTTTCGCGGCCAAACAGACATTAATTTTTGTGGGGTTACGTTAAGCAAAGCTAACCATCCTTTCCACGTTAGAAACGAGTTCATCACGTGTGCCAGCTATTGCACATTCTTTTCCAGCACCCCAATGACATGGAGCACCTAGGGGGAATTCTCCTCGCATAAAATACTATTAATCAAAATAAGGTTTATTAATAATTTAATTAAATTTTTTTAACGATATAAACAACTTTTCCATAATTATCTAATTATTGACGGTCATATCATTAAAAATTATTAGAGAAGTGTGGAAGGTGCAAAAGAATAGAGAGTTTTCACCACGTGCCCCCAAAAAAGACAAGTCAAATACACGTCCACCTCTTTCTAAGTAATTAAATTAAATGAAAATAAATCACGAGTAAACTATGTATTTTTTAATTTGTATTTGAAGGCCCGGTGAAGACCAAAAACAATTGAAGGCCCGGCCCAATGCTCCCGTAGCTTATGGTGGGTGCTTTGGTCTTCGGGTAGAAAGTAGAAAGAAGGAAGTGCAGTAAGGTAAGTATTATGAAAATTGCGTTGCCAATAAGAAAGGTTGTGAGAAGAGAAAGCAGAAAGTATTATGAATTGTCCTCAATCGATCACTTAAACTATATCCTCAGCAATTCATCACAGTTGAAGAATCTAAAACACGTGACACAAATCCACTCTCAAATCATAACAACTAATAACGCTTCCCTTCCCAACGTGAACAACCTTCTTCTTCTGTACGCAAAATGCGGTTCCCTCCATCATACCCTTCTCGTTTTCTCCACAACCCCTCACAATGTCCTCACGTGGACCACCCTCATCACCCAACTCAACCGTTTCAACCAACCCTTCCGTGCCATAACCTATTTCAACCGCATGAGGACCACTCACACGTACCCAAACCAATTCACCTTCTCCGCCATCTTACCCGCGTGTGCGCAAACAACGCTTCTTCCCTATGGTCAGCAAATCCACGCTTTGATTCATACACATGGTTTTCAAACCGACACGTTTGTAGCTACCGCGTTACTTGACATGTACGCTAAGTGTTCCTCCATGTCCTTGGCAGAGAAGGTGTTCGACCAAATGCCCCACAGAAACCTCGTTTCGTGGAATTCTATGATTGTCGGATTCTTGAAAAACAAGTTGTTCGGTCGTGCCATTCGGGTTTTTCGAGAGGTTCTCCGCCAGACTTGGTTTGCTCCCGATCAAGTGAGTTTCTCCAGCGTGTTGAGTGCTTGTGCTGGTTTGGTTGATTCGGGTTTTGGGAAGCAGGTGCATGGGAGCATTGTTAAGCGTGGTTTGGTTGGTGTGGTTTACGTGAACAACTCCCTGGTGGACATGTACTGTAAATGCAGGATGTTTGATGATGCAGCCAAGTTGTTCTATGCTGCTGGATATAGAGATGTTGTGACCTGGAATGTGATGATTGCTGGTTGTGTTGGTGACGATAACTTCGAACAAGCTTGCAGCTTTTTCCAAGCTATGAAAAGGGAAGGCATGGTACCCGATGAGGCTTCTTACTCCTCTGTTCTTAACGCGATTGCATGTATTGCAGCATTGACACAGGGCACCTTGATCCATGGTCATGTATTAAAAACTGGCCACATGAAAAATGCTTGTGTTTCATGTTCTTTGGTGACTATGTATGGCAAATGTGGGAACTTGTTTGATGCCTATCGGGTTTTTCAAGAGACAAAGGATCGTAATGTGGTTTGTTGGACAGCTATGATCGCGGTTTTTCATCAACATGGTTGCGCTGATGAAGCGATTGAGTTGTTTGAGGAGATGCTTAAAGAGGGGATTGTGCCTGAGTACATTACTTTTGTTTCCGTGCTATCGGCTTGCAGCCATACGGGGCAGGTTGATGATGGTTTCAAGTATTTCAATTCCATGGCTAACATCCATAACGTTGAGCCTGGACCTGAACATTATGCCTGCATGGTAGACTTGCTTGGTCGTGTTGGTCGATTGGATGAAGCGTGGAGCTTTATTGAATCGATGCCAATCGAGCCTGACTCATCAGTTTGGGGGGCTTTGCTTGGGGCATGTGGCAAGTATGGCAGTGTTGAAATGGGCAGAGAAGTTGCAGAGAGGCTTTTCAAGTTGGAACCAGATAATCCAGGGAACTATGTGTTACTTTGTAATATCTATACACGACATGGGATGTTGGGAAAAGCCGATGAGGTCAGGAGATTGATGGGGATCAATGGGGTGAGGAAAGAGACTGGATGTAGCTGGATTGATGTTAAGAACAGGACCTTTGTGTTCACTGTGAATGATAGGTCACACTCAAGAACAGAAGAGATTTATGAAATGTTGCAAAAGTTGAAAGAGTTGATAAAGAAGAGAGGCTATGTAGCTGAGACCCAGTTTGCAACTAACAGTGTTGAAGGGTCTGAAGAGCAGAGTCTGTGGTGTCACAGCGAGAAATTAGCTCTTGCATTTGGTCTTCTGGTCCTTCCAGTTGGGTCTCCAGTAAGGATAAAGAAGAATTTGAGAACTTGTGGTGATTGTCATACTGTTATGAAATTTGCTTCAGAGATTTTTCAGAGAGAAATTATTGTGAGAGATATCAACAGGTTTCATCGATTCACAAATGGCTTGTGCTCTTGTAGAGATTATTGGTGACTGAATTTGAAACGCACGTAACAAAATAAACTTTGGAGCCTGCCTCTCAGCTCCCTTTTTTACTAGTGTCAAAGAGTAAAGCGGAGGAGGTTGTTAACCCCGAAAATTTTGAGAGAATATTTTATTTATAAGGGAACTTCTTTTTAATAGTATACTATTTTTTAAATGAAATTAACAGGGAAAGTGTCAGCCAATGGAAACGATTGATTTTGATTTCTAAATTTGAGAGATTAAAATCAATTGACCCATCAATTGAGAGATGTATGGCATCAAAATCTTCTTTATTTGATTTTGATGTGTATTTTGGAGATGTGTGTACATAAAAAATATATGCTTATATGCTTGTTCAAGTACTGGAATTGATTTCTGTCGTGGTAGCTAGCTACTTCCTTGCGGTGGGCCTAATTGGTAATGTGCAGAAGTTATAAACATTCAAGTCACTGAGCAGTTCAAGAGAGAGACAAATGGGAGAAAGGGTACTAATCTCACACTATGCAAGGCAATTCCATATATACAGTAAGCTTGCAGGTGACTCATATTCGAGTGAGTGAAAATTGATGGTTTGAGGAACGGAGGATGATATCCCATCATGAGAGAGTTGTTGAAAAGAACATTATTTCTTTGGGGTCGTGAAAACAACATTTCTAGATAGCGGGTCCCCAACAACTCGGGCCGATGACACTGCATGAGTTCGACTGTAGCTACCAATTGGGCTTCGTAGCGTAGTCATTGAGCTGGGAACCACAAGTTGGGTCCATAATCCTTCAAGTATAAATAGTATTTCTGTGTATCAAATTGAAAAGTTTCTTAATCCATCCACAACTTTATACAACAACATGTTGTCTTTCGAACGTTCCAAATGTACATGCTACTAATATATATTTTGTTTAATAACAATATATGTACAATTTTTATTAATAACGCATCTGATGCAGTCTTACAGAAACTCGTTTTATTCATAGTGGCTGGAACATTATTAAATTGTACATAGCACAAAAGTTAAGAGTAATGATGAAAACAGGCCGGTTGGTTGTTCACAGTACCCTCCTATATGCGTTCTTGCGCGTGCTGTGATTTAAGATTACGTTTTTCAAAAAATGTATGTTAATCAGATGGGTCTAGCGGTCATGGGCAGACTCACCAATGTCTGCAAAAATGGTAAGTAGTGAGACAGCATGCTTCGAGCCAATACTAAGTAAATTATCAGTTCTGTTCTCTTTAATCATTCAGGCAACCATTTATTAACATTATCCTCAGTTATGGTTCAACTCCTCTATAAGGAGATTTGTTTTCATAGATTCATGCTACGTCATTTTAGAAAGATAAATAGAAGTCAAGTCAAATTATGAGAAACAGATTTCTTAACTGTCATTTTGTTTTTTATAAGTACTTTATTTCAGTTAAATTACATGTCTGACAATTGTTAACTACAACCCTTCAAAATGTGTACTTCAAGTACTTGTGTTAACGGGATGCCAAAGTCTATGTAGTTGGAAAACAATTAAAAAGACTACATGTTGAAAATATTTGAAAAATAATTAATTTAAAGATCCATCAAAATTGGTCATTTTGAATATACATCACGTTGTCCCAAGTGTCACAGGTCCATTGTCTCCGTATCAATTAATTGATTCAATTCAAGGTCACTTGTTATTTCAAGGAGGCAAATTTGGCGCGATCCACGGCTTAGACAAACTATTCCTATATTTTTTCATTAGAAAGGTGTTTAATGTTAGTTGATTCAGCAGTCAAACATCCAATTTGTCACCAGTAATGTACTTACCCATTATACAACGCAACAATGCATATTCTGCTGTCTGCAATTAAACCGATATTGCCATGATACATTAGGGTCCTAGTTAAGTACACACGCCTTCGTACGTAGCAAAGCAGGTGAAATATGTAGAATAATAATAACCTGGTTCCGCTTTGAACTTTATCAATGTCACATAAGAAGGTAAATCTCTAAAAGTCTAATCTCACCATTTTGTTGGACTTAGAAAGTGTATTTCTTATCCATGTTGAGAAAACATGCAAGTTAATAATAGTAATTTTATCATTTGCATGCATTATGTATCATTAATTTTACAAAATATGAGTTCTCTGCATTTATATATTTTTTTAATCAATTTTCACTCTCGTCTATATATATTTATATATTAATTTTAATATCCATCTTAAGTTCTTAACCACAGATAGAACGATAAAAAGTATTATCATTGGGATGAGTATGCAGGGACGTGAAGTGGAAGGTAGACGACCACAAAAACTGAGTCACATCTGACCAAATAGGAAGAGACAATGAGTCACGTGAATTTCACCGACGCACGTGAAATCCACGCCCACAACCCAGTGGTCATAGTTTAGTTTCACTTCTTCATCGTTAACACGGTTTTGTTTCGTCAATTTTAACAACATACCCAGTTTTCTGATCCTGTCGCTAATAAATCTTAATCATAATGTGGTATATACTCCACCAAAAATTAAAATAAATAAAATCATGTCCATGTCATTGGAACCAAATCGCTTTCTAGGTGACCCAGGTGATCCCTATTTTGTCTAGCAAGTGTTTATCTCCTCTCAAACTTCATGTTCGGTAGGCATGGTAATTAGATTTAAATCTTTAAGGAGTATTTATAGAACAGATGATAATTATCTGTTAACTTGATATAGAATTAAATATGCATATTTATTCATACATATTTGTAATTATCTGTTAAGATTTCAAAGTTTATTTAAAAGCATTACAAGATATTTACTCATGGAGGAGCTGGGCAGCAACCAAAAAGTTTTATATTTACTCTTAAGAGATATAAAATGATATTTCTTTAATTAAAGTGTAGGTAATGAGTTTTGAGATACATATTTCAAAAGATGAGAATAAAAATCTAAGGACTGATTTTTGTTTAAATAATACTTTTAAATTTATGTAGGTAAGTGCTATTTAATATTTACTCATATTTTATTTGAATTTGTTATAATACTTTAGCACGTAAAACTCTCTTTCCAACAGGAAAACAAAGTAAACAATAGGAGAAAAGGACAGCACTGCTCCCATGATTGCAACGCCCAATCAAAACACTTTCACGAGTCCAACAAAGAAGGGAAGACCTTCCATCACCGTCTTTCATTCTATTCAACAATTAAGAATTTGAGACAAAATAATGCTAAAGTCAATAAATAGTAAATCCTTAATCCTCAATTTTTAAACCCAAAAATTTGATTATTATTTAAGCTTATCCATATATAGAGGGTCATTGTTCAAACGGATTATAACTTATAATAATCCGTCCATAATTTTGCTGTGTTGCACTGTACATTTATCCACACACAACACCACACCTCCTCCAAACTTTTAATGCCAACCCTTATCATATTTTGAAGAACAAACTTTTAAATTGTTATTTGAATTTACATGTTAAACGTTCACATCATTATCTTTGAATATAAAATTTCAGTAAAATAAAAATTATTATTATTATTTTTTTATAAAATAAAAGACTAATGATTTATTTTTTTAATTAAAGGACTTGACTTCCACAATCTAATGAAGTTATGAATTTTTGTTAATATTATTCTTTAAATTTATTTTTAAGTATTTAAAAATAATATTGATTATATTCTTATATTTTTGGTTTAATGAAAAATTATTTTTTATACAAATTTTAATTATTTAAAATTAACCCTAAAACAGTAAAGCATGAATACATGGCTTTTTTTTTATATTTTTTAAAATTACATAAATATATATTTTTCTTCAAAAATCGTTATGACAAATTTGGGAAAATCATCGGTGACAGTTTTTAGTGTTTTTTAAATATTTTATTATTATTTTAAAAATTATTATTATCAAATTTTGAACTGTTTACATTTTTTAATATTTTTTTTTCAAAATTGCTACAGACAATTTTTGAGATTTTACCACTTTTTAATTCTTTTATCTCTAAAGTTTTGTATCAATATAAAAAATTGTCAAATAATAATTTTTAAATTTTATATTTCTGTAATTTTATAAAAAAACAACATATTTGTTTATTTATTATTTCTAAATACTATATATATATATATATATATATATATATATATATATATATATATAATCCTAAATATGATGGAATTTTTACATTTAAAAAATTTATTTTGTGTTCTAAAACTACGTAGTATCCACCACTTATTTTGCACCATGTGTTAAAACATTATAATTTATGAGAAAAAAAAAACATAATGTTAGCAACAAGTGGTCCAGAGCAAGTAGATCATAGAAAAATTGCTTCTCTTGTCTTGGATTAGAGTTAAATGAAAGCTAAAATAGCATCTATCTTAACCTGATCCTTATGTCCAAAAACACAACCAGTGTGGGCCTCTGTTGAAGGAGACCGTTGGATTTGCAGAGGATTTTGCAAAGTGATGAATGGACCCACATGATCACCATAATTCTATTAAAAATATTTATATTCTTCATTACTTTTTCTTATATTTATTTTTTATTTTTATCACATTTTATAATTTTTTTTATCTCCCTTTTTCTCAATCCATTTCACACCCCATTCACAAGGTTAAAGTAACATTTTCTCTTAATTAACAATGGTTATTGAATTTATTCCATTTCTTACCTGTCTGCTTCCCTCTGCAACTGTTTGGCCGCCTTCTTTCACCACTCCCATTCTGAAATTTTGAGGTTTCCCTTAGTTCGAGAGGAGAGACAGTCTCTGAACATCACTTTTGTCAACTCCAGAGTCAGTGAAACTGCCAATGCATCATCACTCAAACAAAGGCCATCACTGTACAATTACGCATTAGGATTAAGAATTGTTCATTTTGTTTCTTCTTTTTGGAGGCCTAATCGAGGGCCTTACTCTTTCTGGTTTCTGGGTAATTCGGAAGCTTAAGATGATCTCAAGTCTCAACTTTGAACGAGAGTTGTTATTCTGGTCCATAAAAATAGTAGAACTTTGGGGTATTTTAAAATGAACGCTGATTGGACAACTACAAGATCAAATCTTTTTCAAGTTTTCGGGTCCTCACTTGCACATATAATATATATTATTTGCCAAATTTCATTAAACAGTTGGTTTGACCACGATGCTCTCTCTCAGTTATTAATTTATTACAGTGCATTCATAATGGGGAACTTGTTGGTTATTAATGATTAGTTATTTATTACTGTTTCTTTCTTCTTCTATATTCAAATCAAACAGCGCTGCTTTGTCTCATAGCGTAGTGGGGCTTGCGTCAGGTTTCCGTGTTTGGGTTGTCAAAGGTGGTGGTTCGCAGTTAATATAATATTTATGTCTTACGAAACAACAATAGTAGTTTTGTTCATCACTTTTTAGGATCCATTTATCATGTCTCTGCATGAGTTATACTACCGCATGGCTGAAGGGAAACTTGATCCTAAAGAGATTAACAACACATGTGCTGCACCTGATCAATCTTCCCGGTGAGTTCAACACATCATTTCATCTTTGTTGTCTTTCTCCGACTCCTCTTTTTTTTTTTTTTTAGTTTTGACCTGCTTTTGCCAAAATTGAATTTTAATGCAGACCCAAGAATGATTTGTTTGAGCTGGTTTGGGAAAATGGTCATATTTCAGTGCAGGGTCAATCTAGTAGAGCTAAAAAGAGCTCAACTTTAAAAAACTTGCACAGTCCTATGGGTGAAGATAAAGATAAAGAAGTAGGATACAATATAAAGATGGGAAAGTATACTGAATTGAAAGAAATCACAAGGCCACTCCCTTCAAGTGAAGTAGATTTTAGTCAAGAAGAGCAAGACCTCATTCCTTGGTTTAATTATGGAATGATCAACTCTTTGCAACATGAATATAGTTCTGATTTTCATCAACTATCTGGGGGCACCATGAATGACATCACAACCTCAAATAACTTTTCTTTACTAGTTAGAAGAAATAGTTGTAATAAGATACACTCTTCATGTCATGTTTTAAGTTCAGAACAAGGGATCCTTTCCAAGGGATCTTCAGCTGCAGCTGGAGAAGTTGACAGTGACACTCCTAGAACTAAAGCTAGCACCACCAATCACTTATACCAGCCATCATCAATGCATCAATCTCAAAGATCATTTGCATCAGTTAGATCAAGAATATCAGATATAGCTGAAAATAATACTAACAATGCAACCCAGCATGAACAAATCCCTCTGATTCCATCGGCCTCAAGGGGTTTTTCTAGCTTGCAAGGTCCAGTTATGTCTAGCAATAGCTCCAATATGATGAATTTTTCCCATTTTGCAAAACCCGCTGTTATTGTCAAGGCTAATCTTGAGAGCATTGGCTTGACACCAAGATCAGCGAGTGTAGGAGTGAAGAATAAAGGTGTTGCCGCAACTGGAAGCAATCCTACTGAATCAACACAAGTTGATTTAAGTGGAGAATGTCCACATAAATCACCTATACACTGTTATCAGGTTGTTGAACCATCCAAGTTTGAGCCAAAATCTGCTGAGCATGATGCTGATGTTTCTACAAAGTCTGAACCTTCTGGTAAAGAAGATGTGCCTAAGATTGATCAAAAGTCATATCTAGTTGTTGGTGAAAGTGGAAGAAAAGAACAAGAAGCTCTTGAAAAAAGGGTGGAGCCAGCAGTAGTATCTTCCTCTGTTTGCTCTGGCACTGGTGCAGAGAGAGGTTCACACCAGCCAAATCAAAATTTGAAGCGAAAAAGTCTAGACACTGAGGATTTTGAGTGCCACAGTGAAGTTAATGTCCTAAAATTTCTCTCTTATTTATGTTAAATTATGTTCTTTCTTATTTTATAGTCTTCCACCATATTCATTTATTTCATTTTTCGTTCTTGTAGGATATTGAGGAAGAATCAGTTGGTGTTAAAAAGGAAGCTCCTGCCAGACGAGTTGGCTCCAAGAGAAGCCGTTCAGCTGAAGTGCATAACCTATCTGAAAGGGTGAGCAAGATCATCTGCTATTTGTGTTATGTTAATCAAGTAGCAACAGATGTTCCCTCTTAGGTTTATTTTAATTATGTTGTTTCTGATTGACATGACTAATGACTATAAACTTTTGGGACTTGTTTGTGTAGAGAAGAAGAGACAGGATCAATGAGAAGATGCGTGCATTACAAGAACTCATACCAAATTGCAATAAGGTTGAGCTTTTCGTTTCGTTTACGTTTGGTACATCTAGGAAACTTCATAACATTATGAAAGGTTGATTATCACTGAGGATTTAAGCTTCAATTTGATATATTTCAGCATGTTTTGATGAAGTGTTGAGTTATTATTATTTTTTATCAAATCAGTCACTGCAGGATTGGCCCAACATTTATATAAACCTAAAATGAACTTAAAATGAGTCCTTTTAAAAATAATTTATTTTACTTTTATTTTAAAACATTGACCTCCTTGTTGACCTCATTGTGTCATTTGTAAGATTTGTGGTTCTTGTACGACACAAGATGTAAATAATAGTTAAAGGAACACTAGGATTTGAGGCTCAAATAGTTTATAGAAGAAAAGGGCCAATATATCTTTCAACAAAATGATGAGCTATATTTAACCAATGATATAGAAAAACAAACCCTCCCAGTTCTTAAGAGAATCTTATGGATCAAATAAGACTATTGATCTTCTAGGCTTGTACCTTGTTAAACTGGGAGGGTCAATGATTATGGCCATTTTAAACAAATGGGTAAAGGGACTCGTGATGTGATTGATGAACAGAATAGAGAATGACGCACATTAGTCAGTGAACAGACTGAAAAAATAGATGAGAGATAAAAAGGATGAAAAAATGGAATAAATTATAATTGATACGTAAAGTGTTTTTGCTATTTATGAGAAGATAAAAAGTAATAACACCATAAGCAAATTTTTACGGAAATATATAATTAATTAATAAACCAATATTATTTATTAAAGAATTAATATATAAAATATTATTAATAAAAGATTAAAACATTTTATTTTTAAAAAAAATTAAAATATAATAAAACCTATTAAGCTAAGCCCAATCTTAACTTACTGCAATAGATGTCAATACTAAAGCATAGTTTTTTCTTTCAATCCTGAACTTGAAAATTACAAATCACGATCTCTCACTAAAATTCACTATAGAAATAACAAAAATTCTGTTTCAATATCTTGAGCACACACATTAATTAAAGCAGAAGTTATTCAGGCGATAATATTTTATTAAAATAAACAATAAAAACAATACATGTAGACCACTATTTTACTAGTCAATATTAAAATATAAATATTAATTTGTGACTTGCAAATGGTTGTGTAATAGCTGACATTTAATTTTAACTATTTAAATATGATTATATGATTCAAAATTATTCTTATGTTCTTAAAACAATAATTACTCTCATAATATATGTTAGTGTAAATAGAAAGTGTCGTATCATCAAAGTAACTAGGAATTTTCACTTATATCAAAAGCTGTTAATTACTTTTTAAACAGGTTAGGGTTACAAATACGGTTTCTTGATTGTATAAAACTCTTCACACTACTTGTGGGTCAAAAGTTAGATTCTATTCTTATGTTTGATTTCTCATTTATTTTGGCTTTATTGACTTCATGTGCAATAGGCGGATAAAGCTTCAATGCTGGATGAGGCAATTGAGTATCTTAAAACACTTCAACTGCAACTTCAAGTACACTTTCTCTTTCCATTGATCCTTTGAATTTTAGTTTTTCAGATTACATGCAATTCAATGTAGGGTGAGATAGTTACCTATCTTTTTACACAGATTATGTCAATGGGAACTAGTTTATACATGCCTACTATGATGTTACCTGCGGGAATGCACCACATGCATGCATCACATATGACTCCTTTTCCACCAACGGGTATTAGCATGCAAATGGGGTTGGGTTGTGGAATGGGCATGGCTGATGTTAATGATGGATCTTCCACATTCCCAATGATTCAAGTGCCCAAAATCCAAGCAACTCAAATTCCGGTTGCACATGCACTTGGATCCAATGCTTTAAATGGAATGGCTAGATCAAATCCTCAAGTGTTTGGGATGACAATGCCACATGCTCCCATGTTTTCTTTTTCAGGAGAACCTCTTATGAATATACCAGCTCTAGGACTAAATGCTTGTGGAACAACAGGGCTTATGAAAGCTATGGATTTGGCTTCACCCTCTAGCTTAAAGGATCCAATGCCAACTATGAATTCACATGTTGTGCAAAACACTAATGCTTGTAACTCAACAAATCACATGTCCACGCAGGTCTGTTTGCTGACAAATTTCTTGAGCTTTTGTGGAAATACATATTGATTGGTATTAAGGTTCAATATAATCATGTTACTGAGTTGGTTTATTACAACTAATGTGGAAGGATAGACCCCATTTATTGTATCCAGTTATATAAGAGTTTGCTGAACATATAATTAAAATTGTTTCCACAATAATTTTCTGGAAGTGATACGTTTCTTGATGTTTGTGTTCATTTTGTTATGCTAGTGTGAAGCAACAATTGGTGGATTTGAACACTCAACTTGTGAACTTAATTTTGGTCATGCCTCTTCAGCAACTGACAGAGCTGTTAATCATGGTAAAGAAGATATCCTTGTGATTGATAAATCTAGTATATATCATTAGATGAACGTGTTTAAATACATGTGCCTTTTGACATTTTACTTATATTTTAAAATTAAGGAGTGTCATATTAGAGCAATTTAACGTTCAACTGTACTTACAGGTTATGATTGATGCATTGACTGCGGCTAATAACACAAATTCTCGTATCATCCCAACAAGTTCAATCTAGAGTTCAACAGAAGATACTTGAAAGCCATTTTGGGTCGTCACAGTAATCATTGGGATCCCAATTTTTACTACATCGATTTTGACGTCTTTGGACAACACTCGTAGTCTTATACATTCACTGTAGTGACTAACTTCTAAAGTTCTTTCTTTTTAGTACTTAGGAGAGTTATAAAATATTTTAAAAAATGAATAATGAATGCTTAGAACGTTAGGTTATAATGTCTTATTTTCTTTCTTTTATTTTGATAGGTATTTAAAGTGATAAAATATTATTTCAGATAAAAAAATTAACCCTTCTTTTCCTTTCCTTCTAAACTCCATTATCCAAACATACCCTTCGGTCAATAATTGACCAAGCCTCTTCACGTTTTTGTGTTCTACAGTGTATTTTATATTTTGTACATTAAAAGTAAGTATGGGCTGTTCATACTGTTCTTTTTATCACTTATGTTGCTGTATTTCTTAGTGGGTTTATACCGTGTTTTCATGAATCATAAAGTGATGTTGATTTGTATAATACAGAATTTACATAACTGTTGACCCAAAACAAAAAAGAATTTTGCATAACTTTGAAGAGCATTAATTCCAACAAAACTCCACTTGTTCGTGTAAGTGGAGCATATGGGCTTGAACATGCAGGCTTGGAAAAGCTTCCTTCGCGGTATAGACCCAACTTGACAATGGCCTCGAGATTTGACCAGACAAAAAAAAAAAGATATAAAGACAATGGCCACCAAAGAATAATCAATGAATCACCCCATTGGAAAAGAAATTAAATAAAATTGATAAAATATTGGGAAATTATTTATTGAGAAGAAGATATTTAAAAAGTTAGTTAAGTTTTAAACAGCTCAGCAATATGAAGTTATATTTGTACGTTGATTTTGTGTAATATAAAGTGAAATGTTATAATTCTATCATGTGTCTAAATATATATAACAAAAACTCATACATAGTATGTTTTAATTGCAAATAATAAAATATCATAAATTTTAATGCCTTAATACCATTATATACTATAGTTTTTAATAAAAATCTACTATTTTTTTTTAATTTCTTCACATGTGCCTATGGATACAAAAAATTAATGTTAAAATGTCATAAGTGCTATTGTGATGTATCATATTTGAATATAATAGTTTTATATTTAAAATATTGAAACTCTATTAACAATGTCATCTTAAAACGAGTACAATTACTAAATCAATAAAAATTCAATATTTCATAGACTAAACTACTCTATTTGTGGAATTGATTTATGATACAATGTATGTGAACTCCAGCACCAGGAGTGTTGCAAAAGCTATTTAAGTAAAATGGCCGTCAACAGGCGTGGAATATCAGCATCTTGATCTATTTCAGACTAACAATTGAAATCACTTATTCTTACAATTTAAATGGTCTCATTGATGCATATAATGGCTATCTAGTTACTTAATAGTAATAATAATAATAATAATAATAATAATAACAGCTTGACATTATATCTGAATCAGCAGAGTATAGAAATTCCATGTCACTAACTAATAACGCAAATACAACTATATGAGTGATCTGACATGGATATGTAACCATAAATCTCTTATCGTTAGTCAATCTGAAGCTGGCAACGTGAACAAGATGATGACATTAGGAGTAGAATGATACACAGGCATGTTGTGGACATATAAATTATGGTTGGCTCAGATGTATTAAGCTGTATTGTAAAGTAAATATGTACTACGTCCAAGGATGGTTGAATTAGATGTTGGGTTTTCTAATGTCTGGCACTAGTTCTCCTCAAAGTTTTTCTTTTTGGCCCCGTAATCAAAATCTATGGAGTATTCCCCAAGCTCAACACAAGTTATGGAATAGAGATTGATTGAGAAGACTTAAGTCCTAGAGCAAAAATGCCTATTATAATCTCAAATAGTTCAAGTAGAGGCATAAGCTCTCTCCCAAAATCAAAAGTAATGATGCAAATGTAGCAATAAAGTTGACTATCATTTCCCACTACAAAGTAAAGTGAAAATGTAATTATTCAAGAATGGGGTACAGAGGAACATTTCAACCAGACAAAGCTTTTGATAATTAATGGTGTTAGGGCTTTTGATGGGCTTATGTGCCATTAAAAACTCATATAATTTCGCCTTGTTATTGAAGTCAAATTCCTACTTTTATTTTGGTTTTTTCCTATCTCGTTTTCTAGATGCTTACATGTTGTAAACTTAATAAAATAACTAATCAAAGTGATTAATAGGGAATAAGTTCTACACTTTAACTTAACAATGATTATTAGTTGGATCTTAATCTTCCATTTATGGAAACCAACGTCATGAAAGAGACAATCGTGTTTCTGTCATCATCGCTCGTAGCTTTGACAAGACAAAAGATAACATAAGTTGCTGTTAACAAAAACACATGAAATTTCCATGTGCTTGTGTTTCCAATAACCCTTAACGGGCCAATTTAGCAGAATAACATAAGGACTTCTTAGATTGAAACTTTTGTGAAAATTACTAGCTTCAGTTATCCAACAAATCAAGGTGGGAACTGGCTGGCCACAAATCCTATTTCATCATCATTGTTGTACTACTAATACTACTACTTAAAGAAATTTCCTAATTACTTAACTAAGTAATGTATTTTGTTCTGAATCTTAAGGAACAACCCCACAAACTATTGAAATCTTTGCGCTGCTTAATTTGCAATGATAATAATACATATCTTCCTTCTGGAATAATCACCTTTTTTACTGGGGCCTAACTTAAGAAAAGACACTTCAATATTGGCTTGTGCAAAACAAATAATTTTGGTGGGAGCTTTGACAGAGACCAAATTTTGCTAAGTAAACTTAACTTGAAAGTGGTTACAACTATTTCTACAGTTCCGCGTTGGTTATTTTAATCAAATTATTTCCGATTAGCTAATTACAATTACACCAAGCATAGATAGGTGAGTATCATGAAATTATGAGTTGTAACAACTGCTCTTTCTTGTCAAATAGTTGTCTTTTGTAGGATTATTAGATTTGGAAAAGCTGGTTTTAAGGATAATGCAGAGGCATTTCCATTTTTCAAGGGCAAGTGGATTGTGTCTCCCTCAATTTCAAATGCCCATTATGATCATCCCAATAGTTGTCTTTATGAATTTTACTTAACAAACTTCCCATCAACATTATACTTATAATTTATAAGCATTCAAGCCTTTCAAATCACACATTTTGCTTTACTTAGATTGCATCGTTTACAATTGTTAAAATGATTAAAATCGTTTGTAGTACTAATTGTTATTAAAGCCTCCCACATGATAAGATAGGCTTTGCAGAATATATGCAAGTTGGCATCCGTTTCAGGAAATTTTTTAAGATAATTTCTAAAACCAAATTATACTTCCACTTTATGTAGTCAATAAAGAATAAGAAGACCACAGAGACATTTTATCACTGAACCTGTTACAATCATATCATGTCACTGAAGCAATAGATCAATATCAATTAAAGCGTTATGGTTGCTACCAATTGTTCTGTACTGCTTGTATTTTGGTCAGTGCTAGAAATTTTGTTGGCTATGTTATTAACTTTTGAATTTGGGAAGTATTCTCAAGTATTGTACCCTACTGCTTTCAATATAGGAGGGCATTTATGAATAATTGCTAGGACCGTGTTGAAGTGAGAGGGCTCATAGCAAGGACAAGATTATTGTAGTTCTATTTATTTCAACGTAAGTAATCAATGATTTTCTGGACAAATTCGAAGAAATTTGAATACAATTTTTTATTTTTTAAAAAGGGGGTTATAGTCCTTTAATATGTTATTTATGGCATTATGCATTGGACCTAAATAATAAGCTTAATTTTAGGTATGGCCTACCAAGATTAACATCACATATTCCCATTGACGATGATGCCACACAATTCTTTTCTTATGCAGTTCTAATAACTGGGGGACCAGGGGCTGCAATTACTAAATTTTCCATACATATTCTACCTTCTCAGAGCAATCCCAACTCAGCAACTTGTGAGACAAATACACAGCAAAGTGTTCAAGCGATTTTGGATTAGATTTGTCTCAACCATTGTCTGGGTCTGATTATGAGGAGGGTTCAAGAGAACTTGACATACCTATTGGCCCTTACCTTCTCTGACTAAAAGTCAGTTAATTTTTCAAAAAAGTAAAATGAAAAACAGATACCATGAACCAATCCTTCCATACATGCGTGTTTCTTGAACAATTTTATTCAAACACGAGAATTAAGGTGCCACCTTATTCCATCTATTCTGGCAGCGAATATTTGCCTCTACATGCTTAACGTTCATCATAAGAAAACAAATTCAATAATTTATTTATTGTTAGAACAAGGCTCCTTCATTTGTCCCAGAAACATAGACATCAATTTTGATTTCAAGGAAGAAAAGAAAAAAAGGACTAAAAAATGTTGGTTCGATTATGTAGCTGACCAATTTCATTTTTGTCACTAATTAAATGACCCAATTGATTAATTTTGATGTGAATATCCTAAGGACAACGAAGCCGACATATATTATAGACGTATGTAGACAGCAAGAGTAATGGAGCGTATAAACATTTTACAATGTTCGGAGTTTGACTTTGCCGAACAGCTCATATGGGAAATATAAGATAAGCCCATAAGTGCATGATGAGGTATGGTCGTGGACTACGGAGATTACAAGCATCTTCACATTGAGGACTTATTTATAATTCAAATGCCCCTATTGGATGGCTGAATTAAGACATAGTTTAGGCCACGAAAGCTCACAATGTCAGAACAAATAGACAGGCAATCACAGAAAGATATCAAAATTAATATTACTAATATATTATAAATTTATATTATTGAGAGGTGAAGATACTTCTTTTGAGTTCAAAATGTGTTCAGGAAAAAATGAAGCACTTGAAGACAAAGTACTGTTTTGGCTGCTTCTGTGCCATGAATAACTTGCAGAGAATATTGTACAATTTGTGCCATCTCAGAAGGACAAAGGAAAAGTTTAATTTATTATGCGTACAATGTCCTATAATTACTTCTATTCCAAGATATGTAATGTAATTATTATTTTTCTATATAAAAAAAGTAGGTCATCCTTTCAATCTATCTTCAATTTACATTACTTTAGACACATGCTGCGACCCTTATTGTTGTTAAGTTTTCCTGTTTTGAAATGATTGAAGCAAACGCCTGTGAATTGATTATTTTACTACTTGATCCCATGTCCTTGTGTTGGCATGCACGGTAACTCGTCCCTCATTTAACTAACTTCTGTGGCATAATTTTCTTTTTTCTATTAACTTTTGGATGATTCCTCAAGCAGTCAAACTCTTTAGAGTGAAAAGGCTTCAGATAATTGCCTCTCACACATGCAGAATTCAACGACATATTGAGAAATCCTCCATTGGTGACACGAATTACGTAGTTCAAGGGAATGCCATTCAAAATTGACTATATGTAACAAAGGTCAGAAAGCTCATGTGCTTTTTGGACTGTGATCTCTCTTCTTTGCTTTTGTGATTTGTCCCTAGAGAGGGGAAAAGCTACTGTTAACCAAAATCTTTGAACATTTTTTCTTCTCCGAACATAAAATCTTTTATCTTTGTCTCACAATCATTTGCTTTTTTTATATTGAATGCCTATGTAATAGCTACCACCTAGATGAATAATGTCTAGTTATTTTTGGTCTCCCATTTGGTAGTATTTTTAAAGTGGCACAAACCCTTTGTCCTAGAAAAAATTTTCAATGTTTATCAGTAAATTTTTTTGTATCTTCATCAATATTAATCCCAATTCAAGGCAGTGAAAAAAGTACAGTAATTAAAGTCAAATGTCAAGTATTGGTATCCTGTGTGTACAAATCAAGTGTAATTTAATATGAGCCATTAGATGAAGATCCAAGGCAGATGTTCTTCGACAGCACCAACTGCGTCACTTTTTAACTACAGTGAATTCATATTCTTTGGGTATGTTTTTTTAAAATTTTTGTTTCGACTAAGCTAAAGCCTAGTCAGAGAATATTTTTGAGCAAACTATACATACAAGAGCCCAAATATTAATGATCAATTGCGGGCTGAGTTTTGTTAATCTTAATGTGACAATATATAGTTGTATAAATACTTGATACGTGACACAGATGCAGACATAATAATACAGCAAATTTGAAGTGTTTACACGTAATTCAAAGTATCTTCCAATACAAAATAGAACCCGATCTTAAAATATCTGGGGTTCATAAATACCAATTAATTATCCATACTTATTTGCTTTAATATATTTTTCAGAAATGCAGGCTTCAATAAGAAAAGGGACAATTATATTATTGTGATTGTCGCATTTGCATAGAGTTGTTTGTTTCTATTATTAACTATGGTTTTAGTACTCTACCTAAAAAAACGACGGTTTTAATATCTTTCCACACAACGAAGAATTTTTATCAAGTTAGAATATTGAAATTGAAGAAATCCACATTTAATAAAAAAGGTACGTAATTTTCAAATTGCAAAAATGACGAATCATTTGGATAGTTGGTTGAATTCCAGCAATTTCTATGGGAAGAAATGTGACCTTAACTGGCTCAGATGTCAAAAGTAATTTTGTATTTGTACCCAAATGATGAAACTTTTCCAAACGATATTGATTTTTCAAAATGATCCCAAAAAGCCAAAAAGAAGAGAAGGTCAGTTTTCTACCAAAGAGTATTTGGCGGAAAAGTAGGACAAGAAAAGGAAAGGGCTATAGAGTTTTCAAAACTTGAAGAATTATCACCAATAGGAACAAAAGAACCTAGAGAAGGTTCTGTTATCTTCAATTTAATGCACTATGCTTTGTTTGCTTACCTTGCCCCTCTCAGCCTTTACTTCTCCAAGGGAATTTTACCCTTCTTTATTCTTGTGGTTTATTTGTGATTCATATTACTAATCTGGGAGTAGGCTTTGCCTAGGCTAAGCCACTCCTTGAAATTCTATTCAAGGTTCTTCTTTTCCTCTCTCTCTCTTAACTAAGTCATACGGGAATGGAGACATTTCGTCACACTCGAGAAGTTTCAAACTCACGAGATAACATCTATGTGGTCTAAGCAGCATGGTACATATTACATAACCACCAAGGTCGGTGAAAAAGTGAAACTAAAAACCGTCCTAGCTAGCATTATAGCAATTACCCACCAAAAATTGGCATATAGCTATCTATAGGATTTGATTCAAGAAAAAAAAAATATTATTTGCATGTTATTCTCTTTACATAGCTCTTGCACCTTTTTTAAAAAATAAAATAAAAAACATACTAATTTTAACCTACTCTGTCTTTATCTTTCTTTACAAAAAAGGTAAAAATATGAATCCACAGATAACAAAATTGTTGAGAAAATGCAAGTGGGACATTCACATATAAGTCAAACCATATGATCCTCTTTGATGGTGTCTTATATATCCATGGGATAGATGAGAACAATTGCATCTGGACCGTTGGTTGGTCTTGTGGGACCCAAACAATTATGTGGAATGTCCCGTGAAGAAAAGAGAGCAAGCCAGTTCTGGAAGGTCAGATATAAATTCAAAATGACACTGTCCAATCACCCCTCTTAACATAAGCCTCCTCCTATTTATTTGATTCTCTATCAACTTACAATTTTATTTGTCAAAACCTCTTAAGCTCCAACTCTTCCCTATAATTCAAATCAAAGTTCTGTCCTTGAGAATCCACGTAGCTTCACACACAATATATATAGTTTCTCTTTTCAAAGGTAGTGCACATGGGAAGACACTCTTGCTGCTACAAGCAGAAGCTCCGTAAGGGCCTCTGGTCTCCAGAGGAAGATGAGAAGCTTTTGAATTACATCACCAAGCATGGACATGGATGTTGGAGCTCGGTTCCAAAACTAGCTGGTTGTAGTACTACTATATACATATATATTGTTTCATCACCATATCAATATAGCAGCAAGTGCACACAATAATCTTCCCTCTCTTAATCTCTCTGTGTATGTTATATATATGTGTGTCAGGTTTGCAACGGTGTGGGAAGAGCTGCAGATTAAGGTGGATAAATTATCTGAGGCCTGATTTGAAGAGAGGAGCATTCTCACAACAAGAAGAGAACTCGATCATTGAACTTCACGCTGTCCTTGGCAACAGGTAATTGTTGTTAGTTATGACTTTTGGTCATTTAGATTGTTGTTTTTGTTGCATGGTTTCTATATACATGTGCTTTGATGCTTTTGTTAGGTGGTCTCAGATTGCAGCTCAGTTACCGGGAAGAACTGACAATGAGATAAAAAATCTATGGAATTCATGCCTCAAGAAGAAGCTAAGGCAAAAAGGTATTGACCCAAACACCCACCAACCCCTCTCTGAGGTTGAGAACGACCGGGAAAACCCACTCATAGCTGACAAAAGCAACCAAAAAACCTCACTGGGATCCAATGAGGTGAGTGTTGTTGAGGCAGCAAAACCAAACCCAATAACCACTTCAATGCCTACAGAGAGATATTCCCTTGAAGTTTCCCCAAGCTCCAAGATCAACAACTGCAGCAGCACCCTAGATAGGTTTGGTACCTGTCATGACAACTCCATCCCTAGTTGCAAACCTTCTGATATGGTAGGAATGGGGTATTTCTCTTACCAGCATCTGAACTATGGATCAACCATGGGACTCACTGCAAATCCCAACACCCAACTTTGCTTCATACCAAGTTCCACTTCTTCCCAAATGATGTCATCAGAGCTCAATTCTAGCAGCATGCTCCATTCAGTGTACCCAAAGCCCACTGTTAGCCTTCAGTCCAATGATCCTTCTTCCATATCTTCTGGGGACATTGATGGGGTTCAGAACTGGGAAGCTCAAGCAAGTACCTTCAGTACTAACAACGCAACCAAAAGCAATGGAAGCAGTAGCTGCAGCATTCAACTACAAAGCAGCACTAACTTCCTTGATAGCACCGCCCTAACCTGGGGGATGCAGCAGGCAGAATCTGCAAAGGCTGAGAAAGATGCTCATTCTTCTCATGTACCCTTACAAGCTGAGCAAGAAGACATTAAATGGTGTGAGTATCTCAACACCCCCTTTTTTCTAGGAAACACAGTGCAGCATCAAACCACTCACTCTATCTACAATGATGAGGTCAAGCCAGAAACAGGCTTTATTGCAGAGGAATCAAGTACTAGTTGGCACCATAGCCAGCATTTTCAGCCTTCAGATATATATACCAAAGATCTGCAGAGATTTTCAGTGGCTTTTGGACAAACACTGTAGCGTACCAGTACTTAACACGTGGGAACTTCAAACCAAGCGAGAGAGAGAGAGAGAGAGAGGCAAGGCAAGAATGCCGACATTTCCAATGTGAAATAGGTCAGATATTTGTCGTGAGTTCTGACCACAGGTGTGTGCTGTAAATTTTTCTTTTTATAATTTTCTTTTCATATTGTAAATGTGTCTGATTTATACACCCAAAAAAAATATCTCAGCAAATCAGCGTTATGTTACGGTATAATATATTTGTGATTGATTCAAGTTTTTCCCTTCTCATCACTTTGTTCATCAAACAAACACGGGTTTTACTGCAGAACAAGACTTGTTCCAGATATTGGGTTATATTATGGATCTATATATACAATTGACAGTGAGCATTGTTTTCCAATAAGGATTTTGTTCTTATTCTGTAACAGTTGCATTTAAAGTGATGGAGCGTGCTAGTGAGTGTGACACAATTTGTATGTCCGGGATGTGATGCTTTTCAAATTGAGAATCCAGTGAAGTTGTTTTGTGTGTCAAAGGTACCATTTTTTCTTAAATGGGTGGCTATCACTGTCTCATACAGATAAATATTGTTTTCACATTTTGGACAAACCTTAGCTCACTTCCCTTTCCCCTTAATGAGTGAAGATAAGAATAGTATGATATGGTCTACTCTTCCTTTCATTTACGTCTTTCTAAACACCTTCTCAAAATCTACACAATCAAAAACTGTTGATGGTTTTAATACCCAACTGAACCATTGTAGTTTGTAGAATAGAGAAAAAGAGGCCAAAACCACTCACGCACCAAATTTATGGCACCCCACCGACTAATTCAGTTTTATGAAGGTCACAGAAGCTTATTTAACAGCTTTTTTCATATGAAGTTATCTTATGGACGCGGCGAAAGCCAAAAGTAAAAAGCAAAGGGAAATTGGATTCGTGGTTAAGAAACGAGGATGTTTCACTACATTCATAATTTTACTTGGTTACGTACATGTAAAAAGTTTTAATGTTCCACGTGAGACGTACATAACTTTCAAAGTCGTTCTGTATCTCTACTTTTTTACCCCTTTCATCTCTCCCCCATTTCTATTTCACCAGAAAAATTCTATTTATACAACATTTTATAAATTGATTAAGCAAAAAATAAATAGAGTGATACAATGAAAAAATATTGTAAAATTGCTAAAAATAACATAATTCAGTTCATTAATATTAAATATTAATAAAGAACCTAAGAGGTAGATAAAGTACAACTTACAGTGCTTGTTTGTTTTCCTGTGACAATACGGTTTGACGACAAATAATTGAGTCTTACATTTAACTAGGTTACTGTTAGAGTATTTTTATATTTTTTAAAATTAATTTTGTAGGGAATAGAATTATTCTTTAAAATTTTTTATTAATAAGTTAAATAGTGTGAAGAGCGTGGATGACAAAATTAATGGATAAACTAGTTTAAAAGTTGCTGCACAGCTAAATTCGAAAGCTAATAAACAAACTAATTAAATTATGAGTTTCTGATAAAAATAATTATTGAATTAGCTGATAAATATAAAATGATAGATAAGTACATGATTAATTATTAAATCAAAAAATGAATTTTTTTAATTATATGTATTTTTTAATTATTATAAATAAAAAAACAGATTAAATTTTAATTAGATAAAATTTATTATTTAAAAATTATGTAATTTTATTAGATATTTGTATAAATAAAATTTCAATAGTATTTCTGTTTAAAAGTTAAAATTTTAATTTTTTATTAATAAAAGTTAAAGATGAATTTTGAGTTCAGGAGAATGGAGGATTTATAAAAAAAAAATTATAAATAAAAAAAAATTTAAGTTAAAGCCAAAGAATTGAACTAGTAAAACAAGTTACTTATTCTACGTTGAGACGTTTTGCTTTAGTCTTTGTCAGGTTAAATATAAAAATTAATTTTTATTTGAGCTTTAAAATATATTTAAACATCATGTTTTACATTTACGTAAATTAGATGAACTTACATTCAATTACAAAACAAGTTATTTGAGTCGTTTTATTTTAGTCTTTATCAGTTTAAATATAAAAATTCATTTTTATTTGATCTTTAAAATATATTTAAACATCATGTTTTATATTTAAGTAAATTAGATAAACTTAAATTCAATTGAAAATAGTTCAAATACGTCAAGTCAACAAATTTTGAAATTAATTCAAGTCTAAAATTTGTTAAGTTAAATTATTATAATTTAATGATTTTAAATATTAGTCTAAACTACATGTATTTTTTATTAAAAATAATCATGTTTTAATTGAGTAAAACTATTTCGTTCTTTAAAAATCAAACTCGAAATTAATGTTATCATAACTTCTGAAGCAGTTGATCCACATGTTAATAAATGAATATGCTAAGACAGTTGATTTAGCATATTTATTTTACTGACTTTACCAAATAGTAATATTTTAAAATTATTAATTTCAACTATTTTATCAAACATGGTTATGTTAATTAAGTAATCACATTTATTAACAGATTGTATTAAATATTATCTAACTTTTTATACTATAAAATCATATTAATAGTATAGTGTGTTATAGTGATATTTGATCTAATAATAACAATAATATTATTTTTATATTAATAAAGTTATATTTTAATATAATATTGTTAATGTAAAATTATAACATTCATGTTAATAATTAAATATTTGTGAAATAAATTGTATATGAACGATTAATAATATAATATTAAATTATGAATGGAAGATAATTTTTATTTTTGAAGTTATGATGACGATAGGATTGTGTGTGAACGTCCCAAGCGTGGGCTCAGGGCTGTACGTTATGCAGCAGAGAATGGGTCCCTTCATCGATAGGAAAACGAAGGATGGGCTTAGCCTCCGGAGAATGACACAATAAATGAACGGTAGAAAAAACATCCCAAAGTGAAAGAAGGAAAGCACCATTCTCTTGACTTACAAACAGCAAGTGTTAAATATTGTTGCAAATAACGTTTGCAATTGGATGAGTAGTCTCTTGTTATTGTCATTTATTATTTGATCATTTATGTCATTTTCTTAGATGAAATGAAAAATGAGGTTAAATAAAATAAGTAGATTCTTTTTTTATTGAATAGCTAATCAATAAAGAATCCATTAATTATTGATAATTAGTGTTTTAAGTTGTATGATTAAAACAAATAATTCAGAACTTGGTCAGTGACATTTAATGAATTAAGAAGACACTTGTAAATAATAGAGTTTGATGGTTATGACTCTTTTCAAGGTTAAACCAAACATTAGGAAATGTAATGTAATTCTTTTGCAGGTTGTTGAGAATAAAAATTATATTCATTTTATATATTCTACATGAATGTTGAGAAATGTTAGCATACTCTAGCCTTAATTAAAGTTGAAAGTATGTCTTCCTTCTTCAGTGGCCCGCTTTCTTAAATCTCCTTCCATCTTTTAATCTTTAATTTTCTTCCCTTATCTTCAAAATTACTTTCATTATGCATGGATTATTAAATAACAGACAAAACAAAAAATATATATTGAACTATTAACTCAGTTATACCAATACATATACTCGGCCTTTTTTAATGTTGTGCTTATTTTAATTGAAAATTGAAATACAATAAATTAAAATTTAAAGGAGTAAAATACAATAAAACTATTTAACTACTTTACATATCATGTCTTAGTTACTGTTCAATGGAATGAGTTGGAGGAACTATTATCAATGTATAGAATTTATCTCTAATATAAAAATTTTAAGTGTGTTAGTTTATTTTACAATTTACTCTTATTTCTATCTACTTAAACACAATTTTATTTATTTATTATAAAAATTACTTTTATTTCCTTTTCTTTTATTTTACTCCACTGTCCAAACAAACCCAATTATTTATCCACCAAAGAAGCTTATGCTACACTATTTTGGACTCAGCTGCTGAGACAGTGACGCCTGTCTTTTCCCTTTTTTCTCAAATTACATGACAAAATATTTAAATTTTGCGCGACACTTTACGAATAGGAAGAAAAATAAGCTTCTTATATCATAGTCATACACTAATCAGAGAGGTCCCCTATAACGCAGAAAACCGAATATTTTTAAGATTTGGAGTTTGCTTATTCATACGTTAGGACAAATTTCTGGCACCATAGGAACAGATACTAAACTTATCCTCTTCATATTTTGTTGTATAATTTCTCTTACTTAATTCAAACACTATATGCTACAATTCGGACCCCGTTAACTCATACCGTCCATGTGCACACACAAATTCAAAACTCTTCATAGTCATTTAAATATTTGAGCTTATTCGTTGTTTAATTTGCAGGCACTACCAATTGCATGCATAGAATCTCAAACCATGTGAAACAAATTATTGGCTTTATTTGATGGGGCCCTACAATCATCAATGTAAAGGAACATAACAAAAATCCCAGGTGGGTAGCAATGGGTTGGTAGCTAAGCAATCCCAGGTTTGAACTCACGTAATTTATTAATATTGTAGTTTTACAAACCTCACAAAGTTGCTTGTTTCGAATTATTAGCATCTATTTGATAGTGTAGGCAAGTACAAGTAACTAATACACAAATTGTTGATTATGATAAAGATGAATAATTTATTTTTGTGAGGGGTGGTCATGAAATTACAAGTGATCGGGTTGGGCAGATGGAACATAGAGATTCTTGGGCCAAGACCAAAAATGTGCGGCGCAGTCCGGCCCCAATCTAGCCCAGTCATGTTGACCAAAAAACAAAAACCCCACTGATCATGAGAATCAAACTTCAGTTCTGGACTTTTCTATAGGTTGGGTATATATGCCCCTTTATGCCCAAAAAAGAGAGAGAAAGAAGAAAGTCTAATTAATAATGTGTTTAATTTAATTTAAAACTGTTTGGTAAATTAAAAACACTTTTTTTCTCAAAATATAAATAAAACACTTTAAATCACTAAAAAATTAGCTTAATGATATAACATTGGGTGTAACAAACAAAAGAGACACGTCTGAACAAATAAACTCATTCTCTCTTTCATTTTTTTAATATCTTTGGGTACACTAGACATCCTATTTATTCCAAGCCAAGGGAAATACTAAGTGATGGCATGAAAAGTACGAACTCCAATCATGGTAATGATTGACTGATTAAATTTGCACTTTTCAGTATCCTTTTTTCCTTTATTGTTTTACATAATTGAATAGCATAAACCTCCACTGATAGACGAAGCGCAAAAATGAATTGAGATGATGAATGAAATTAGGCTCATCTGAAAGTCAGATGATGACACGTATTGTCACAAGGGTAAGGACAATCAATGGCCTTAACACCTTCTCGATCAAAATACCAGTCTCCAACAGCCAGAGCAATTGCCTGCATATTTTCAATGTATATATATTAAACTTAATAATGATCACAACGACATTATATTAACTAGCAATCACAGTTAAGTAGCATATTCCAAAACTATTTATGACTGCTTATAATGTTTCTACAGGTGAATCGATATTATATACCGAACGTCATGGCATTTAGTAATATTATAATAATATGCTCCATCAAATATTCACTCTCCTATTCTACTTTCAAGCTTTTCAGTGGCTACAAATTTCATTATGAAAAAAATGCATGCAAACGTGTCACAATTTTCAACTGAAACTACATTGAAGTGCCGGGCTCACCTTGTTCCGAATAACAGGAGAGTTGTCAGCAAACCATGTATCCTGTCTCTCAGTTTGGCAGTGAGCAAAACAGGAATTAATAAACAACCCATTTTTGTTTGATCTTGAGAAGTCTTTAATAGCATTTAGCATGTGGTTCCTGAATCCTGTATCAAAGAGACAGTGAAATGTCTCAATCAATTGAACAGTTTCTAAAAAGACTTCTATCGCACTTGTAATGAATGCTATTTCTCGTATATAATATCACCTTGCAGAAATTGGATTTGTGATGTAGTACATTTAGCATGGTTTAATCTGCAATCATGCCAATAGCCATTTGGATCTGCAGATGGAGGAGCTAAACTGGACTGGATCTGTGGTTAAGCAGGAAAATGTATTTATTTAGTCTAATCTATCAACAATTAAGTTACTGGTTATTACTGCCTAGTGGTTGATAAAATGAGACAATTTACCTGCCATGAATCATAAGCAGCATTAAGAATGAATAATGGGGTTCTAACATTGGCAATCAAGTTTTGAGGGAAGAAGCACTGTAAAGAAGGTAAAAAAAATGAGTCACTGAAAGCTCAATTAAGAGCAAACAATAATGATGGATCCATTTTCTGCATGTTCTTTGAAATGAAACCAATAGTCCTCAATTTTTGGCATGAGAGAAATCAATGATTACCGAAATGGGATCAAGGTGATTAGTACAAATTTGTGGAAGATTCTTCTGCGCTCCCTGCAATGATTAAACTTATAACCATGTCAATTGACGAAGTTTTCAATTCATACAAACTACTATGGTCTAGATACCCGTTTTCATTAAAGAAAGGATTTTAAAATTCAATTTAACTGCTAACAATATGAGTTCCTCATCAGTCTTCAGGTTTAGCCAAAACCATGTGAAAGATCACTGACCAGACCAAGATATGTCTAACAAGATGCTCGAGTAAATTTCACATTTAACATTAGCATTCGGTTTTGAAGTTATCAGTCAATTCTCAAGATGACCATGAAAAAGGAAAGTGCTTTCTTCATACATTTTGCTTTCACACTACTATAATGCCTGGGTGGTACCTGCAATCCTACAACACCGCTGTATAAATTCCTGAGGGTATGCCCACCAGATACATCCATCCTATAATTCCAAAGGAACAAAATTTAAAAACCAATTTAAGAACCAAAATATACGATGATGGAAATGGCACTGAAAGCATGAAATTCTGCAGCTTTTCACTTACGCATCAAGAAACAACCCAGCATCACTTAGACACTTGACTTTGGTAGTTCTTGGAAAGAAACCTCTAAATTCATCACAATGTATAATAGTAGCCAGGCCACCCGCAGAACATCCGGAGAGAAGAGCCTGAAGCAAAATTAACATAACATGAGAAGAAAGATTACTAAGTGTATGTATGCACATAAGAGTCTATGACCTGATTGGCAAAACGCATTCCCTTTGACATCAAATCTTCCATTGCAGCTGCCCAAATACGCTGTCCTCTGAATTGCAGCTGTGCAGTCTATCTCAACAGATAATTTGTACCATTAAATATAGCAGAATATTATAACCCTCATTTGATAATCTAAACTTAAAGTGAATTTAAGTTGAGTATGCCAAATAGTGTTATTTTCTCTTTCTAAAAGCCTTACACAGTAAACCATTAAGTACATTATATTAAATTTATAAGGCAACAACTTTTGTTATTTCATCTTCTTGCAACCAAAATAGAACTAAATTGCATTCCAAGAACACCTAGATATCAATCTTCACCTTATCTTCACCATCCCCAGCGAATGAGGCACCATCACAATAACGAAGCTTTACTCTGTTCCAATTGAAAAAATCTACAAACATGATGAATAATAGCATGAGCAAAACGGATAATGTCTATAACAATAACAAAATTTGAGCATCCCGAGAATGGAAACCTGGGTTTTCTCTAACGTTGTTACTTAATATTCCCGTAAAAGGTATCTTCTTTTCCATGAATGATGATGATCCACGCCGGGTTGTCTTGCGATAAACACATGTTCTGATATTATTACACCATCCACCTCCCTGTTACAGTATTTCACTTTGGCATCACTATAATGCTTGAAAAAGAAATATGACATTTGGAGATCCTAAAGCTTTTATTTCTAACTATTTTCAGCCATGTCATGTCGCGTCACAATGGGATTCCAACAACACATTCACAAGAAATGCTTTCAAAAGTGTCAAATGAAAGACTTGTCAACCTTTTGTAGTATAAGACATATTCTATTCAAAATTATAACAAAAAATAAAATTAAAAAATCAAGTGATACCATTACCTCTAAGTTAATAAGCCAGCTGTTTGCTCCTGATCCATATCCCCGATGCAAATGATAACCAGGTAATGTTCCATCCAAGCACACTACCAAAGCCAAAAAAAAAATTAGCCAAATTAAAGGCAAAGATTTCTTCATTTTTGTTAAAACCTGTGCCTCTGCAAATACTTACATAAATATATTTCTTTATGTAGAAACGTTCATATTTTGTTACTTTATAATTAATTGACATACATAGGGATTATTTTAAGTTGAAAAAAAATATTTCTATTAACATGTTTACAGAATTTTTAAGATAAATAATAATTTCTCAATATTCATGTTATTATCAATTTAACAGAGAGACTGGTGCAAGGATTTGGTAGTAGGAAGAAAGGGGAACAAAATAGAAGGGGTTGACAAATAGGTCAAATTAACTAAATAAAACAATATTAATACAAATAATAACATATTTCCTTTAAATAACACGCAACAAGCATTAAAAAATTTAAGGAACAAAACTTGCAAGAAATTAAATTAAAAAGAAATAAAACAAATTCAATCAGATAAAGTGTATTCGAATATTAAAATGAGAAGAAGGTGTGGTTTCTGTATTGGTACAGAAACACAAAATTAAGCAATTATACTTCAATTGGTTTCAATTAGATTGTGTTGTGTACCTGCTCCTTTAGCATCAGCATTTTGGATAAGGGTGAGTCCTACCAGCAGAAGATTCCTCCCTTCCAAGGATAAAGAAGCTTCATGAGCCTCCAACACAGACAGTTCAGTTTCATTGAAGTGATGTTCTTCAAATCCTACAAAACCATCAACCCAGTTTCTAAAAACAAGTCCTATAACAATGCCAACCCACAAAAGTCTAGCCATGCCGCTTCTGACTCCTCCTCTCTGCTCACAAGGTACTCACTGTAACTGTATCTTGGCTAATGAAGCAAACAATGCACAGCCAAATCTGATATTAGCAACATATGAAAAGCCATTTTTATTCTCTTAAAATTCGGAGTTGATCAAGAATGAGTTACAAGGTAACAAGAGGGAGGAAGGAAAAAGAGGTGAGAATTTTATACATTTGCCGGGCTTTTTTAAGGTTTTTATTACGGCAAGTTTCGAATCTTATAAAGTTTAAGGTCGCTAAATATGCGTAAGAGTTAACTTGTAATAATTAAATCATGATATAAAACTTAGCTTGATGTATGTTCTCGATTTGGGTTTCAAAAAATATTTTTGTATTAATTTTTTAAAAATTATTACTCATAATAATATTATGTGACAAATATCCGTAGCCTAAAAATAATCACGGTATAAAGTTATAAGCAGATTTTCATAAGGATATTGAATTATGATTAACTTTTTGCACAGTTTAAATAAACATGCCAAATTAAAGCTAAATTTATATTAAGATATCAATTATTAATTAATTATGGGTTTGGTTTCCTGCATTTTCGTTTGGGTAACAAAAGAAAAGGGCAACCAAATCTAAAAGTGCACCCGAGAGCACGAGACATGGCGGTGATCGGTAGTTGCATGGACTGTTCTGTCGTTCTTCTTTGTTCTCTTCTTAATTGTGTATAATTGATCGTCGGTTTGGCCCGTTCTATTGTTTTATATTTTTATTGTTTACTAAGATTTTTTATTTATATTATTTTATTTTTGCCCATGATCGTCTCAGCCAGAGAAAGAAAATAGGAAATAATGTTTCATAAATAATAACATTTAAATCTGATTATGATCAGTTATCAAAATGGTCCCCAAAATTTAGGTAAATCAATTAATTAATATAGACTTAGCCAATTTGTTTTAATAGCACCGAGGCTTTATAAGACCGAATGGACACCCGTCACCCTTAAAATTAAGAAAGAAGGATCAAAGAATGTTTGCTTGTCACAACTAAAATATAGTTTTTATCTTGAAAATAAATTTCTTACAATAGTCGAAAGCATTTTATTGAAATAATTTAATAGAGTTCTCTTCTAGTGCCCTGCCTACATCTCAATTGCTTTTAATTAATGATTTGAACATGTGTACGATAATTAGGAGTTATATTTTTTATTTTTATAATATCTTTCATAACATTATTGTTTTTCTTCATTTTCATGATTAAGCTTTTATAATAGAAGGGTGAGATATTATCACATGCTCAACACGTTACGAATTTTTTGTTATATGAGTTCAATTGTCCTAAAACAAATTCGAAACAGTTTGAGTTAAATTAAAGGTAATTACTTAAATGATATATATTTAACTCCTCTCAATTAATTTATACTAGTATTTTATAATCAGTTTAAGTTGTACATATATAATTACCTTTCAAGAAACTCTTGGTTGATTGAATTTGTATCTCATGGAGGATACATATGAGCGAAGCAAAGCAAGAATTAGAATTATTGGTACCCAGTTCAGAGCTGCCGACAAGATCAAGGGAAGAAGCTCAAAGCAAGTGTATGGCAATATGGGCCCTTTTTTCCACTTTTCTAATTAGATGCAAAGCCAAGTGAAGAATATAGGAAACAAACAAATTGTTTTGAAATTTAATTTTCTTTGGGGTATATAGATGCCAAACTTTTGCATAGTGGGATCAAATATGCGTTTCTCTTGAGGTGCATTACCCACTCTAAGGTTAAGTGGATGAGTGATTAGTGTTACAAGGGCAAGCACGTTTGGAACAACAATGACTTCTAGAGAGGTGTAGCAATGGCCTCGAGACACCCAAGCTTGTATACAGCATACACATTGCGTGTACGCAACTTATCCGTATCTACGCCACCGCTTTGATCTCTCCCATTTGCATTGCACTTGTGCCTATCAGATTTTGTGTTGTGCTCTACGCCTAATCTTCTCCAAGCTTAATTAATTCCATCCATTTGCATTGAGGCTAGTAAGCCACATGTTGCTGACATGTACTCAAGTAGTTGCTCTTTATGTGTGTATATTTTTATTATTTAAGCTATAAAATTTCATGGGAGGGTGGACTATTTAAGCCCAATTTCGATGTTCTTTTTACTAAAAATTCTCAACACACACAAAATAAGTGTAGGGTTGGTCAAATTATATATCATAAATCATAATGTTTGTGATCACGTGCAACAGACACAAATTAATGGTGAACCCAATTCATTGTTCCGAATCATGATCCTCGCAAGAAGTAATAAATAAAAAACGGTGTGCATGTGAGAATTTCATGTTCCGCAATCACATGCGCGATGCAACTTTTAGCATAGATAGAAAGGGCACAACACAGCTAGCTATCCCACAAGTTTGCTGTAAAGCACAAACAGTTGAGTAGGCACTAATTAAGGTGACAATGTGAAAAAGTACACCAAGAAAAAGGTCGCAGCAGCGAAACAGAAAGGGCAAATCTTGGTCTCTCTGCACTTGCAAGTCGTAGCATTAATGTGCATAAACCCAGCCTTGTTGGGCTGCTGCACAAATGCATATGACTTACTGTTTATTAATTTTCAGTGGCTTACAGCCTCATTGACCAAATCACCAATAATATATTAAAAGTGAAGGGATGCGATAGCATATTTTTTAAATTTCAAATTAAAAAAATTATGTATTACTTATGATAATAAATATATGATTACTATATTAAATTTATATTTATATTTTAAAAATATTTATTTTAAATATAAATTTTATCTTTTTCTTTTCTCTCTTCCAAAATCCCTTTTCCCACTCAGTCTTCAAGAGAACTTTTAGTTCATGATAGTCAAAAACTCGATGTAGCAAATGGTAATGATATGTGAATTATCTAGGTTAATTCATATTTTCTATGTTTTAGAGTTCTCATCATTTTGAATATCTATTTGTAGTAAGCATTTAACGGTGAATATGAAGGTGCGGATCGATTGAAAGAAAGAACGAATAAAATGAAAGTTAAGGAAATATAAGGATATTCTATTTAATTTGTAAGTAAAAGAGAAAATTTGTTTGTCATTAAACATATTTAGCATAATTCAATAAAATTTTAATTTAAGAGTATTTTAATTCAATTAACAGAAGATGAATTTTAATCCCCTACTAGAAAAATATAAAATGTTTATAAAAATGTATTTCATCTCCTCTCCTAGTCTTCAATGTTCTCCTATCATACATAATAAAAACTTCCTATTTTTAAAAATAATTCTAATATTCTTTACATGTTTATGTTTATCGACTTTTTATGGTTAAAATTTGTTTTGTTTTATTAGTTTCTATATTTCTTATTGATTAATTACTATAATATTTGTATACCTTTAATTAAATTACTTGTATAAAATCAAATTTTTTCAATAAATAAATGTTAAAGTTAATGATTTTCTTAAATTGTGTATAATAATATTAAGTGACATTTAAATTGAGATAATTAGGTAATTTTTGATAAATTTTATTTACAATTAGATGATTAATAAAAGAATCTATCATATTTTAAACCAATGAATCAAAATATTAGATTGACAATGATTACAAAGGTATGAGCCTGTTGCATGTTGTCCCAAAATCAGTCCTTATAAACATGAAATTCTTAGGATGAAATTTTTTGTTGACAAGTAAAGCAAACCTTCAAATATTTTCAACATGGATGGATTTAAATTTAATGTTTATTTATAAAAAAAAATAGTTTAATGGATTTTTTTAATATTTTAATAGTTGATATATTAAAATTTTAATGTATTTTGAATAGTTATAAATAAGGTAATATTTTATGTGTTACTATAAAATTCAGTACACGTTTGCTTTTCTATTATTTAATGAAAAGTGTTTGAAAAATATAAAACGAATGATAATTTATACGTAAACACCAATTTCAAAGTGTGTGGACAACTTTGATGTCTGTTTTTTCAATTCTATTGCAATTAAACTCTGCAAGTTACAAACAAAAATTAAATTAGAGTTTTATTTAAATTTACTGAAATCGATTTTAAACATTTTTTTCAAACGGGTACTTAATCTAACTAAAAACCATTAAACTGGGATTTTTTTTCAAAATAATATTTTAACAAATATATTTTAATATTTTGTCAAATAATTTTTTTTATCTGTAACATTCTTTTAACGTTAACCCTGTTTATATATTGATAATTTATAACGATTATAAATCGTCACAATTTAAAGAAATAGGATAATTTTAAACACATTGTGGCAGTTTTGTGCTAAAAGAAAAATAGATTAACAATAGCATGCTTTGTTTATTTATTTTGCAGTGGATGAGTCTTAACGAAGAAGATGTTGTTCGTATAAGTTTATTGAAGTTATTCTAGGACATTTTTTTAAAAGGCATAAATCTATTAAATTAGCAGTTAGAAACACCGAAACTAATTGAACTGGTTTTAGAAATAAAAATGAAATAGAATGAATTTAAGAGAATAAGATTGAATTATACACACCAATGACTTGATAAAAAATCTTTAGAATGAAAAATCATTTTAAAAAATATTACAATAAAAATTTGTCTTTAAAAATATCATTTTGAAAGATAAAAAACTTTTAAATTGTCCATTTTACACTCTAACTTTTTTTTAATATTATTCTTGTTAGTTTAAATAACTTAATAAATACATAAATACTTAGATATATGTATATTTGGTTACACATGTGCTTGTTTTATATTTGAAACTAAAACGAGGGTTAACTCAGTTTTTTAAAATATATTTTTCATTATTAACAAAATTTATTAAAAATAACATTATAAATTAATATTTATTTTACAATATAAGTAGTTAAACAATGAATTTTAAAACATTCGTAATTATTTATGATATCAATAAATATTAATGCATTATATTTATTATTATTAAAAATAAAATTTGGTTACACAATATACAGACGAGAAACAAAAGTAGCAATGCTTATATGCATACCAAATCCTAAACCAAAGTTGTCAATAAAATTTCCGTTTATGTTTGGTGATGGAACCCCTTATAGCCAGTAGTCACTTCGCTATCCTATCACACCAAACATCTATTTTGTGTTTCTTTTTTCTCCTTTTCATGCTCACCATTTTCTTTTACGAAGAGAGCAAAAAACACATCCACATTTTATTCTAAGTCTTTCATAAATAATATTGCATTTTTCTAAGTTAATAACGATAAATAAAAACTATATGTTTACTATATTCTAAAAAATAATAATTGTTTAATTTAAAAGTGTTTAATGATAACCATGTTTATTATATTAATTGATAGAAGGGTATTAGTTTTTCTTTAGTTCATGTTACTTAATTAATGCGCTAAAAATATGAAAAATTATTATCACTATTTTTTACTTAAATAATAATTATTTTTTAAATAAATGAGTTAAAAATTAGAAATACTATTTTCATTTTTTTACATGATTTTCATCTTCTGATATTGTTATCAAATAGAATAGGATATTAATAAAGTATAAATAGTTTATTAAGTTTATATTGTATTAAAGTAAAAAAAGTATTTAATAATTTTCTTAATTTTATATCAAACCTTAAATAATATTTGTTTAAAAATTGATGAAAAACTAGCTTTTTGCTAGTACAAACCTGTGATATCAATATTAGGATGACACTTAGCTCATTATTTATCTACGACTATGTTACCATAAATGATGTTGGATACAAATTGAATAACTTTTTATATGACTAAAATTTAAGTGTTTAATTTTTGTTATCTGTGCAATATTTTGGGCAATAAAAAATAAAAAATATTATAAAAAAATTATAGTATTTAATATTATTATATATTAAATATTATAATTTTTAATAAAATTTAACTATAAATGCTTTTTTATAATGTGAAAAAATAGACATGTTATAAAAATTATTTAAGTATTAACTTTGCTTAGCAACGAATTACAAAAACATTAAACAAGTGAACTAACTTGGCTGAAAAAAGGAACAAGTTGAAAAAGAAAAGCTTTAAACTCTGGAGACAAACAGATGGTAGCAGAGGCAACAATAATAACCATCAATCATACAAGCACGCATGTACCATAACAGATATTTCAATAACTATCTATTTCCAAATCCCAAGCTTAGCATTAGTACATTACATAGCAGCCTCTTATGCTCACTCTATTCAATTCAGTGTTGTCTTGACTCTTGACACTGTGCTTCAATTCCATTCTCTAACTTTGCCAGAGGGTCCTTCACTCACGTGTGTTCCCTTCCCTCACTCTTGTTTTCAGAGACATTTCAGCTAAAGCCTTCAAATCTGGGCTTGAGTTACGCTCTTCAGATTTGTACTTGTACCGTGAGGCCCAATAAAGGTAGTTAAAAAAATTAAGACAACTAAGTGTGGCTAGGAACCAATAGAACAGGTTGAGGTTATTTTGGTTTAAGTCAAACCCATGCAACCAACCTTGTTTACTTGGGGTGATCCTTTTGGTAATTGCATTGATGACATTGACAAAGACAGTACTCAAGAAGTAGCCAAGAGACATTGACAACCATGTGAAAGATGTAGACAGTGATTTCATGCTTGCAGGTGATTCCCTGTAAAAAAATTCCAGTAGTCCTACGAGTGTGAACATATCTGCAATTCCAAATATACCATATTGAAATGAGAGCCAAAATAGACTTATAGGCTTTAAGGGGTCATTCCTCCCCTGATCCCTTCTTTTCACTTCCACAATCCCAGCCACTGCCATTGATATTGCTGAGAGGACTAATCCCACTCCTACCCTTTGAAGTTGTGTGATGCCTGAAGGGTGGTGAGTGATCTTTCTTGCAAATGGCACAAAAAATAACTCATACATAGGAACAAGGACGCTTATGAAAACAAGAGGGATGACGGGAATAGATGGTGCAGGCACTGTAAGAGAACCAAGTTTCAGGTTCATCACATTCCCTTGTTGAACCGAGAATGTTTGAAGCTGAGCCATACAAGTGTTCAGTATAATGGTACTGGCCACTATAGGTAACATCCTGGTTAGGATCTTCACTTCTTCCACTTGTGTCACTGTGCACACCTTCCATGCTTGAGGTTTTGAATTTTCTTGGATAATAGCCGCTTTATCTAGAAACCTGAATGATTGAAAAAACCCCAACTTTTTAACATGCATGTATGTGAAAAAAAGTGTGTCATCAATTATTGTACATGAGGAGGCTATGGTTTAAGCAACAAAATAATAACTAAATATCAGTAAAGAAGAAAATCATTGAGGTAAGCTGAACGTGCTTTTCAAATTTCATCTTCTCACGGTAAAGTAGTAACAAAATAAAAAGCACAGCTATTCCCTATACCTCAGAAAAATAAAAGAAAAGAGAGAACATTGATTGCATCCAGTACTGTTCTTTAAAGACCACTTCCCTAGTTTGTCAGAATACTTTTATTTTGTGTTTAGCAATTTACACACGGCATAGATATTTTTTTCCTTCCACGATCATTCATTCATTCTCCATATCTCTGCTACTCATAAACGTGCAGAGGTTATAGTGGGCCCATAATGCTTGGCTTTACCTTATAGTGGGCCCATAATGCTTGGCTTTACATACTACGACGTACATGAAAAAGAATCATAACATGCCAATTTGCTGGACCCTCTTTAGTTTAATTGTCTTATCATTTGCAGGGAATTATTAGCCTTGATTTGTGTATGCATGTTGTTAAGTATGAAGTGAATTTTCAGCAAGGAGGGTCACCTCATCTGGTTGGTGTGCGCAATCTTCTCAACTGTAGCATCTTTATCACTCAGTTCATATAGTTCTTCATGTGACTGCGGCAGTGACAGCTTTCGATTTTTAAAAGCCACAGCAATAACCTACAGTTCACAAAAAAGGAAATATTTTTCTGATCATTATAAATTGTATATGTGTATGTTTATGTTTAGTACTTATAATGAAGGGAAAAGGCGAGTAGAGACGCATACTTGAGCAATTCTCAAAGTGGGGCTATCTCCTGGAGTTTTGATGCGGTAGAATGGCTTACCAAGAGCAAGGGTCACAAAGCCAATAGAGGAAGCTATGGTTATTATGAAAAAACCCCAATGCCATGCTTTTTGTGTGCTAACCCACACAACACCTGTAACTCCTGTGATTGCTCCCACGGTTGAACTCATCAAAAGCCAATTGAAAAAGCTTGCAAGAGCTTTTGCTTCGGTTAGATCCTTTTCATCAAATTGGTCAGCACCAAATGCTGTCATAGATCCTCTCACCCCTCCCATTCCCAATGCCAACAAGCACAGTGATGTGTAAAACATCATTGCTATGCCACCTTTCACACAGCTTGATTTGCCACAAGCATTTGGGTGTAAGTGGTTGGAAGCAGCTTGAACTGTGAGCATTGCCAAGGCCTATAGGTGTGTGAAATCAGATACATACAAGCTATGAAACTTGAAAAATTTTGAACTAATTCATTTCTCTATTTGGTCAGGTCATTGGGATTTGGAATTTTTCCAAAGATATTTATTTAATTGTTCACCACTTACCAGAACCTCGAGTGATCCGAAAACCAGGCATGTGGTGAATCTGTTTAAGTAGGTATCTGAGATGAAGCCTCCAACAAGGGAAAGCAAGAAAGTTGAACCCATGAAGTTTGTGAGAGTGTTGGCAGAACTGGACAGATCAAAGTGCATCACTCCATAAAAGTATAGGACTAAGCTCACCATGTTTGCCACAAAACCCATGTTGTCCAATGCTGACAAGACTACAATGAAAAAACAAGGAAGAGAAGGGAGAAAAAGGTTAATTGGCTTTTTAGCAAAGCACAGAACAAAGAGAGATTTTTCTTAACTTTTTTTTTTCTTTTGCTTACCAAAAATAAACATGGAAGCCCTGAATCCACCTTTTCTTCTCTTCCATTGGTTGAGGGGCTTGTGTTCTTCTTTTGCATCTTGGTCTGCCTGTACAACAAGATTTGAAACTCATGAACCATGCAGATGGTGAGAAGATAAAGAGAGAGAGAGAAGGGGGGTTGAATTGAATGACTAGGCTTACCATTGTTGAGATGATATTGAGAGTTGTGTTTTAGACAGGAATGGGATGTTCAGGGGAAATGGTATTTCTGAACATATAGCCCAAAAAGGAAGCTTTCGAGAAAAGCTAAAAGCTCAGACAAGGATGGTAAAGAGAGAAACTTTGAGCACAAAATGCACAAAGGGGTCTAGTTTATTATTTCCATGGTCTTAAATTGATTCCCTCTATCCTTCAGTAATTGTCCTCCATGCTACTTATCATGCTCTCTGTCTCTCCTTTTTCAAGGTCTCTTAGCTCACCAGTTTGGCATTTTCAATTTTCAAATCCAAAACAGTAAAGAAAGATTTGGGTTGTATTATTGACACAGCATCATTCATTTGATTGATATATGGAAGCACAATTTACAACTGGTTTAAGGGTGCTAATTGTGGATGCTTAATCAATCAAATATCTTAATCAACCCAACACAGTTGCCCCACTCCACTCGATATATATGCTTGTCTTCGTTGAACAATCCATTGCCAGCATTTATCAATTTCCTAAACCAGAAGCTTTCAGTAAAGGTCATGGGTCAAATTGAAAGGAAAAGACTTTGCTCACGAAATTGGGTAGACTTTTCTCTGCTTGATACATAGCATCATTTCATTAAGTGGTCATATCACAGATCAAATTCTTCAACTATTTACAAACTTTAAAGCTGCATCATACTTACATCACGTGGTTTCCTAATCATTTTGCTCTTAATTATGTTATGTCATAAGGGTAACCTAAAGGATGGTTCTTAATTCAAAGAATTTAGTGAGTTAAGTATGAACTCTTATCTTAATATTGGTAGTTAAAGGTGTCAGCAACCTTGGATAATTAATTATTAATCATCATGATACATAAGAAGGGACTAGGGTTGAAACTTGTCCTTTTGGTTAGACAACTTTGTCAGACGGAAAAGGATCTTATATTTTACTTCCTATGGAAAAAAAGCCACATGTAGCCCAAAATTTCCATGCGTACGAAGGTAACACATAAAGCTACCCATTTCACCAAAGCTGACCTTCCATTCCCCAGGGCAGTAAAAAAAAGTATGAGAAACCAAAATCCTAGGTCAAATATTCAAAGTTCAAACTATGGGTCACATGGTACAGCTCATATGGTGTCCTCAATGTCCTTTAGAGCTAGCTCCATTGTATGATAAAAGTCCATGAATGTCACTTTCCCTCTCTTATCATCCATATATATCACAGAAATTTAAGAGTTTTGCCTTTTGATTTGCCTTTTGATTTGCCTTGTGAATCTCATTCTACTGATAAAATCCATCTTACATTTGAACAGTCTCTTTCAAAATAGCAGTCTAACTTCTAGTATCTCAATCATGCTAAATCTTTTTTGTTTTAAAATCACTATCAACTGAAAACACTTTTTTTAGTGTTCCATCATCCTGTTTGATTGGTGGGTGAAGCAAACAAGTGTTGCAATGGGTATTAGTATCATCCCTTCCCCAAGGAACTTTCACCTTTCAAATGAATGAATCACTTTGAAAGCATGGACAGTAAAAAAAAAAAAAACTGAATATAACTGTACTGTCCTGCACTGGGTACATGTTACTAAGCATGGTAGCTTTCTTCGTCCAGCTAGAGGCCTAATGGCACAGAAACAAAGACATCATAGTAAATGATCCCATCAAGTGGCTGCTTGTCAAAATGAAAATGTCCATGATAATAGTCCAAATTGTGTTCATAAAATTTGAGGGACATATCAAAACACCTGATACTATCAATATCCTGCATCAAAGATAAAGAATAAAAGATATATTGATATCCAATTTTTATATTTTATTTGGCAACCTCAATGAAACTAGAAGCATTAGTGCCAACAAATTGTAAGTTTAAAATTCAATAGGCATCAAGTGACAAAAATTCAGATGGGGAAAGGGAACCGAAATGTCAAATGGTCAAATGGACCACATCCTACTCCTCTAAATGATAGGGTAGGATTGTAGTCAGACACTAATTCTATATATTCGATGAATTAATAAGCCCTGAACTAAAATATAAATGAATTCAGGTTAGTCTACACTTTTGATGGAAGAAAAATTATTAGCTAGCTATAAAGCAAAGGGATTACCCATTGCTCATCCACTGCAGCTATTAATAGAAGAAACAAAGCATTTTATTACCCTGGGGGGACTAATCAAATCAATAATCACTGCTAATAGAAGTTGCTTATGTTCCCTTAAAATTTTGGACCTATCAATTTCAGTCTATATCATGCATCCCTTTGTCGTGGAGCTGAAGTTGTGTAAATGACTAGACTTTCATAGCGACTGTGGATCCTTTCTCTATCAAAAAGACATAATGTTTTAGTCCTTAATTCATAAATGTTCTTTTTTCATAAAGCTTGATTTATAAACCCCACCTTCCATGCCATATGCTTTTCCAATAACAACCATTCTTATCACTTTCCCCACAAACTTATTCAAGCTTTTCCAAAGTGCTTTAGTGATTCAATTCTCTCAATATCTTCTGGGCTTCTTGCTGTCCCTCCACCTCCTTTTAAATCGGTTATCCATTTCCCAACAAATTGTTCCTTCTAAACATACACCGTGTACCAGTTGTTCTCAACCTTTGCACTTTTATTATTATTATTAGTTGGTGCCTTGTGCCTAGTGCCTTAGACACTGTACATACATATTCTATTGCATTCTGGTATGCACGGCAAATTGTTTTCTATTTCTTTGAGCGTGTGCCAGTGGTTTAATGATTAAGAGTAATTTTGCTGAAGATGACAAGTGAATAAGAGAATCTATATTATTTTATGTTAATATAAAGTTAGATTTTGACTTTTGACAAGTGGATAAAAAATAATATATGATAATAATTTAAAATGATTTTTATAATTAGATAAAATACTCTTTAAAGTTATTAATTGAAATCAACCCATATATATTAAAGTATTAATGTAATGCATTAAAAAAAACATTTCATATTAATGTCGCATTAATATCATGCTTGAATTTTTTTTTATTATATTAGGTAATTTAGTCTTAAAAATGTTAAATTCTTAACACTTTTTTATTCATTAATTTTAACATAATATTGTTAGTAGAGTTGTAAAGCAAATTTATTACATTTCAATATTTAAACATTTGAATAAATTTTAAACTTTCAAATATAAAAAATAATATTCAAATATTATAAACCACAATAACACTCTTAATATTGTATTTTATACTATACAAAGTCAACGTATAAATATAACATCATATGAAGTATTGTTTTTAATGTAAACAATAGTTATAAGTTTTTTTTATTAATTATGTGTTTAATTGATGCTATTCCTACACTTTGCTTTAAGAATAATTCATATCAATTTATACATAAATAGTTTTTTTTTTCACAAAAAGTATACTTTTATGCTATATATTTTATTGAATTTAATTTATAATTATATTTTAGTCATTTTAAAAAAATTATAATTAAATTTTATCTTACAATCAACAAGTACTATGCTAGTTCCACTAGCTAATCTCCAGCTATGATACACAGTTCGCAAGGTTTGTATTTAATCCGCACAGGCAACAATTAATTGTTTTATAGGCCATATGTAAACATATTATATAAACTTCCGTGGAGTATTTAACACACCTTAAATTAAAATGGGGTGCCTTTATTCCTTCATTACATTTTAGAAAAATAAATAAACACTAAATTGATCAACAGTTTTTTAAAATAATTGACTCAGTTTCTTTCTTTTGGTCCTCTTAGACAACAGCTGCAAAATCAGTGAGAAGGTGTACGTGTTTGTTGTATCTTCTAGGGCGTGGGGACCTCAGTTGGGACCATTACTCTTTTTGGGCTCTCGTCTTATTGCAATCTGTACAAGTTTTATGTTACCTCTAATTTGCCTCATTTTTCATCACAATTATGACCCACCCAAGTTCTGATGGATTGTAATGGACTCTGCCCAAATCAATTTCCACCAATTATATGTTAGCCCAAGTCAATTTTTCAGAAAAATGTCAACCTCAAATTTTAAAATTAAAAATAATCAATTAAAAGTACTAAATTTTTATTAAGAAAGAAATTATTAATTATTTTGAGAATATGAAAATGTAATAAATATTATATTTTTAAATAAAATTTTATTATTTAATAATTTTTTTTATTAATGATGCTTTTTTGAGATTTTTTTTCGGGTCTTGAATGCCTTTTCGAGATTCAATAAATGTGTGTTGCACCGGTCGGAGGCACAATCTCCTGCGCTAGTGGGCCAAAATCCGAGAGCCCTAAACCATGTTGATGTGAAGATAAAGTGGATCCTAACTTGTTTTGGACTTGCACCTGCATTTTACCGGTGTATTTTTTCTAATTGGGCCTGTTCGGGCCCAACCACTTATAATGTAGTTGGTCTTAAAATAATAAATTTTAATTAATAATGAGAAGTGTAGTACAAAGAGTATATTAAAGTGCGTGGCTAGCATGAGTGCTATATCCTATTCACATATTTATGACATTACCCTAAGAAAAAGAAAGATTGAATTACAGATGTGCTTGTTTTAACTTAAAAAGGTGACTTTGTTATACAATTGCTTTTAAGTTACAACGTACTTTTAACCACGAAAATAGAAGTTACTTTTTTTACTCCTAAAATAAAATACTAAAAAGAGTTGTTTTATTTTTTTTTGTTTATTCATAAAACTTACATAATGATTACAGCTTTTTAAAATACTCAACCAACGAAAACATGATAAAGTCTATATTTACTCCTTTTCTTATAAGCTACATGTCTTTTTCATTATTTTGCAATCCACGTCTTACAAGTTTATATATTAAACCAGACTAATTTTTTACTTTAATTGATTATTCAATCAAATGAGATTTTTAATTTTCTTAATTATTTAAAATAATAATTATTTTATAATTAATATTAAACATAACAAGATTTTCATTGCTGAATCTCAAATATATTTACATTCACGTTTTTAACACTTTTCTATTATATTATTTATTTTACTCTCTCTGACAACTATTGTTTAATTTAGTGTGTCGGTGCAAAAAAGGAAACTTGAAAATGCTTAGGAATTCTCCGGTGTGTTTACTTTTGTTATATCTAATACTACAATTAAGGGATTGGATCAGAAACCATTACTTTGAACAATGCGTGTTATTTGGTGAGGATGGCGACGAGGGATTGGTTCCTCTACTTGACTTGACATGGTCACCGTTCGTACCTTCTAGCTTCTCATGAGGAAAGCAATGATGTAAGCTTCACGAGTAGTCCCTTGTTTAATTAAGTTTCAAGGCCAAAGAAACCGAGTAATAAATGTAACACCAATATAATAATATTGTGTTGTTTCTTGTCCATCCCAAAACAAAGGAATTTCTATATATGACCATATCTATATATAAACTTACCCACAACCAAATAAAATAAAATCTTCAAAGCAATTGTATGTTATTCAATCCCTTGTCCAATTGGTGTGTTGATGCCTTGATCATTTGAAGCATTGCAACAATGGTATGAGGAAAAAGCCAAGGAATGATGCTAGCAATTAAAAGAGAAGGAAGAGACAAATAGTCATATAATTAGAGGAGTAGGTTTGAATTTGGAGGATGGCTTGGTGTCTCTGTCTCCCCTTAGCAAAGACTTATGTAGTTCCACGTCCCCACAAACACCTAACATCCATGTGTCACTCTTCTCTATGCATGCAAGAGATCACAGATTATTTTATTTGAGGGACAAAACCCAAACACCAATAGTCATATGGGGAAGTTGGCACGGCATTTTAGCCTGTTTATCAACTCTTTGTGCTTTAAGACAGCCTAAGATTCTATGCTTTTTGGATAAGATTTCAATATTAAAAACGATTGAAGTGGTCGGATATGTATGAAATCAAATTAAAAATAAACAAAGGACCTCTAAACTCAACATTTTTGCAAGAATATCCGCATGAAGACAAATCACATATGATAAAACCTTATGGTTGGTAGTAGATCAAGCTCATACCGTAGAAGACACGAACTAAATAAACACAAGGAATAGTCATAAGCAGTAATATGACCATTAGATTTAATTTAAAGTCCATGCCTTCAGAATTATAATTTGGAATTTTAGAAGCGAACTGATCTAGATGAAACCGCGAACTTGGAACATTAAACGAGGTCTTACTACAAATATAGTCGTAAATTAATCCAATAAACAATGGTGTGGGCCAGGTTATTGGTTGATGAAGGGCCCAATCGAATTGGCTTGGGCCTGGGATCACCCCAATAACTTTTCTTCTAAGTTCACACAAGAAATAACAAGTTGACCAAAACAACACAAGAAGTAACAAGTAGGCATATTGACCAAAAACAAGTAAGCATGTTGCATGCTTTTAAGCCTTAATAATTTACACGCGCGGCATTTATTCAACCAATAGTAGATTCCTGTGTCTCTCTTCTAAGTCTTCCTCTCTATCTGTCCATTGTTATAAATACCCAAAACCCCCCATCACTTCATCACAACTCATCCAAAAAATTCAAACAATTCATATTGCCAATTATGAAGCTTGAAGGCTCGCTTCTACTCTTGACTCTTGCTTTGGTGTTAACCACCCCCGCTGCATCAGATCCTGATCCTCTTCAAGACATCTGTGTGGCAGACCCTGCCTCAGGTACTACTCTTACATCACACCAATCTCTTTTCCTTTCATATTCTTTTCTATATAGATGAAGAGGATGCATAGTATAGTTTCATGCATACAGCAAGTAAGCTGGAAAAAAGTATACCCTTTTTTTTCCCTTACTTTTCCTCAAAATCATTAGATTTGATCCTTTTTATTTCATTATTTTCTATTAGATCAACCACCTACTTATTTTGCTTTTTAATAGCTCTAAAGTTTAATCATATACCCGATAGTACCCCACCATGTAATTAACTTTTCTCTGTATGGCTATAATTGAGCACCAAATAAACAGTCTTTTTCAATTAAATTAAATTACTAGCAAATCTAGAAATAATTGCATATTGTTGTAGCATGATTGGCAAATTAAACTTTTCTTGATGTAATTAAAAGATAATTGGTTGGTGGTAACAGGGGTTAAAGTGAATGGATTCACCTGCAAGGATGCTGCCAAGGTAACTCCGTCTGATTTCTTCTCAGACATATTAGCCAAACCGGGTGCCACAAACACCACCTATGGTTCCATAGTGACAGGAGCCAACGTTGAGAAAATCCCAGGATTGAACACACTTGGAGTGTCTTTGTCACGCATTGACTATGCCCCAGGAGGGTTGAACCCACCTCACACACACCCACGTGCCACAGAAATAGTGTTTGTGCTTGAAGGGCAACTAGATGTTGGGTTCATAACCACAGCCAATGTGTTCATATCAAAGACCATCTACAAGGGTGAGATATTTGTGTTCCCAAAAGGCTTAGTTCACTTCCAAAAGAACAATGCAAAGGAACCTGCTTCAGTCATTGCTGCCTTCAACAGCCAATTACCAGGGACACAATCCATTGCTCTCACCTTGTTTACTTCCAATCCACCTGTTCCAGACAATGTGTTGGGCCAGGCTTTTCAAGTGAGTACCAAGGAGGTTGAGAAAATCAAGTCTAGGCTTGCACCCAAGAAGTAGTTGGATGTTTATGTTGGTGTCATGTCCTTGTCTCGTTCTTTTGTCATTTCTTGTCACTTTTCAATTCATGCTTGTTTGAAACTCATAAAGGAATTTATTAGAATTATTGGAGCAAATGGGGCATATTCATTCCTTTGATAATTGAAATTTGAAAGGTTCTTGCATGCTTGTTTGCTATTTTATTAATAAAATGGGCTATCAGTGGATCTTTCCAGTGTTGACTTCTTAATAGTAGTTCTTCATACCTTGCATATTGTTCTCCTGTGGAATTGTGAATGAATGTTAAAAGTTAATGCCCATTTCCCTCTCTTTGATTACTTTCATTTCCTTGCCTTGATAATTACTGTCTGCCATCTATTTAAGCTCAACGAATTTGAAATTACAGAGGATTCTACTATGACCCAAACGTATACAGTGTTAGGATAATTAGTAAAATACCTAATAATTAATTATAAAATATTGTTATTAAGAAAAATCTTATATAATTTTATATTTTCAGTAGATGTAATGTACTATTCATTTATTTTATAATTTATAGAAGAAACGTATTATTTATCGTTATTTGTTTTAATTTTTATAAAAATTTAAAAGGTCAAGAAAATGGAAGTAAAAAAAATATTAATAAAGTTAATAAAAGTAAACTTAACAAGTAGTGAATTAACAAAATTAAAACATAAAAATTTAGAGAAAAAATCACGTGACATTAATTGTGGTGAATAATTTTTATTAGCATATATAAATATGGAGTTGTGTAACTATAATAAAAGCTCTTAATGAATTCAGGATATATACCAAGATCTAGACACATGACATGTTATTTTAGAAAAGTTGTTAATGTGGCATGAATAGATTCATAGTACATCATTGTTAAATGATAATAAAGACTATTTAAAAAGTATATTTTTTAAGATTAAAATTAATCATGAACTAATTTTTTTTTAAAACTAAAATAAAGTGCCACACAGCCGCATGGGAAGGTGAATTTCTTTGTTAATGTACTGTTTAATTTATTGTTAAGATCCCTTATTGCTTTCACTTCTCCAATCATCTTTGAAAAGGTTACAAAGCTGCTAACCTAAGTATGGGCAAATTTTAATTATATACTATAAGGTCATAATTTATAAACTGACCTTCCACATCCATCTGAAAGGTGCAAATTAAAAAATAATCTAACTCAGACTACCAACCAAGATTCGTCAGGCATATTCCTTCATGGGAAAACATTTTAACCCCATAGCTTTTCTCCAAATGAAATTCCAATTTACACAAAAATTAAAAAGGAGTAAAAAAAAATTATTCGTTGCTATAGTCAAGAGCCCATTATAATGTCTTTCTTATGAATATTATATAGATATGTAAGTATAATTTTTATTTTGTTATAGAGAATGTTAAAATAACATGAAACTATGACCCAGTTTAACTTAATTTTTAGTTTATGAAGAACTTTTAATTATAAAATCCACGCCTTTAAGACTTATCTTAACTAGTCAATAAGATTGAATGTACTAGTTAAGAAAACTGAGCTAAGGCTCTAGAAAATTGACGATGCATGTCATATGACGATGCTGGGTAAGTAAGAGTCAATTTTAGTACAGCAAAACATATTGACTATGGAAAACTTTTAAAAGAAGTAATGTTTCAGCATAAATAATTTGACCAGTGTATTGGCTGAGAAGATAATAAATGAGACAGATCTTACCGTAATTTTAACTACTATTATTCCTTGACATTTTTATATTTATTAATCATTGATGCCAATTGAATAGGGTTAACTACAGTTGGAGAAGAACATACTTTTGTTTTTTTTGTATTAGATGATGAAGCTCTAGCAATGCCAGGTTAAAATAATTAATGTGTGAGGTGACCAAGTAGTCATGTTCCCATCTGGTCCTTCTCTGCAATACATGCTGTGGTAAATTAAATTGCAACAGACGAAAAGAGTTTGACCCATTTCATGAAATTTACATCACTTGACAGTTGACATACCCTATAGAAGTATTAGAGAACAGTCATCATCAACTTTCCAAGAGTAATAGTATGACAAATAAATTTAAAATTTTGAAAATCATATTCAAATTGAGATTAACTAAACTTGAGTTTATCTAAATAAATAATTTTTTTGTAATTGATATAATGTGTCAATATTCCAAATTTTAATTGCCAAACATGACGAGCCTCAAAGAATCGAAGTCCAAATGGAACAGCAAAGCCATAATGGCGAGGGAGAAAAATTGTATGCTTTCCATTTCAAATTGTCTATTATTTAATTGTAATACTTGTATCTTAAGAGATTTTAATTACACTAAGTATTATGGTAAAAAATTAATTAAAATATTCTTATTAAAAGAGTTAAAACATAGTTATAAAATAATTAAGCATTTAACTAAAATACTATAAAATGAGGGTATTTTAAGAAAAACCAAAATCCAATGCTTTCTTAAATTTTTGAAATGATAAATATTTTAAAACAAATCGAAATTCTTAAAACTTTCTTTCTTTCTTATAGCACTAAAAAAGAAGAAAATCAAAACTCTTGAAGTCACATAATTTGATATGAATGAAGTATAGTTTATGATATTTTCTGTTCTAAAACCATAAGTTAATGAAATAAAAGTATAAAAAATTTAAAAATTATATTTGTTAATTTTTTTAAAAAAAATTATTTACTTTTAAATAATTAAAATATTTAATAAAATGCATTTAATGCTAATCAGTACCTGTAGACACAAGTTATTTATCCCATTTAACATGTTCCTAGTTCCTATGTTTCATTTTGTTGCAAATGATGCATAATAGTTGCTGTAAATGGGAACAAGTGAAGACATAGTGAATAATAATACATATCTACACCACCTTACAAGTTACACAAATGTTCCCATGAAAACAAAAAGAGTTAAATATTGAGAAGGAATGCAAATTTCTTGCTCCCTTCAATTTCTGATGTACAAAATAGATGGTTTCATTTTATTTTCCAAAATTTTAAGCCCTCAATTTATGGGCTGCAGCAAGTTCAACAGATAAGATGAAAGATGATTTGCCTGCTTCCCTTATATAACGTACATCTCCATTCATTAGCTTTAGCAGCTTTCTGCTGATCAGAAGGCTAATACCCTCTTCAGATTCATGTCCATCACGTCCAAACATTTGGTTCAGCAATGCTTCTGGAACTCCGATACCATAATGTGTTATGCTGCAGAAACAACAAAAGCAAATAAATGGTTTAAGAATGTATATAATCACAATACAGTATTGCAACTAGTTTCTCATTTCTCAAGCTTATTTTCACAAGGGTATAATGTGAAAATGTGACAAAAGGCATTTATTCACACCATGTTTATTCTATAATGACATATAGAAAGTGTCAAATGGCCATTTGAGTCTAGAACAATTTTACCTTAGCTCCAAATTAGCAAGATGGACTAGTTTCCCTAACTGATCTTTGGTTAATGAGGCTGCTACAACAACTTGACCTCCAGTTGGGGTGAAATTGATGGAAATCGATAAAAAGTCGGCTAGGATCTGCTGAAGCCGAAGACTATCACCATGTAAGGTTTCTGTTGTGATCTGTTCTTCAACATCATTGACTACTCTGATACCCTTTGCATTACTCTTTGTCATGACTTGACTTAGGGAGGCAACCAAAACTTCATGCAGAGTAAATTCTACCATCTCCAAATCCAAGTATCTGTTGAACAAGGAACATGCACAAAAGAAAGGTATATACAATTGTTATAAACTGAATCAAAGATTTATGCTAGACAAAAGGGTAGCTAGTACATCAAGGTCTATGCATATGCTGGAAGGTTTTGTTTGCTGTAAGAATCTGATTCCAGAAATTCAGGAGATGAGCTCATTATTCATTCATAAGAATTGACCACAGTTGAAATTTTGATCCCTTTCTTGCTTGACAAGAGCACACAAACAAAAGTCAAATTGTAATTGCTAAAACACACAAAATTTTTCTTGACAAAGTTGTCATCTGCTAAAATATTTGATACTTTCTACAGGACACTAATACTAGGTGTAATTCACTTGTCTCTCCTTCCTTTCATTTATTTATTTTGGGAGATTTAAGCCAAGCATGAGGTTGGGACTCGAGAACTTTCAAGTTTAATGCTTCAACGAGTTTGGGAAATCGGAACTTACATGATTAAATAGAAGCTCTCATTGATAAACGCTTAATACCATAAAAATGTCAAGGACAAAAGTTAGTAGCACAAAATACACAGATATCATACCCATCAATAATGCTGTCAAGATCAGAGTCATCCAGAATTTTGCTAAGTTGGCGTTGGCACCGAGTGCCAGTTTGCAGAAGTTGTTTTTGTTCAGTTCCCAACTCAGTACCCTCTAACAATTTCCTGGAGAACACAATCCCACATAAAGGATTCCGGATTTGCCTTTTCAGGTAAGTCAAAGCTTTCAGTCTCTTCAAGGCAGTTTGTTCAGATAAGTGCTGAATATGCAATGCTTGTTGCAGCTCAGGACTAGCTAGTTGCAAGAAGCAAAAGACCCCAGTAACTACACCTTCTCCATCCAATTTCTTACTCACAGATAGCAAGCATTCTACATACTTCCCCTTACGAGTAAAGAAACCAAAAGGAACCTTCTCAGTTTCCAAACCAGTCATGGCTTTATTAAGTACAATGCTAAAATTAACAACAGCTTCTTGATTCCTTAGACGACAACATGCTATCTGAGTCCCAAAAACCTCTCCTAAGAGCATTTTATCCATCACCTCCTCTCTCTTCCATCCAGTTAACTTTGTCATAGCAGAATTCCATTCACAGCACCAGCCAAATTCATCTGTGCCAAATATTGGCGGGATCAATGGGTTTCGGTTCTGTACAATCGCCTTGTAGTCGCCTTCAATTCGGGTGAATTTATCCATCACTGTCTTCTGAGCAGTTATATCTTGGGCTACAAAACAAACCCCCACAACATTATCTTGAAGATCCCTGCTTGCACAAGCATTAACTACCAAGCTGATAGGACCAGAATCAATCTTCAAATCATGTGTTCTGATCTCAAATTGAACATTCTTCTCTTCTTCACCTAATCACATTGTAGCATAACAAATCAGTTATTTAGAAATATGGAAAGCTGGGTTCCAGTATTTTTTGTAATGTTCCATTCCTTCCCAAGTCTTATGAATTGAATAAAATTATAAACAGAACATACCATATGGATGACTTCAGGGAACATGGCATGCACACATCTAAATACTTACACTCATTTCAAAGTTTCTTCTCATGAATGCTAAGAGTAAAAAAGATAACAAAAGAGCTTGTATAAGGATATGATGGGGAAAGGAAAAAGGCATACCTTGCAGTGCCATGTCCAACATCTTCTTGACTCTATCTACTGAAAAATCTTCAACAAGTGTGAGTAAATGCTTCCCAATAGCTTCTTCAACTGGAAGACCTGTCAACTCAGCAATTTTTGTATTCCATCCATTGACCATACCATGAACATCAACAGCCAAAATTGGCACCGTTGCTGTTTCAATCAACCTTACCATCTCACTTGTCACTGCTTCCAGTTCTTGCATCCCTTCAATCTTCAAATCGTTTAGTCTTGTATTGATAGCATACGTGCTTATATCCATACTCTCGGTATCTTTGAATGCATTTCTCAGTATTAGCTGCAATGAGTGGATAGCATCCATTTCATAGTCCTTCCACGGTAAGCTCCTTGTCTTAACAACTTCAAGGAAAGCCTTGAAGGATGATCTTGGGTGCATCCTCCTACCATCATCCCTATCACCAGGTTCATGCTTTGCACCACCCCATCTGATTTCAGCAGCAGTGTGAGACCGAAACCAGAAAACCATGTCTTTGGTTGCAATTCTCACAGCTGCCATTCCACATACAATATCACCAAGAGCAGCAGCCCCTGGGAACCCTGCATCTGACAAGCTATCTGTACTCAAACCTGTGGAATCCCTATGGCACTCAGAGAGCCATAAAGCTATCTCTCGAATCTGTGATTCGCTTGGCGTTACCCCTAATTTCCATACCTTGTTCTTATACAACAGGGCTGCTCCATCACATTTCACAAGATCCATTATATTAGGCCTTTGTGATACAATGCCAAGGGGTGCATCTCGCATCAACATATCACACAAGAGTGTTTGAGTGCGCAGGATATTCTTCTCAACAATCTGATACTCTATTTCTAGTTCTTTGTTCACATGGATGGCAAATACTTGAGCCAAGAATTCACAAGCATACCTAAGAGGAAAAGGAACAAACCTGGGAGTAGTGTGATGGCAAACTACTAGACCCCAAAGCCTCTTTCTCTTTTGTGGCTGAACAGCATCAGAGCTATCTCCATCTTCATCATTGTCATTGACTACAACTGCCATAACCAAGGAAGCACTAGAATTCATGTTCTCCATGTATTGCAAATGGCAACTATGAGGAGCCCTTAAGGTGGATCCACACAAAGTTAAATCAAATGGAATGTTTTTGTCTTGAAGGACTTTCACATGCTTTGCACGACAATCAACTATCATACGAACCTTGTTCTTCATAAACAAAAAGCGTGTAGCCTGAGGAATATCAGTGGCTGGATAGTGCAAACCCAGATACGGCTCTAGGCCTGGCTTTTTTACCTCTGCAATCACTTCTCCATGATCATCCTCATGAAACTTATAAGCCATCACCCTGTCATAACCTGTGAGTTCAAACACTTCTTGAACCGTTGTGTCACATAGTGTTTCCATGCTCCCACTAGGCAAAGATTGCAACCTGGTTATTGCTTTTGCTGCAAGCTTGTAGGACTGCAAGGCACCTGCTGCAGTCATGGGAACTTCATGAGGCTTGACTGGCTCAAAATCAATGATCAAGCCACCGGTAACACGATGGATAATTGCATAAAAGGGCTTCCCGGAGGTTTTGCAATGAACTAGAATTGGGTTAAGAAGTGAAACCTCTCCAAATCCTAGTGCCTTCTGAAATGCAGAAGCACTTGGGGCAGTGAAAATTGTTCTTACGTCAGTACCAATGCCAAGAGCAGGGTGATCACCAACACTGGGAACAGCATGACTAACCATAGTCAGCATTTCAGGTGCATTCTCACTGTATGCAATGACTTTGCATGTTTTCTCATCTAAAGCTAGCAAGCACCCAAAAGGTTGAATAAGCTTGCTTTTCTGAAACTGATGGAGATATGCAGTTGTTACTCTATCAGACATTGATTGATGTTCTCCACTAGCTGTGCCTGAGCCAGGAGAAAACCTCACTGAGTTGGAGTAGTCAAAAGAACTACCAGACTCCTCAAAAGTTGCATGGAGTTTTGCATCTACAGTGGTTTGAGCAATTATCCTAGCATTGTGTCTTGATGATCTGCCTGAATTGTTGCTGGATGATTGGCTACGCCTTGAGGAGGACATTGTCACTTCAACTGCACTTGGAATCTTAAGAATAAGATTACTAAGTTAATCTCTTTCAAGGAAGAACGGAATCTATTCTACCACTGGTGCAAATCTACTATAGACTTTTAGTCAAATGACATCATCCTTACTCACTGTAACAATTGAAGAAAAGAAAGTTAAATTTTCAACTCCCAGACAATTTTTTTAAAAGCTGAATTAAGTAATAATAACTTATGATTCAATCATATCCTAGTGAACTACAAGTACAACCATATCCAAAGTTCAAATAATAATAAAAACAGTATTAGGAATCTTTAGTATTACACTTCCGCTGTTATCCTGGTGCATATTGTAAGAGGCTATAAATTCTAAAAAAGCATGACAGGAACTCATGAGCATGCGCTCAACTGTACATGCTTCAGCCACCAAAGCATAACCTTTCTTTTTTCTTTTTTAATTTCCCACTTTAATTTTCAGGAACAGGGATGAGTACGGAAGCTTAATTAACCCGGAAAAGACAGAAACAATATCCAGAGTACGGAAAACAAGAATTTTCCTTTCCAAAAAGTAGCACATAGCCACATACAACAGAAACGTTAAAAGAAACAAACTTACAAGGATAAGGGATGATAACCAACCTACCCAGAAAAAGCAAGAATCAAGTGAACTGAGGACAGAGAAAATGCAGAAAGAGAAACCTACCTTGCAAGAAAAATTCCGATTCCAACCAATGAGTAGAGAAAAGGTTTGAGTAGAAGCAGAAGCAGAAGCAGCTAGGGAATAATAATCCCAACTAGCTACTTACTGTTACAGCAGCATCTATATATATATATATATATATCAGGTTGTGATGAAGCAGAAAATCTTAATCACCGACCTTTGAATTGAAGAGTGAAGACACAGCTAAGTGGAAAGTGGGAACCCCTCCAAGCTCAAGACTCAGACATAACTCAGCAGTTAGAACTTACAACTAAGACACTGCCATGCCACAATAATATTATTAATACTACTCTCTCTCTCTCTCTCTCTCTCTCTCTCTCTCTCTCGCTCTTTTACTTTATAGTTATATACTATTCTTCAATCATTAAATTATAATTATATTATATTATATCATTACTCCTTTTATAGAAAACATACAGAAGAGGGACAGGTGATGATGATTGTATCCATAAATAGCAACCTGCGGCTTTTTTATTAACATTACTACTCTGATCCCTCTCTGCATCATCACCTTCAACTCTGACTTTCCTTTTTGGATTGATTGTTGGGAACAAATTTAAAAGAAGAAAATACCCGAACGGTATTGTCCAATTTTCTAATTAAGTTGTATTAGCACACTAACACCAAATATGATGTGGGGTGTTTGGATTTAATATGGAAAATATAAAAATAATACTCTTTCTAATGGTTGAAAAAGATTCACGATTGATAACAATAAACAAATAGGAACAAGAAAACCTTTATGGTAATAAAGAGAGCATCCACCAAAAGAAGGAAACTTTTATTTTTATCTGGGTCACTCATTTTTTTTTTCATTGGATAGCAGCCTCATCCCATGGCTTTGTGTAGAAGAGAAGGCATAGCGAATAGCAACAACAAAATGAGTAATGGGTGTCACGTGCACCCCTCAAAGCAAGGAGGGTCTTACGGCTTCGAGCAGATTAACAACTAACAACAACACAAGGAGCCACATCATAAGCCACTTTGTGTTCGATCACAACTCGTAACTCACACTAACAATCATACTATGAAAACTTCACACGTTTTTTTTTCCTTTCTAGACCATGCTCGGTTAAAGTCAGACCTATTAAGGATAAAACTCTGTTCAAACTGAGTAAGACCATAGCGAGTAGCAAAATTTTTCTTCTCAACTGCTATATTTACTTTGACTCGAACTCAAAACATATGTTAAACTAGAACAATTCTATCACTTGATCATATGCTTGCTAATAAACTTTACACGTATGGGCACATATAGGCTGCAGTTTATGAAATTTAAATATTTTTTCACCCTCTAAGATGTACTCTTATTTATTATTATCCACAAATGAAAGCAAAGTTACCTTAGTTTAGGGCGGTTGAGCCTGCTTTATTCTTAATTATTTTAAAATAAAAATTAATTCTCATTTTTAATAAGCATATGCTTTTTTTAATATAAACTTATGATTCAGCTTAATTTAGATATGCATGGCAAAAAAATTCATGTCTTGTTATTCAAGTGTTATTAGTATTATTTATTAATTAAAATTATATTTTAATAAAATATATATACTTAATTTTATTGTATATTATTGAAATAAAATTTTAATTAATAAATGTTAGTACTTGTTTCATACATTTTAATTATTTAAAATTAATTTCATCAAAATTAATTCTACCAAATTCTAAATTAGAGATTCACAGTTTTTTTTGGGTAAAAATTTAGTGTATTCAATTTTACAGCACCAAGTTAATAAAATAATAATGTTATTTTTTTTATTAAATGAATGATATGTCTATTAATATACTAACAATACATCAACGTTTAACTGTTGTAATAATATACTCAAATTAAGGACGCTAAATTTACAGAAGCATCTCTGTAGTGTAGCTTTCGTCTTATCAGCATAAGTGTATCTTTATCTGAAGCTGGTTTTTTATTCATTGATAGCGTAATGTGCACGTTGGGTTGCTTTCATAACGTGGTACTTACGGATTAGAAGCTTTGAAATTGTAAAGGCTTCTAATTACCTGAACCCAACCAATTGCTTTCGATTTCCATGACTGATAAACCAGAATTTTGGTTATCTCTAATCGGCCCATAATTAAAACTTTGATTGATTGATTTGTCCATTTATATTACAAGATTCTATATTTAAAGTTTTAAAAATACTTTCTTTTAGTCAAAAGATATGTTTAAATTATATAATTTAAATAAATCTGAGAAGATTGGGTAAGTACTTTTTACAAAAGGTTAAAATAACGCTTATTTTAAAATTTGTAGATATTATATCATAAAATTACTTTTTGGTAAAATTTAACCAAACTATAAATAAGTGTTTAGCTTCTTTCTGTCCTATAAAGTAGAAACAATGATTTGTTAGTAAAAGTTATCATCCAAAGTCAGTTACAGCTTGCTTCGGGACTATATTGCTTGTAATTTCAAGCGTAATGTAATGAATGTGATTCAACTCCAGACCACCTTGTTTTGGTATCAATTTGGTTTCCATCACTAGTTTATTGAAGAAAAAGCTAAACAGAACAAAACATCTCACTCAAACAACCCACTCATCGATATGCCAATCAAGAGAATTGCTCTTCCTATATCGATGGTAGTGTGGCCATCCACCACTACTACTCTTTCTGATAACTATCAGGTTTGATTCCGAATATTTTGCCCCCCACAAACAATTCGAGATATTTAAAAAAAATCACGATTTTTTATTTTCTTTTACATGGTGATATGAGTGTTTTAATTTTATCTATTTATTGCATTGTGTTCCAGCTTTTGGGATAAAATGCTTTTGCTTTTGGGATTCCTGTGTTTGTAACCAAAAGTAAAAGTTTTAGGGATAAAGGAATCTCATAAGTATAAATTCACAATGGATGGGATAGGGATACCATATTTCTAATCTGTTAGTCAAAGCCTGCAAGCTTTGCCTGGGAATCACAACTCACAACTAAGTGATAGTACAGCACATCTGATTTTCGTTATCAAGGAGATGGCAGATGAACTCAACTTGTGAGATCATTAAAGCTAACTCACATTTCCCATTCAAAAATAGACTGTACCAAATTTAAGAATAATGATATACCCCACGACCATTACGTAGTAAGAGATTATGTCAAGAAATTATTTGTAAATAAGTTTGTCTTCTTTTGCACAACAAAGGAAATTAACGACAGAGAGAGAGAGAGAGAGAGAGAGAGAGAAAGAGAAGTGTGTGATAGGATATTTATGCAATTGACAAAAAAAAGTGTTCTCTCTAATTTGTAATAATGTATTCAAACTGTCTAATTAACAATTGGACAGGTGATAGCGATTCTTGTTATTTTTTCCCTCAGTTATCATTATTTGCATTAAAAAAATTATATTGGACTGTTTTTGGCCTTGTCTTCCTTACAAAGCAGGAGATCAATATTCTAGTATGATTTATAGAACTCTTTGCTTACATTATGTTACAAGAGTATAATGCTGTAATTACCAAATCATCAATCACAAGTAATCTTTTCAGGAAAAGACACTACCTGGTTGGCAGCTCACCACCTTTATTTGTACTTGTCAAAGAACCTATCTATTCTCTTGCATCCAATACGTTACTCATTCTAAATTTTAAAAAATCAAGGGTTATACAGTCAAATTTTCTATACAAGCAAAATTAAAAATGCATTTGTAAGCCGAACAGCAGCAAACTCTGAATTAGTAATGACAGTGTGACATCTACAAGAAAAATTAGTGATGAGGTTGTAACATATGTCAGAAAGAGTAGCCAACAAGCAAAACTACCTTGTGATAGAAAGCATGGGAAACATAGTTTATCAACCTATTAAATTCTTTAACAACGCGAAAATTTGAGGAATTTTGATAGAAATATCTTAAATGACCTAGGTAGAGATAACAAAAGGGAAGCATGTGGCGCTTCAAAATGCTTTCAAATTTAAATATAAAAATGTCATTTTAAAAGAATCTCTAGCTTGGCTATAGGTCAGAGATATAAGTCTCATCAAGGACGAAGGTGTACCTCCCATGGTTTCCACCATCAAGTTCGGAAACAATAAGAAGATCACACCTCTAACAACAGAATAACTTAACTGCTTGACCAGGGTAATTTGTATCTTGAACTGAGGTTTGGTGCAGAAGCCGCTATATCACTAGCACAAAACCTTACAAACCTCGCTTTTTTTTTCTTAAGTCAACATGCAAATGGTAAGGACTGCTACACAATCAAAAGAAAAAGATTTCCATCCTGCCTGATGAAAAATGCCATAAAAACCGTTGTATGTTTGCTTTGGCTGAATTAAATTGGAGCGCAGAAATTTTCAGGCAAAAACTATATTAATTAATTTTCTTAAGATGAAATACCAAAATTATACACTAAAAGTGATAGAAAGTATGTGGACTAATCTTCTTAACATTGGAAACCACGTGAAACAATTATAAATTGGAAATGACATCTGAATCCAGTCATCACTTCTTTTCTCTTGTAAACTTCATAGTATAATAATATACGTGAATTGAACCAATTAATTAGAAATGTTCACAATGTAAATCCCTTGAAATTGGATTTTAGCATCCTAATGAAAAGAAGAGAGCACAAAATGTTAGGTGTTGAAAAGAACTTGTAGGAAACCAAAGAGAATTCAACGACAGAGAAGAGAGAGAGAATACTAATTGTGTATACTCATCAAGAAAATCCACTGACGCTAGCAGCATAACCAAAATGAATGATAAACATATGAAGTATATTATAAAACTAAAATATGTGCCAGACGAATCTACTATCCAACAAATTTGTCCAGCTTTACATATGACTTCTAATTTTTGCTTCCAAAATTTTCCAATCTGCTAGGCATTGCCAAAGATCATCAAATGCACGTTACACGTGACACTAATATAAAAGAATGAGAATGAGAGTAACCATTTCTGTTTATGTTATTATGATGAAAGAATCCTATGAATGACAACCAAAACCTCTCACAAGATGAAGAAAAACATTTGTGCACACGAGGAAACCAACAAAAAATAACATCTAAGAAACAGACTACGAAAAAAACAGGGTTCAAAATTTTTCAATATCAGTATGTACACCACTCCTCCAGCTGAGGACAAGTAGAGATTCCAGAATGCCAAAAAATCCAGTTTTCATCAACCTCTTCCAAAATAACAGTTGATCAAGCAACCCTCTGTTATGTATAAAACCCTTCTCATTTTCCAATCCATATTAACCTCCCCTAATTCCTCAATCTGTAATCATTGAATGGCAGCAAGTACACTGTCACTGTCTACAACTTCTTGTACCACATTGCTCTCTCTAATTGAATACAAATGCAAATGGCATTCTCAGTTCTCCCTACACTGTTGACTGTTCCACACCAGTGCTGTTCTCAGCTCTACCATTTTTATTGAACACCCAATCATTGCCCGAAAATGCGTTATGAGCCACACACACACTTAAAATTTTAAAATAGGCACCAAAAATTAACAGTGTGTTAAATGAACGCAAGGAATCTTCAACAGTAACTAATTCATGTGCGGATTGCATTCTTTGGAATAGAAATCGTCCTTCTCTATCAAAGATTTCAACAGTGTGTTAAATGAACGCAAGGAATCTTCAACAGTAACTAATTCATGTGCGGATTGCATTCTTTGGAATAGAAATCGTTCTTCTCTATCAAAGATTTCAACATAATCTGAGTAAAATTAGGGTCATTAGGATCACTGGTTGGAGACTCGTCACGAGGCTCCAACACTTTAGGGCGCGAAAAACAAAACCTGCACCTAATTCCACTTCCATCACCGCCAATAGTCATCTTACCTGAACCCTTTGTTCTTGCATTCGAAGACTGTGATGGAAGAAGAGGCTTTTTGCCTCTAATTCTGCGTAGTTTCTTCTTCGCTTTTGAGAACTGATGCTGCACCGCCTTTTTCGCCTTCTCGATTTCCTTTCCAAAACCACTACCCGTTCTTCTGCGTTCCGTCTTTCCGATTTCGGAATCGTCGTCATTGTCATCGTCGCCGTCACTACCTCCTCCATGGGAACCGTGACGATCAGCATTCGAGATCTCCTCATCGGATAAACCAGACATGAAATCGAAGCGCGTTTGTTAATCGCGTCTTCAACTTCTATTGAACGGAGTTAGGTCAGGCAAATTAGGATTCTCAATCATGAAATTGAATATCGTTAATAATAATGGCACCGTTGATAAGAGAGAGAAAGAGAGATGTTTGGTGAGGTCGCAAAATTGCGCAAACAAAAGAATTCAAGTTAGAAGCAAAACTGTAACAAACAAACGCATCTAAACCAAATTCACTTCAAATTTAACCTTACATGTACGCATGTTATCATTTGCTTTCGTTTCATTTCGAAGAGCAACTAACTATTCATCATCGCATTGCAGAGTACACGTGTTAGATCTTTAGGTGCCCACGGTGGCATCTTCGTCTTTCATTCCATTTTTTTTTTTGGGGTCAAATTTCATTTCATTATTTTGGGGACCATTTATGAATATGTTTGTCAGGGGCTTAGGCCCACCAAGTCTGTGTCACAATAAAAGCCCAAAACTGAAGAAAGGGACCGCATTGCTTGTATAAACAGTGCAAAACTGATGATTATTAATTTTTATAATAACAACTTTAAAAGTCATATTTATATATTTTTTAATTTATTAACAGTATAAAGAATTCACATATTAAAAATAAACTTAGTATAATCCGTAATACGTTTGCTACTTGTAGCAACCTCAAGAAGAACTTATGACAGAACCCTATAAAAACTTAAAGCTTAATCATGTATTTGATTTAATTAACAAGGACTTTCTTTTATGGGCATTAATATTACAAGATTGTTACTTTATGCATGCTTGTATTTCACACGATAAAATGAATATTTGTTTGAGCTTAAGCTATAGAGAGTTCAAAATACCCCTCTGCTCTAACGGATGATGAATGCCACAAAGGCCCAACTAGCTCCTCCCCACCCCTAAGGAAGCCTCAAATACACACGAGTTGAATCTTTCTTTTGTTTTCTTTATGTTGAAGTGCATTTATGATCTGCTTAGAGTAAATCCCTCAAATGGATTGGTTTATATCTGTAAAAGTTATAATCATTCATATTTTATTAATATTTTCTATCGAATTAATTTAAAATTATTTACCACCTCATCATATTATTTAAAATTAACTTATTCTAGATTTCTTTTTGGTATAATTGACATATTACGTAATTTAAAAAGAAATAAAAATTAGTTAATTTATATATCTTTATTGTACTCCTTGTTTGGTATTCCTATACAAATTTTAAGCCACTTAATAACTGATTAATAAGGGGCAATGACAGCAAACAATAATGACAACCAAGTACTGGAAATTTTGTATCAGACATTTTCGTAGTTGAAGTGGTTTGAAATCAGATTGACAAGGATTATTAATTAGGAAAAAACTTTAATTCATATTTCCTTCCAGTAATTCTTTTTCATTTAATTTGCTGAATTTAAGAATCAGATAACAAAAAAAAATGTAATTTTTAACGAGAGAACACAAAATCATGTATAATATCGTATGTAATTTTACAATGCATGGAATTTGGACTTAATCCTGTACATTATTTGTGATGAATACTTGGTTGGCAAAAAATTATAAAGCTATAAATTATAATTGAATCATCGCTGTAAAGGAATGTGTCAGTGAACACAGTAGCTGTTGTAGACAGTCAATGCTTTTTGATAGCTTTCCAACTAGTCCAATTAATCATACTAATTTTCTACGACGTAACATGCTCTGAGTTGTTTTATACTATGTACAGTATATATCCTTCCTACCGCATCATATTTAGAAAAATATCGTATCTATCGCTAAGAAATTAAGAATAGACAATTATCCTTAAAGTGTATTTTTGAACGTGTGTATATATAAAAAATAAATAAGAGATAAAAATAATAAGATACAATATTATATGTAGTATTAATATTAAATAGTTCAAATTATAAAATTATGTAAGCTCCGATTTTTCCATTTTGGCCCCAAGTCTATACTTCAATGGAGCGTGGAAGAACTAACTTTGGCAGAACCTTGTAACTAGTGAATCATTTTTCTTCATAAAAGGGTGTAGTACTCTAGTATTTACAGCAATGTCATGGTTAATTTCAAACTTTCCATGAATAACATGCCCTGCTTCTTGAAGATGTTAATCTACCTATTTCACAGTGTCTATTTTGTTAAGATATATCAACCGTAGAGAATTAACTCACAAGGTGATATTTAAAACAACATTGAATATTTCCTATGAAAATGAACCTCCAACATTCTGGGTGGTCAGCATACCCTTTTAATCCCTGGTGTCGGGTAAAAAAAGTTTATGCATTATCACTGTAAATAGGTAGAACAAGGCTTCATTCAGCAAGAAGCAGCCCTCTTTAAAGTTTACCTAAAAGAACATAATAAAATGTTTTGACCAAACTTTTCATGGAGATACTCAAGGAAGAGTTCTCAAATTATTTCCAATAAATGTCTTCTGTCTGTTTATGCATGAAGCTGACTGCATTATTTAATTTAATTTACTATTGAATAGAAGCAGATTAACTGTCAACCATAACATTATGGAGCAAAGGCATTCAACACCTTAAATTTTAGTAAATTATTTGTAAAAAGTAGCATCATGAACTTTATAACATAATGGAGCAAAGAAGTTGATTGAACAGGGGAAAAAAAAAAAAGAGAAGAGTCAGCAAAATGTCCTAACAGAAAGTCACTTTTCTGTCAAGGGGAATGACGCTTCTTCTGCATACATGTGAGGGATGAGATAGAACAGGAAGGCCCCATTGAGTAGGGAGAACAATGGTGGGATATATGTTTTGCATGTTCATTCTGTTGACAACCTCAGTGTATATTCTTACAATTCTGCTTGAAAACACAACTCCTAAGGAAAGCTTCCTAGACCGTGATAACTTAAGGCCACGTAATCTTCCATTCACAGACTTCACCCAACAACGTCTTCCAACCCTCATCATCTTTTGACTTGGACTTGTTAGTTTCTCATACCCACATCTCATGCGTTTGGTAGCAAAGTATTGCCAACCCATTTGCACCATTGAGGCCTAATCAACATAGAACAAAAAAAATGCCAAGATTTGGTTATCTATTTCTCTTGATGGATTGTGCAAGAAAAATGAAAGAGGTAAATGATGTTAGTGCTTTAACAAACACAGAGATGGTGATGTGATGGCATGAACTTGCTAGAATAGATTCCTTATATAACACATGGCTACCTTCATACTTCAACGTACTTAGTCTACCTTGGGGCAGATAGAGACAACATTACCTCATTTTAAATGGTTATATCACATGGCTACAAAAATGTTGCCACTTCAGAGTCTATTAAGTTGTTCTTTCACATTCTCAGTTAAATATATATAGCTTGCAATCCAAATTAGATGGTGGTTAAAGGAATATTTGGTGCATGTGCAATGATTGATGTCCCTGTTAAAAATATAAGCTGAAGCCAATCATTCGCTTAACTGTGGAGTGTATGTGGCTGTGGTATTTTGTTGCTAAGAAATGTTTAATTATATCTATAAATTTTTGTTTGATAGAAACCTTTACAAAATCAAGCCTATCAACTGTTCGTCTACTTTGTCCTTTTTAGTATAGAGATAGTATCTACTACTTGTTTATTCTAAGTTCCAAATCGTGTTCTTTGACTGGCTTAACCGCTCTTTTTTTCTTTTTTTTTCAAAATTTATAAACAATAATATTTATCTCACACTTCTTTATGGGATGTGAGATGAGTAAAAGACGAGAGAAATAAGAAGATAAATAAATAAATAATATAATAAAAAGAGAAAAAATGTATATAATAAATGCAAGAGAAAGACATCAAAATTCAATAAAGGGTAAACTGGTAGTCTGGTATCTTATTGTGATCCTGGCTAATTTTTTTATGGGCCCTAATTTTGGTTTAGGATAATCATCGATTTACATTAAAAAATGAATGCAGTAGAGGTGGAAGAAAGGAGATAAAAAATAAAATAAAAGAGAAATAATAATAATATTAATATGATGGAAAAAATTAGATTGAGAAAAAATTAAAATAATAAAAATAAGAATATTATGGTTTTGTTTGGATAAATTTCTAGAAAAGTTTTTATAGAAAAAAAAGCATAAAAAATGAATAAATTATTTTTAATAAGTTTAAAGCAATTTATACTTCTCTATTTTTTTTAAATTTTTTTATTTAACTTTTTTAAATTTTGAAGAGAAAATTTAATTTTAATTTATAAAAAAATTATTCATATTTTACTATTTTTATAATAACTTTTCTAAAGTCGGTCCAAATTCAACCTATATAAATGTACGACTATGGTTAATATTTAGTTTATAATCTTCTTAAAGTCTAGGTTTCAGTGAGCCAAGACAGAGGCTAACCAATGTGAATGCCCAATAACAACAACACGAGGTGACATTTTCATTTAGTTAAAAAAAAAAACAAATATAACTCATTCTTCAAATTAATTACAAAAAATAATTATTTAAGTTTCATAAAAAATTATTTTAATTATATATTTTTACATTGAAAACTAAATATTTACGAGTGAGTAAATATTCAAACTTGACATAGTCGTATCAATTCAAAAAATTAAATCTAAAAACTAGTTTATAAAAAAATAAATTCGGCATGTTAACATTATTATTATTATTATTGGTTGCAGTTAACAGCGATGGATGTTTAAGTTAACTTCTTAAAAGAGCAAAATTAAAAATGAATTTGGGTACCCAAACACCTCAGCATTATTGGGAATATATGATTCATTGACCAAATAAATATATATATGTATATGATTCATATCATATCCCATATGCCAGTAGCCTAATTATACCAAACGGTCTTAACCCATTCATAGAAAAGTGTGTTGTTTTGAACACACTCATAATCATTTATTTCCACCAAAACCATGTGTAACTTCATCTCCTATGTCACATGGATGCTCTTTCTCAATTTTTTATTGGTAAATTATACTGTAACATTTATAATATAACTGAATGTTTCATATTCTAAGTTAATTATAAAATAATTATTATCGTTAATAGATGGTAAAGTTAGTAATTTAGTTAAAAAAGACAATAATATTTTTTAATTTTTATAATATTAAAAAAATCATAATTATTAATTATAAAATTATAAAATACTCTCATTGTCATTTATAAGAATGCTGAATTTAAAAATATGAATAAAATTTGAAATTGAAAACTCACAAAATAGAAGGATAAAAAAATATCTAGAGCAAGAGAAAATAACATACGTTAGTGCTGGACTAGGCCCCATTATTGTGGTCAATGATTTCCATTTGTTTTATCCAATACAATCCAACTTCACAAGCATATCTCAAAATCTAATGATCTTTAGGAAAATCAAAAGCCTATATAGTATGGCCATTGCTTGCAGGTCGTGTGAAAGTGAATTTAGATCATTTAGGTGATCATTTTTCTTTTTCTTTTTTAAACACTGCCAAGTGATGCTACAAGTCAGTTTAGATAAGTTTTTTTAATCAAATATTGTTAGTCTTTATATTTTTGGTAAAGTTTTAATTTTAGTGGATGATTGAGAATAAAAAATTCTTTTACTTTTTTTAAAAAAATTAAACAAAAATGTTAAGTTCTTCTATTTGTATGAATACTTTAAAAAATATTTTTGAAAAGCTAATATTTGAAGCATATTTTTAATAAAAAAACATTTTTATTAAAAAGGTGTGAATCTAAAAAAATTAGGAAAGCTAACAGTTGTTCATAATAGAAAAATATAACTCTTTAATATTTTTGATATAAACTTATTTTATGTAATATTTTATTTTGTCATTGCATATTCAAAACTTTTATTGTTTGCTCCTTGTTATAATCAAAAGTCATTTAAAGATTTATTATAATTAAAATTTTGTAACACTGGATACTTATATTGGTCAACTTACATAAACATTTTCTTCTGATCTCATTACAGTGTTATGTGTCTATATTTGACAATTTGGTCCTTTTACACATATACATGTACACAGTTTTTGTATTATAAATGTCTTATATTATTTTTAAAAATTTTAAATTAACACAAAAAATTTCTAAAATATTTAGAAAACAAGAAAATATCAAAATATATGTGTTTATACTTTTGGGGTTTTATTTTTTAAAATTCTAAAGAAGATTCTTGATATGATGTTTTTTTAAAAATCTAAATAAATATCTGGTTCAATTTATTAAAAAAAAAAGTTATTGCTTTTTATAATATTTTGAAAAGAGTTAGAAAAAATAATTATCCTCCCCCAAATAAAAAGAATCCAAACATTTAAAAGAAAAACAATTCAGAAGCATTCGCCTTAGGTTATGGAAAAGAAGATATATCTTAGCTTGCACCAGCTATATCACACAATTAAGTTGCTGCTTTAACTTGCTTTCATAAATTTATTATAATTAAGCTTTGCTTATTTGCAATTACACGTTATTTATTTCATGTTAGTCTGACAGTGGCATTTTATCCATTAATTACTGCAATTATTAAATGGGGTTGAAGATTTCTGAAATATAAATTGTATATGTTCCATTTGCTTGGCATGTATGTTACCGTTGGCAGCTTGATGCAAATGCAAAAGCCGTTGACCCTTTTAAACATTTAAAGCAATAAAATTTGATCAACCCATCTTTTAATATAAAAATATCTTTTAACGTATGTTTAAAGATGTGTATCAATTAAGAAATCAATAAATAATAAATACCTTTTATGTTTTCTAATTTAAAGAATTACTTTTAATACCTTTATACTAAAGAGGATTTGCATGTTTCAATTGCATCTACTGGTAACCAATTCCTTTGTATTTTTGTGTCATGTAGATGTCAAAATTTATAGAGTGCGAAAATGCTTTCATATTCAAACAAATATAAACAATTGACGAATATCAGATTGGCGCACCCAAAATTCAATTCGACCACTAAAAGATAGTCAATATGGACATGTGCAAAATAAAAAAACTCATGCATAAAAAAAGAGAGGTTATTATCCCATAATAAAATGAGGTTGATGGAAACTTCATTGCCATCATCTAGTTTCTGGTGGAAAAGCTTTGTATTTGCTGATGTACCTTTACACCATGGACAGTGAATTAAATAGGACCAGAGTTTGAACAACTGTTTCAGCAGAGTGCTCACCCAATTTTACTTCACCATTTTATTGTCCTCCATATTCACAAATAAAATCGTGTCAGCAACATCAACCACCAAACAGATAATTGCCCGTGAGTCTTGAATTCTGAATCACATACACGGGAAGCAGCCCCTTAAATTGGTACCTGTTTGGCTGTGTTTTTTTTTTAGAAAAATAATATTTTTTTCAAAAATTCAAAATATTATTATTTCTTAAAAATAACATAACTTACAATAATGATGAAACTTATTTCTGAACCAAGCAGCTTTATGCTTACCTTATGAATGAAACCATTAATGATGATTTTAAAATATATTCTACGCATGTCATCAGTTACCTATTGATCTTATCTGTTCAAGAATGATTATAACGGAGCAGAGAAAGCCTGCTTCCATTTTACTTCGTATGAATGACAAACAAATGTTGTCGCAAGTTACCAAATTTTGAGGTAAAATAGGATAAAAACCATAAAATTAGCAGTCAAATACACAACTCGCTTGTCTTTTTACATAACTGAAAAAGAAGAAAACAATAGTAACCGGTGTACTAAATAGTATTTAATTACTAGCTCCAATTTCGAAATTGTCTTCCTAAGTCAACAAATAATAAAGGATTGCACTGCGTTGCAAGCAGTAACTGATGAATAATGAAAATAAAAAGTGATGGATAATATATTACATAATCAGAGGAGTGATGAGTAATATTGGTCCCAGAAACAAGATGAAGAGTGGCTCTTGCGGTGGTGGGAATTGAGAAGCCATGAAAACCTTCTACGGTAATAAAAACCGCGTTTGATTCTGAAACCAGAAAACACGGACCTTCTAAGTCTCTTAGCAGATCGCAGCCTTAGACACAGCACCTTCTTGACACGAACCAAAGACCCTTTGATCCTCTCAGTGAAACTCTTCTTTCGAGAGAAGTGGTAGCTTCTGAGGAAAACCTGTCTCTTCTCCATCATGGTGTAGTTGTGCTCAGCCTCGGGATAGTAATTCCCAAAAGACTCACTTCTAAATAATGGGTTGAGGGTACCCATGACATTGACATCATGCTCACCACGCATCAGCATCATATTCATGCCAATGCCACCCTATGAAAAGTTAAAACAGAAAAGCTAGATAGATACACAGATAGATGCAAGTTCTAAAACTTAGTGGCATTAAATAGTTGAAGAAATGGTTTCGTGGAAGATAATGAGAAGATAGAGTAAAATGGAAGAGGAGAAAGGGGGTCTGAACTGTAGAAATTCTACGAACCTTATTGCTTCTTCCTATGCCTGGGCGCCGCCGCAATAGCTAAAGACAAACTCCTCCCTTTATTTTTGTAGTTCCTATTCCTTCTTGGGGTAAAAATAATAACTTATATCGGATTTAGATGGGCCCAATTTATTTATTCAATAAGTAAATAAATAATATATTTTGATGATGTGTATTTATTTTATTTAGAGATTTATGTCAAAATATGAAACTTTGGGGAAAATTACATAAGTATGGAACTAAAAAATGATCATTGTAAATTTTTCAATAAAATAAGTTAATTTCAATTGATAATTTTAAAATTTTCATATTCTGTAACCTTTTTTAAAATCATGAATTTTGATAATATTATTTTTAAAAATTATATAAAAAATATGAATTATATATAATTTTTTATCCATAAACTTATTTGAAAATATTTTTTTACTTATTTAAAATATTTATTATAAAATAAGCTTTTAAATACATTTTTAAGTTAAGTAAAACTCTTGAAAAATTCAAGTCAAATAAATAAATCGAGTTCAAAACTTAAATATAATATTTAAATCAAATTTAAATATTAAAAAACTTAACAAAATTTGATTTGTTTTTCTCCCTAGTTACCCTTTTGTCTCGCTTGAATGTTATTGTAAACATTTGACTGTACTGAATTAAAATAAGTTATTACAAAATTAGCTTTTAAATAGATTTGTAAGGTAAGTAAAACTTTTGAAAATATCCAAATCAAATAAAAAATAAAATTAAAATCTTAAATGCAAGAGTTAAATCAAATTTAAAAATTAAAATGTTATTGTAAAAGGGTGAGCACTTTTACACGTGGATCGTTGGATAGGTTATTGTTCTTTTGGATTGACGGTCACGTGCCTTTTGTGTTCTCCCTATATGTTTGGGGTTTAATTAATTTATTTATTTATTTATTTCGGTATGCAATGCATATGTGAGTGGTCTTTAAGAGAATCACACAGTAACATCCTCTTCTTGTGGTCTACATGGATGGTTTGGTGGGTGTTAAATCAGAACCGTCCTTATGTGATGCTTGTCCAATGGTTTTCCCATTTTGTGTTCACAGTTTAAAGCATAACCTTCTGCGTGTAACAATAAATGCCAGGAAGACTAGTGTCTTTAAACACAAGTGACAACAGCGCCATAGTATATAACGAAATTCGAATGAATGACTATAAAATAAAACGCTTTTGATAAGATGGTGATCTGTACGTTATTGAAATAACAATAATTGGCTTTGTGAATTGGAAATATGAGCAATTCAAGCAATTTGGCCAAGGTAGCGTTGTTATACTTGTTCAAAGAATTAGATAAACAAATAATTGAGTTTCCTTACCGATCAAAGATAGGGTGATGAGTTCTAGTAACATGGTTTGTAAACAGAAATAATGGTTTGTTTTACAGTTAAAAAAATAATTGTCGTAATTTTAATAATTAAAATAAGTTTCAACAAAATTTATAGTTCAAATTAATTTAGAGATGTATTTCAATTATATTTATTAGTTCCAAATCAATTTCATCAAAATTAGTGTTATTCAATTTTAAATTAAATAGCAATACACAGTTGACGTAGCAATGTAACAGTGTTTGTCCTTGGTCAAAAAGTTAGATAAGCAAATCTGAACTCAGTTCTCATGGGTTCTTACCAATCAATACAGGGGCTTACATGGATAGGTGCAACCAACTCTTTAATTTGGCCTTTTTTTTTATCATCAACCGCAAGTTTAAACATTCCCACGTGGATATGAATTCAGCATTTTCTTACAAATTTAGATTACATCGTTTTCCTCAATTGAATTTTCTTTTAATTTATTTGAGCTACATCAGCTGATTTTATGTTTATTCAGATTTCAACAATGAATTAGGAAAAAGGTTCAACATGTGTAATATAAAAACAAATCTTTGGGAGTTAAGACTTGTCAACTCCTCAGTTAAATTTTGTGATCATAAACAGAATTTACTCAGGAATTTTTTACTTAGAGATTTTTCTAGTTACTTGTTAGAGTATACTCATAAATAGCTGTATAACTAATCTCGAATTAAGTTTCAACACTAGGGCATTTTCATGTCATTGAAACTCAAATCTGACATTAAACACGCCAACAACTTTACCTCAACTAGTAAAATTTAAAAAGAACTGACAAATTAGAGGTCTGAACCTGATTAATCAGGATGCCAAACACGTGGTACTGTCCGACCAATGTTTATTTAACATTTAAAGGTATGAAAAGGTAGTTGGTTAAGACATGGATAAAATACATTAAATTTTCCACCAAAAAATGGCACGACTAATTGTAACTGCCCTGATCGTCAGTATCTGTAGTATCAAACACAAATTTAACGATATGCCCAAAATGGCGTAAATAACAGCAATGTCATTGATATAAGCATTAAAACCAATAATAACCAGTATCTTCACAGTTCATGGGAGAAAAGAATCAATAAATTAGTTCTAAATCAATGTTTTTGGTATCTTTAATGTTTAAACTTTTAAGCATGTCAACAAGTTCCGTATCTACAATGTACACACAGGACACACAACCATTGCAGACAATTACAGTATGAAGACTGTGACCAATATCAATGACTGTTTTGCTTTGGAGTGAGGCCAACTACGACTTTTTTAAGGGAGATTTTACACAAATGTAGGTTTGCATATGATCTGCTTAATTCCTTACCCGGAATTTAAGAAACCACAGTTTGATCATTGTTCTTTCCAAGCACAGAAAATATGTTGGATGCCCCTCTAATCTCCTCTAACAATTAACATTTTTTCCCCACCAGACCTAGTTATGAATGTTCCTCAGGGTCACCTACCATCAGCTTTATCAGCCGCAGGAACTTCTTCAGGGTAACTGGATACATCCAAGTCAATAAGCGTCAAATCATAAGGTAGAGATGCAGAATTGGACATATCCACAAGCAAGGAAGATTTCATTGCATCAGAATTAGAAGTATCAGGCATGGGATCAGAATTTGAGGGAGTGCTACTGTTAGAAGAAGATAAACTTGAGAGCTGTATGTCATCTAACTTGTTTCCAATCATATTCTTATTTCTTCTCACAGAATCCATCTCCGGGCCAATTGGAACAAAAGTTCGTGACCTGTACTTCCGTGCTCCCTCTTCACCTTCACTATGATTATAGAGAACATAATCATGATACGTTGGTGCAAACTGCCACAAGTTTAAGTAGTATCACGTTGTCAGTAGAGAAAATACAAGCAAAGGAGAGTAAAAAATTTCAACAATGATCACGGGGAATCGGAAGTGCATTGCAGCATAAGAGTTGCAAAGCCAGGCATTAGGCCTGGTGCAAAGCCATATGTCAACAATGTCCATAAACTACAGACAAAACACACAAAGTGAGACTCACCTGGTGGACTGTATCATGGTAAAAGTCATTTAACTTCAATGCATGCCCAAGGCTAGCTGTCAAACCACGGGATCCACCTATATTAGCACCGGCATATTCTTTGTATGGAAATGCATAAAAGTGGCCCACAGCTGCAACAAGCATCTCAACACAAATGATAAAATTTTGAAGTAGGGCAGCTTCATTAGCATCCTTGATGAATCCTGACTTTGCAGCAAGAAAGAATAACACCCCCTAAGAAAATGAATAACAAAATGTCACCCTTCTTTAAACCTCCAAAGTGAAAACCAAAAACAGTATAACCAAGCAACCCCAAACTAACACATAGCCATCTTCAAATTCTAAAAAAAGAATCATATAACATAGCAAACCTTGTGCATTCAACAGTGACCTAAATAATTTCGATCATTAATTAAAATAAGGAAAATAGCATAAATTCAGAAACAAATACAACAGGAGGCAAGATGAAAATTATAGGTGACTGATGACTGTTGCAAAACAAATCAATTCCTAAAATTAAAGTTGATGTCTGTGAAGAAAACACACCGAATCCAACTTCTAGTGTGTAGTATGTGTGTGTGGGTGTGTATTAGCAGAGATGTTATAAAAATCGAGGGTATATTCAGTGTCTGTTCACATTAAGGAGATATTATTTTATATCCCAGAATTTAAGATGCAAAATTGTTAATCTATGTTTTTTCCAGAGAGGGAGGCTAAAAAATAATTTTGCTCCAAACAAGCTACATATCATCTTAAGATCAAGGGCATCCTCATTTTACATAACACTCACATCCTCGGTAATGATCACAAGAAAATAGAAAAATATTTCCACTCTTTCTCCACCTCAAAAAATGACACTTTTTTTTTTCTTCCTGTTCTTCCTACATCACCATACAAACCAGAAACATGATAGAGTTGAAAATAAGAGAAAATAATAAATCATAAAAATGAAAAGGCATAAAAATTACCTGCCAATAAGTCAGGAATACAACAGATTTTATCATAATAAACTTTGGAACTGGGTTGAATGGCTGAAGCAGATCCTTGCATGCCATATAAAACAAAGCAAGAACATAGAGTGCCATTGTATATGAGATCGTATAAATGATTGTAAGATATAGGTATGCCTGCTTTGGACTGAAATTTCCATCCTCATACTTCCCCCTTGCATAAAGTATAAGTGTAACAACAACTAAAATGGGCTTCAAAATCACAAACTGCAGACATCCTTGCTTGCATTTACGTATGAAACGCCTGCAATAGAAGTTTTATAAGCAAGAAATGAACATGAATTATGATACAATGTCATGCCACCATGTTACAAGTCTATCAAAATTCACTGTTTCTCAGGGATGGTCTTGATTGTTTCCAATAATCCATAAAAACATATTTTCATTGTGTATAGGTAAGGTAATATATAAAACCTCCAAAGAAAAAATTCAAGGGATTAATTTTCAAAGAATATATAACTATTTTTAGGTACAAAAGCTTTTAATCCAAAAATATGATTATAAGAATCAGATACAAACCCACCCATCCAGTGGTATAGGAGGAAAGCAACAAGTCATCAGACATAATGATGGCTTCAGAACCCGACCACTTAAACTTATTACAACTGCTCCAGGACCACCAACCCATGCCAGACACAGTGACAGGAAATTATAAATGACCCAAGCTTCATAGCTGAAACATTAGACAAGAGAAATCAATTCAGAAATTGCACCTGGATAAAAAACAGAGATCAGCAAAATTCATTATAATTTTAGAACAGACAAGAACAATTTATAAGGTTAAAACTATAAGTTAGCATATGCACTAGGGGTGGTGTGGGGGGGGGGGGAGGGGCATATGTAACAGCGGCAGTCATCAACACATCCCCAATCACATCAACAATGGGAGAATGTTATTTTTCTTAAGCATTGTTTGGAAGTTACTAGCTGACATGGTAAAATATAAGTACCTCATTGACATGTTTACAGAAATGCTCCAACAAAAAATCAATCTATTTGAAGGACTACACACATTTTTCTATTCACGGAATTTACAAACTATCTAGAGAAGGGTACCAGACCAGATAGTTCAAAATAGCAACTTCAAAGGGGAAACAAAGAACTGTTGCTGAGTCATCATAACTCATGATTTGCGTATAACACCATGGAATTTATATTTATATATTCATATAAAAAAGGAATAAATGTATGACAACATGGGAACCATGAAACAGGAGTGAAAAAAAAGACTCCATGAAAAAAGAATTCAGAATAAAGATCAGCAAAAACAAAAATAAAATAGTAGATAGAGAAAGGAAGATGAACTTACACTTCCAGAATAGAATTAAAATAGATTGAACTGTCAGGTAGAACAAGGGACAAGAATGACATTAGCGCATATACCTGAAAAAGAAATTAAATTTACAGCTGTTTAAAATGAATTGTACAAAGAAATGTTGCATAATACAAAGTGCTGATATTCCCAGTGAAAATCCAAGAGAACAATGGTATGAAAATGAAGAAGGAAACAAAGGATCAAATAAAACATACCAAGGAAATATTGAGAAACACAGAAACAAGACATGTGCTGGTAATGCAATTAATAACAAACAGGAAACACCATTTTTAAGCATATAAATACAGCAAATAATTGGACGTATGGGGGAGCATTTAAGCTCCCCAAACTACCTTTTGGAAGTGCCAATGGTATTTTGCAAAAAAATTATCATGTTTGGCTGTTATTTCCTAGAATGAAGTTTGATCCTGAATCAATTATGACTAGAAGCCAAAAAAAAGTAACTTTTGTGCTGAGGTAAGAACTTTATACTATGTTTTTCAACAAACTTGCTTAGAGATAAAAGTTTCCAAATAAAAATCACTTAATTTAAAAGTTCAATTCAAACTCAATTTTAACCAAAATAAATTTTACTAAATCAAGGTCATTCAAAATCAAGTTTGCAAACACTCACAGCTCACCCGTACACACACTAAACAGAATGGGTATCGCCCAGTCACAAAGTTGTGGAGAAAAAAAAAATCCAGTCTCCAGAATTTTCCACTTCCTATATTAAGATGATGAACAAAGGCCACCCCACAATCCCTATTCACTTCTCCCCTTTCTGCACCCAGGTTTCCAATGAAGTTCAAAAGTCCTTCCTTCACTGAAGTGAAAGAATTAGTAAGACGTACATCTGATTTGATATTTCAGCTACGAAAAATGCTAAAAGACACCAATATCAACCGCTGAAAAACAACCCTAGTAGGAATCACATGTACTCTTGTTCAATTCCATAACAAAGTTGCTTCAAAATGAGGGGAATTCGATGTCGGCGCGTGAGAAAAAGTGGTTATGATGAAATAAAGCACTCACCGGAACCATGAAAATAATCCGAACGATGAAGCGTTGATAAGTGGGCTCAGTGTAATTGAGAAGGTGTCTGTAAATGTGGAGAATAGCCAAAGCGATCGCTCCAACGGTGCAAAAGAATGCGACGACGTAGAAGAGAAGCGGGACCAGAACCCCCATTCTGTCAGGGCAAGCTCTTTTCCCTTCACCAATTCAAACGCCTCGGATCAGCAGAAAGCGTAAACCCTAACCAGAATCAATGATTGATAGGTGGAAATGGAAGGCAGAAAGGGGAAGAAACAGATCTGTGGAAGTTGAGGGTTTAGAAAGGAAATGATTGAAGGTGATGAATGCTTCACTGGCACAATAATGGTGACTGTTCGCTTTGCTGCGAAGGAAAATGAAAACGAAAAAATGGGAGAACACTGCGTATCAAAATTGAAATTGAAAATTAATATCAGTATTAAAAATTAATAATTTAATAATAACAGCTATGCTATGCCTATGCAATGTTTTTTAGTTTTTGTTTTTGTTTTTGGTAAAGCCAAATTGACCTAGCCGACACGCTCGCACCAAGCGTGTGTCACCCACTTGATTCTCATTACAGCCTTCCTGTGAGGTGTAAGAAAATCCATTACAGCAACAAATAACAATTTTGTTGTTATTTATCTATTTATTTTTTTTGTTTATGTGATGTTAAGCAAAACAATAATCACAACTCAGGGAAATTATAAAAACTGCTCATGATGAATATATTTTTTACCTATCAAATAAGTTTGACTCTAGGTTTTGAACAAAAATAAAGTTTGAATGTATATAACTGCAATTTACGCTAAACAATATTTTTTTGTAATTAAAAAGTTTATTATTTTTTGGGTTATTTATTCTTGATGTGGTAAAAAAGGAAATAATATTTTGTAGGTGTTTTGATTGTAAAAGGAAAGCAAGTAGTAGAGCGGAAGTTGAAAAATCTAAAAAATGAAGAAATATCCAAAACCACATCCTATTATCGTATTGTATATATCTTGAGTAGGAGAGCGAGGTGGAGGTTGGAAAGGCCATACATTCCTAAAACCCTGCGTGGCCAACCCTCCCCTTATCATCTCCTATTGTTCTTCACTTCACTCACTCACTCACTCGCCCCCATAAACGCAACCATGGCTTCTATCATTGGTGTCTCCTCTATACACCAAACTCCCTCTCTCGAACTATACAAAAGACCAACCACAACTGCTTCTACTTCCTCCGTTCGGTTACAATGTTTAGACTCAAAGTCTCACTTCAACAACGCCCTCAGAGCCCACCGTCACAAAACTGGCCTCAAGCCCACACTCACTTTCGTCCCTTCCGCCATTGCCACGCCCAATTCTTCCCTCCTCAGCGAAGAAGCCTTCAAAGGATTGGGCCGCGGATTCGACGACGACGCCCAAATCGACGACGAATTTGGTTACGCTTCTGAATCCGACTCCTCTTCTACCAACCCCGACGAACTCGACATTTCCAAGTTAGGTTTACCTTCTCCTCTCGTCGATTCTCTCCATAACCGTGGAATCACTCGTCTTTTCCCCATTCAGGTTCCTTCCCTCTTTCGTTTATTTTTCCTTTGTTGTTTAAGAAATGCGTTAGGGTTGCGTTATTTGATTTGTTTCATTTTGCGTGATTGATTAGAGAGCCGTGTTAGTTCCTGCTCTTGAAGGTAGAGATATCATTGCTCGAGCTAAGACTGGGACTGGAAAGACACTAGCATTTGGGATTCCGATTATTAAAGGCCTCACTGAAGATGAGCATGCACCTTCTCACAGGTAATCATTGTTCATGTTTGTACTTATCTTCATGTATGTCATCATCGATGGTCATGCGTTTCTTTGTTTGTTGCAGGAGGTCTGGTCGTCTTCCAAGAGTTTTGGTTCTTGCACCAACCAGGGAGTTGGCAAAGCAAGTGGAGAGGGAGATAAAAGAATCTGCGCCTTATTTAAACACTGTTTGTGTTTATGGGGGTGTTTCTTATGTTACCCAGCAAAGTGCGCTTTCGCGCGGTGTTGACGTGGTGGTTGGAACGCCGGGTAGAATTATTGACCTGATAAATGGGAACAGCCTTAAACTGAGTGAGGTTCAGTATTTGGTTCTTGACGAAGCCGATCAGATGCTTGCTGTTGGGTTTGAGGAGGATGTGGAGGTGATTCTAGAGAAGCTCCCGTCTAAGAGGCAGAGTATGCTTTTCTCTGCTACCATGCCTAGTTGGGTTAAGAAATTGGCTAGAAAATATTTGGACAACCCTTTGACGATTGATTTGGTAAATTTTTTTTTTTGTTGTTATTTTTGGCTTCCTTTTTCTAATTATACCAATTGCCAACTTTTTTGTTTATAGAATGCCAGCAGAGACTATAGCATATGATTGTGTGAGCAATATGATATCTACTAGGAGTTTTTCTGTGAAGAGCATTACATACATGTGCATTTGTTTTTGGCTAATATATCTGCCTATGGTGTTTATGTAGTTGCATGCTATCTGGTTGGTAATTATTACAAAAGACATCTTCTAATGCTGTTCCAGAGTTGACTTTGATCCTTACTAGATTGTGGTTTTGGTGCTCATATAGCTAAAAATGTGATAAATTTGGTGGCAAGAATGTGCACTGTAAATTGGATAACTTCCAAAGGAACATGTTAGAGGAGACTGGGCAGAAAACTTTTTAATATTGTTCAACGAGAATTGATGCATCAAATATCCAATTAGATTTAAAATCTATATAGTGATGCAGGTGTTAACCTACCTAGAAATGCAAGGCTTGTTTATGTAAACTCTGTTGAATGTTAGGAATTAGATGCACTTGAAAACATTTATTCTTTTGTCTTAGTTTGTGTTTTTGGATATTCTATACGAGCAATACTGCATGACTTATTGACTTAACACAGAAAGCATTCTTTATCTGACTTAACATGTTCATGCAAACATACGCCTCTGTTCTGAATAATTTAGTTAAAGTAAGGGGTGATGTGGGGCAATTCGTGTTCATGAACCTGTTTTTGTCCGTTTAGACACATGCCATGCTATGGTTGTTACAATGGGTGTGGAGAGAAATGAATGGAAACACTTGTATTTGGACTATATCATAATCTAGATGCATAACCTTAAATAATTATAGATTTCATTATGGCCCTATCATCAAATGATTCTGGCCATAATTGTGCATATTAATGTTTAAGTTGTAATTGAACCTCAATTATGACACATCTTAGTTTGAAAATAATAAATTATGATTATGATGGTTTTTCATTTTCTTTTAAAAAGGTTGGCGATGAGGAAGAAAAGCTTGCTGAAGGGATAAAACTATTTGCCATGGGAGCCACTGCCACTTCAAAGAGAACAATTCTTTCAGATGTTATAACCGTAAGTTGCTGGTTATTAAATTTTTCTATCTTAGCTTGCTATTCTATAACCTCCTCACTTTTCATTCTGAGGGTTCTGTATAATCATTACATTGGGTACTACTAGTTACTAGTTATGTAACCGAAAATTGCATCAAATATGATACAATGTTACTGACTTACTGTTGAGTGCAATATTGTTTTTACACAGATGGTCTAATACATTTTGTTGACTCTAATTCACTAATCTATCAGTTTCATTAACTGTCAATAATTTAACTGAATGTTCCTTTGTCTTTTAGGTTTATGCAAAGGGTGGGAAGACTATAGTTTTTACGCAGACAAAGAGAGATGCTGATGAAGTATCATTGGCATTAACAAATAGTATAATGTCTGAAGCACTGCATGGTGATATATCTCAGCATCAGAGAGAGAGAACATTGAATGGTTTCCGGCAAGGAAAATTCACAGTTCTCGTTGCCACTGATGTTGCAGCTCGTGGACTTGATATTCCCAATGTTGACTTGGTAAGTCCTAAGGATGCTTTGTGGTCTGTGTAACAATCTGATCACCAGTGGTGTTGATTCTCTGTATGAATCTGTTTGAATTCCAGCTTCATTATTTGTTTGTTTAGATTTAATGCCAACTGAGGCTGAAGTAATAAGTGAACCGCTTGAGTATTTTTAATTTGGTGATTGGGGTTTCTAATAGTTATCAAATTTTTGGAATTTAGGTTATACTAGTTTGGGTTTTGGGAAATATTATCCGTAGATTGGATTTGGACTTTCTTGCCTATTCTGAATTATGATTTGTCAAGTCTTAAATCTTGGTTGCATGCCCTAGTAGAATTAAGGTTTCCTGTTTCATTAAGGAGATAATTTCTGCTGCTGCATTTGACCTTTTCTTCGATCTTTTTCACTGTACAGTCTACTGTGTATCTTCTGACTCGGGAGTTAGAATTTGATAATTGATACCATAATGCATGAATTGTGGGCATAAATATATGTGGATTTTAATTTCTTTGTTTAATTATTTCTTCCAAATGTTGAATCTGTGTAGGGAAGCTTAACATATCTGAATTAGATGGTTTTTTTAATGCCTTGCTCCAATACTGAAATGCTATCTGTTCTCAACATATTGAAAAACTTATTGGTCTTGCCTGTTTTGTTCAGATTATCCATTATGAGCTTCCCAATGATCCTGAGACGTTTGTACATCGTTCTGGTCGTACTGGGCGGGCAGGGAAACAAGGTACTGCCATTTTATTGTACACCAGTAGCCAGAGGAGAACTGTTAGATCCCTTGAACGTGATGTAGGCTGCAAGTTTGAATTTGTTAGTCCACCAGCTATGGAAGAGGTTTTGGGAGCATCTGCGGAGCAAGTTGTTTCCACACTTGGTGCAGTTCATCCTGAGTCTGTTGCGTTTTTCACCCCAACTGCACAAAAATTGATTGAAGAACAAGGAACAAGTGCCCTTGCAGCTGCTCTAGCACAACTGAGTGGATTCTCCAGACCTCCATCGTCCCGGTCTCTTATCACCCATGAACAGGTATGTTAATGATACTAATTCCTTATTAATTTATCATACAAACCAGTGGGAATTATATCTTTAAGCATTTAAAGCTAGGGTCATGGTCATTCCCTAATTCATGGAGGCTACGGATCTTGGACTGTAGATATTTCATGATGTCTTATAATTTGTGTGCTCAATTATTATGTTCATAGTTTTGAGCAAGGTAGTTAAAATCCCGATTTGAATCTTAAAATCTTACGATTTTGGAAGTCTCACCGATTTAAATCGTGGATAAAATCCTAATTGAGTAAAATCCTTGTAAAATCCCGATTTGAATCATAAAATCCCTCAAATTGTGGGATTTTACGATTTCACTTCGATTTTGAAAATTTCTCGCAAAGTCTATTTTGTTGAACCCTATCGTACGCCTCTTTCATATATCTCCTTTTTATGGAATCTAATTTGCCTCTAGCAGCTTTGAACCCTAACATTGTTGTCAACATTCAACAGTCTTCCTAGTACGTGCAACCTGGTTTGCAACTAAATCTATTGTTGTTGTTCTTGCATCTTTTCTGTTCTGGTCTATTTTTTATTCATGTAAATACATTACATTCTTATGGAATAAATTATGATTTGTGAGTGCTACGTTGTTTAAGTACTTTTACTGATTTGAAGCTTTTTTCCCTTAATTTATGATATTTTATATGAATAATATGAATTTATATCATATATATGAATTTTATAAAATCTTACGATTCAATTTACGATTTTACAATTTATGATTTTCACTCTCCTTTACGATTTAAAGTAAAATCCCGATTTTAACTACCTTGATTTTGAGTGTGAACAAGCACAATTTGATGCATAACTTTTTGGTTGATCGTGTACGTACATGCTGCTTTTGAACCACTGTTATTTCAGTAGTTCATTAAAGTTGTTTGGTATTTCAGGGATGGATCACATTGCAACTGACTCGAGATTCAGATAATACTACTAGAAGATATTTTTCAGCAAGATCAGTCACTGGGTTTCTATCTGATGTTTATTCTGCAGCTGCTGATGAAGTTGGAAAAATCCATTTAATTGCGGATGAAAGGGTTTGTATTTGAGTTATATTCTTTATAATTTTTTTTGTGCTTGTATTACTTGGAAATTCATTCCCGTTGGGAATGCACCCACAGAGTTCAAATTGTTTGACATTGTCAATACGTAACATCAGGTTCAAGGAGCTGTTTTTGATCTTCCCGAGGAAATCGCTAAAGAGTTACTCAATAGGGACATACCACCCGGAAACACCATTTCCAAGATCACCAAGGTAAATTACAATATTTGGTTAATATTTTGTTTTGTTATTCTTTGTTGATTCTCTGCCTGATATTTTACCCACTCCAAAATCGTATTTTGGCACCACTTCACTACGTTGCTAGTTATATAAAAATATTGCATTTACTTTGTATTGGCAGCTACCTCCTTTGCAAGATGATGGGCCTCCAAGTGATTTCTATGGGAAGTTTTCTGACAGAGATCGAAGTAACCGAAGAGGTTCAGGTTCTAGGGATCGCAGAAGTTTTAAAACCTCACGGGGATGGGGTAGGGACCAAGACTCTGATGATGAGTTTGGTGATCAATTTAGGAGAGGAGGTAGAAATTCTAAAACTGGCAACAGCTGGTCTCGAGGAGGAAAAAGCAGTAGGGATGGGGATGATTGGCTAATTGGAGGCAGACGATCAAGCAGGTCTTTATCATCAGACAGGTTATACTATAGAAGTTATAATAATACTTTTAATTTTATTTGGTATTTTTCTTCCTATACGAGTTATAAGAAGCCTTATCTGCATCATTTTAAGTCTATGTGTAACTGATTTGACATTTGAATGTGCATTGCAGAGGTAGCTTTGGAGGGTCCTGTTTTAATTGCGGGGAATCTGGGCATCGTGCATCAGATTGTCCAAACCGGCGAACCTTTTATTAAGTTCCTAAGTATTTATTTTTGGACACCGCTTTGGCCAAGACGTGAGCTGCTACCACTGTTGTTGGCCTAATGGGTTCAGAAAAATTGAAAGATCCTTCCTGGAAGATTTACAGAATCATTATGGATTTGCATCTCATGTGGTGGCGTGGTCTTCATGGGGGCCTCCGTTTTTTTGTCCTCGTTTTCTAAGTCGTCTTGTGCTATTTGATAAGAACAGTGTTAACATTATGGCTTTGCATCTTCTCTTTTTGTGAAGGAGGTGGATATATGATCCTGTATTCTACTTAACCATATTATTTAAGATCTTTTTGAACGTTAATCGTTTAGAAACAGACAGGAAGAATGAATGAAAGGTGAAATGCCAAAAGGTTATGCAGATGTATAATACTTACGAATTCATAATGCCTTAGTTAAATCTCAAGAATTAAGAAAAAAAATAAGAGAGCAAAAACATAAAATCAAGTCTATAAACCAAAATTAAAATAGTACAAGCACAAAAAAATTACGAGGCTTAAGGAGGGATATAAAAGAATAGAAAAAAGGAATATTGGAACAAATTTACAATCTATTTTATTGTTGTGTTTAGTTTTTTTGTTACTTAGAAATTATACCAAAAATAAATAAATTACTTAGAAGATAAATAGACATCATCCATTCAGATGCACTAAAACTCATTTCACAATATCAACTTTCTTTGAAAAATAAATAAACTCAGAATATGATGTTTATCAATAATTTAAACTAAAACTTGTTTCAGAAACAGTTCTGTCCAATTACGGAGCATAAAAAAAGGTATTACATTTTAAAAAAACTATTATAATAAAAAATATATATAAACCGAAATGACCTATTTATACATTGCAAACACGGGGGGAGCATTTTGAAAGTTCACCTTATTTTAAAAGTCAATTAATAAGGATTTTGTAACTTTGAGCGGCAGTGGCTGTGGCAGCACTCTCAAATTGATCCTCTCAGGTTCGTTCATTCGGGGCTCCTTTTTCTCCAAATTCATTTTCTTTTCAATCCTACGCTCTTCAATTTCAATTCCCTTTTCCCATTTTAGACATCGTCTCCGTAATTGTCCTAAACTTCAAATCCAATTGTGCGTCTTCGCCGCCGGTAAGCTTTCCTCCGTGTCTCCGACAGGAGCCTTTCCGGCGGCAACGTTCACAAATTTGTGGGTTTTAAGAAACTATTCTGTTGAAGGAAATTAAAATTTAGGTATTGCATATGAAGCTAACATTTGTATGTGTATTTATATATTAGGCATTTTTATTTTATTTGTTTATTTAATTTTACAATTACAATTGCTATGTTATCAGTGAATAGGAAATAAGGTGTGTGAAAAGAAGAAAAATGGCAGAACTGAGTTTGGGAATTATAATTGATATTGTTGATGAGGAATGGATGAGAGACACCCTCCCTGATGATGGTATTTTTTTTTACTTTTTATTTTCCTTTGCTCCCTCTCACCATCAGATGAGTCTTTTTTAGCTTTATTTCCATGTGGGAATTTGATGTGTTTCTATCTTTGTTGCTGTATTACAGATCTTCCACTGCCTCCAACTCTGGTTGTTCGAACCGATGATACTGAGGATTCAAGTATGTCTCTTGAGCTAAACTTTTTTAACGAATAGTTTGTGATTTTCTTTTCCAATTAATCACTTTTTTTTATTATTGAATTTGATTGTTTTTCTGTAGGATAACTCCACATTTGTTCATTTAAATTTGATGTTATTTTTAGACGTTACAAAACTACGAAGTTATTGTACTAAAATTGTGGTTGTGAGAAGGAAACGTTATTGTAGATAACAGAGATGATTATTTTTAAGAAGATGGGTCTTTTATTGGAAGATTGTTCTAGTTTTCTTCTTGATTTTAACACTGTGCTTTGTTATCTCGATCAGATCAAGAGCCGCAACAAGTTGATGTGGATGCTTGGCATGATCTTGCCTTGGGCCAAGAATAAAAGTTTCATTAATTAGTGTTTTGCTCAGTAGTGAGTTGAGGATGGTACTTCCTGGTCCTGTACCATGCATCTTCTTATGTCCCTGATAGATTGTGATATACTCAAGTTGATCGACCTGTTAATGTGATATTTAAGGAATTTGGGTGTCATTGCTTAGTGCTTGCTGCATGAAACCACACTTTGATTTTTTGTTTTAAGGATTAAGCAAGTTCAGGACAATCTCTGCCTAACTATAGAGTACTGGTATGTACTTCCAATCATTAAATTGTGTTGAAGCAATATATTTTACACCAAGTTACTTGATACGAAACTTGTAAATTTGAAAGGACATTCTATATCTTTTTTTATAGATTGATGGTTATAATTTTTTTAATATTTTTAATATTAAAAGATATTTATGTATTTTTTAAATAAATTATTAATTCACTATCATTATTGATGGTTATACATATTTAATATATTATTGACGGTAATAATTATTCTATGTGAGAGAATAAAATATTCTCTTGATTTGTAAAGTACCGCACTGTAAACCTTATAATAATATACAATTGCTAACTGGTTTATCAATTTTTTTAACTGAAAATTTTTATTAAAAATTATAGAGTTTAATGTAATCCAATGAATTGATAATATTAAATGTTACAATTTGCTTTTAAAACTTATTATATATAACTTATTATCCAGTGCATATTGCATAAGTTAAAAAAAAATTGATGATATAATAATATGCACGAGCTTGGAATCATTTATCAGTTAAAAATTAATTGCATAGTTCTTTAAAACTTTGTTTGGAAATCACAAAAATAAGCAACCATTCTAAAGTAAATTAAGTATGTTGGTTATACTATTGTTGTGCTGATGAAGTACCTTTTTTTTACTTATAAAAGGTTAGAGGCCGTGAAATTATTGAATGAAACAAGACAGCTATTCGAATTCTTAAGAATTATGTGTAATTTTATTCTGATAATCAATTTTGTACATTTATGCAGTCTAAAATTTCTGTTTTGTCATCCAAATTCGGTCTTCTGTTGGTAGCAAACTCCTCAGATTGGTTAGCGTTCAAAATTCTATGTCTCTTCTGTCTATAATCTTGTCTGCTAACTATTCGTAATCTTGTTTGTTTACGAGAAAGATTTTTGAATTACTTTGTGGTGCATATCTTGTTGAAGTTTCAACTGATAGAAGACTACCATTGACGTTAAGATACTAGATACGTCTGACGTTGAAACAAACAGCTGCTCAATTACATAAAATGTAAGCGCTAGACCAGCTGCCACCCGAACACAATTTTCAATATTAATTATATCTATTATATTGAATTGGCTTTTGTTAACCTCAGGATAAGTAAATAATAATAATAATATTACTAAAAAAATATTTATTATATTTTTATAACTTTAATGTAATAAATGTATATTTTTTTTATAATTTTCTTATGGATACTGGAATTTAAGAATTGTGATTAACAAAATCTAAAATCATTTTATTGTTCAAATTTGCAGGATTTTAAACTCACTAGTACTGAACTGCTCAATTTAATTAATAATAACGATTTCTTAAATTAAGAAATTTAATTAAACGAATAAGATTGACTGAATATAAAGATTAAAAATAAGGTAACTTTTTATTTTTATCTTGTTATTAAGGCTTTTATTGCGTATTGCATCATGTAATACGTGTGCAACATCTTCGGTATCGTGGTAGCCTACAACGGCAATACCCGCACAAGAAGTTGCAATTACAACTTGCGTCGGCCGCAATTAGTCATTAGCCTGCGTGATGCACGGAATTGGAAACCTTGTTACTAAATAATGATTGCATCTCAAATTCCACACATAAAAATGGCCCAATTAATATAATACTTCCTCCGCTCTTATTTGTAAGAAACTACGGTTACAAACTACTGAACTAGAGATTGACATTCAACTTGTAAATTTTAAAAATAGCAAAAATTAAATTCAATCAACAAAAAAAAAAAAAAAACCGAGAACAGTCAACTCACGTGTCAGGATGTCACAATCACAATAATATGAGACAACACTGCAGCTCGGGACAATTTCCTACAAAAAATTGAGAGAGAAAGGGGAAACAGCTGCACGGTACAATTGTACCTTCAAAGTTTAGAATTGTTACAAACTAATATACTAGATTTCCTTCATCTCTAAAATGATTTCTTTACAAATGTAAATAAAACTTGACCTGTAAATGAGTTCATTTTTCAAGTGCTGTCAACAATGCGGCAGGTATACCAATCATATAAGGGGATCACTCACAGGTATTGTTGTTGGACTTGGAACAGCAGTGTCCAAAACCTCTGCTACTGGTGATGGGGGGACCTCAGGTGGTGCTGGATTGCCTGTAGACTCTGCTTGGACAGTTTCGCCATTAACATTTGGATCTCTGTCACTAACTGGCGCAGAGGTAGAAACTCCATCCTCCACTGTAGTTTCACCTGATTCTGGTTGAGGTGGAGCAGCCACAGGAACTGGTGTGGAGTCTGATGTAGACTGTGATGAAAGTGGATCACTAACTGGTGCAGGTGTGGATTCAGGCTGCTGTGTAGCATTCTCTGGGGCAACTGTGGTTGTAGTAGGAGGTGCTTCCAGTGCCAATGGCTTGCCTGGTGGTTGTTGGGAAGTCTGAGCAGCAGAAGCTGGTTTTTTCTGGATGGACATGGGAGCATCAAGAGACATCATCCCTGGAGGCAGGATTTCAATAGGTGGTTTCTTCCCTGCTTCTGCCAAACTTGTAAGCTTAGGCTCCTCAAGAGAAGCCAGAAATGCAGCTGTAGCATCTGTCTTCTGTGATGGAGTAGGTTCAATCTCTCTCTGTAGCATTTGGTTCCAAGCCTGCACTAAGTTCTTCAAAGTTGGACGTCCATGTGCCTGGAAATAACAAGGTCAGACTACAAGTACTAAACTGAGGGATCAACTAGTTGAACATGACAAATCATACATGAGCATGAAGCACAGCCTCTGCCAGCATTCCAGTATCTTGCCATGCTTTCTCCATCAAAGCATTGTCGCCCAAAACAGCAGCAGCAAATGCACCTTCCCGTCCCAAGCCAAGCGTGATTAAGTTGTTAACCAAACCCTGCAGTGCAAAAACGTAATACTTTGTTTATGCTTAAGGGAAAAAATTAAAGCTAAAGAGCTGAAAAGAAGACTAGTTACTCCCAAAGAAAAAGAATGTATACCATCTCAAACAGTCATTCAAATATAAACTGCACGTGGTAAGTTCAATAAAAAAAATTGGAAATTTAAATAGTAGAGAAACAAAAACACCTTCATCAAACTATGTGCTACCTTTAACCTAACAGCACTGGATGATTATGGCTGAAAACCAGAGGCATTGAGTAATAGCTAAAGTATTATATCCAATCTTAACCAATTCCATTTTGTGCACAGATCAGATTGTCTATTCATTATAAGGAACCAAATACAAATTATTATGGAAACACAAATTCAATTGTGACATTTATTTATAAAATCAAGCACCCAATTTATTAACAGGCAATTTACTTTATAAAAAGAGAGACGCCAAATGAATTAACTTGAAAACATGCATCAAACAGCTAAAAATCAGTGGAGTGGAAATGCAAAATTAAGAAAGACTGCCTACACTTAGCCGAGTCAACTCTCCATGATTAGCAAGGCGTAATGCCAATCCTCTCAACTCATGACCTTGTAAAGCACCTTTCACCGAACCTGCTGCAGCTAACCTCTTGAGAGCTTCACGGGCAATTTCACCCTGTGCTGTAGCATCTGCAGCGTCAATAAGATCCAAAAACTCTCTTGCAAATTTCACTATACCCTGAACGCCTTCAACTATATCTTGTTTTTTAACTGTATCTTGTTTTTTTTCTGATAAGTTAAGAATGTCATTCAAACCAAGCCCAGTACCATCATGTCCTATATCCCTACTATTACTCATGGTAAGAAGACATTGAAGAGCTCTCTTCAAATCATTACTCTTCATTGCCAAATCAAACTCCAACCTGCAGAACGTAAATAGCAGTATTTTTTTACCACAAGGAGTTAACAACAATCATAAGAACATCCATTAAAATTTCAAGCTCTTAGCTCTAAGCAAACAGCATACCTCTTAGATATTCCAGGCAAATGAAGTGCTTCAGTGGCATAGCCCATTCCTAGCATAAATTGTGCTAAATCATCGTGGTGTTCTCTTCCAAGCCTACTTGCCCTGTTTCAAAAGAATAGTGAGATATACAGATATATCTAATTAGTAAGCAATAGTTATGAAAACAAAGGAGGGGAGGGAAAGAAATAAAATACCATTTTACTGCACTAACAGCATCACCGTAAGCAGCAAGACATCGACAACGAATACCAGGATGACTCAAGGATAAAGCATGCGCACACATGTACCTACCACAACCCAGGTATCAATTGCATCATTCTTGAAATTGGTATCCAATACAAATGAATAATCTTAAATTTGGCATCCAGAGGCGAGAGTTTACAAAGAAAAATTCAACACTCAACTGAATCAGCTCACTGCTCTAAACAGAAGCATAAACACATTTAATCAACCACCAAACAGATTTAATTAGGGCATAATTACATCTATTCAATAAGAGTTACTCTAACTTTCTCCTGAATACATTTAATCAACCCCTGATTGCATTTTTTTCTTGTATGACTGCTCATCCACCCTGACATTTCCGAAGTACGTAACATCATATTAATGTGTTGACCTCTCTTAAGGATTGACTAAACTACATTAAAACCCACTTGAGCTGTGGACATTCGCTCCTCTTCGTGTATTTTCATCTGCATGGAAGGGATCTAGGTATAAAAGGGTATTTGTTCTGGTGAAAATTCGAAAGGGCAGTTAGTGTAATTTTTGAAACTTCAAAGGAATTCAATGTAATTACATCATAAACTCGATGGAGGTAGGCATAATTTACCCTAATGGTGATCTATGCATTAAAGGGGAAGGACAGAGAACAGAAAACTCCAGGGAAAAAAAGATCACAACAAAAATGCAGATATGTATAGGCTTGAACAAAGTAAATGTTGTGAAGGTCTTGTATTTATTATGGAGGTGCCAAACCGTTCATGCTGATTGTGTTGGGAATATCATTAGTATTTAGTGTTGTATTAAAAGTATTAAGATCATTAAATTGTAACTGTTGTAAATAATACACAACAGGAGTTGAGGAAGCATTAGAAATTTAAGATCACAGGGATTAGTTTA